ATCAGCGAGTGCGGTTTTGGCTTTGACATTTATCAATCGGGGACAATCCCGGAAACACCCTGTTCTTCAGAACCCTCAATTATAGTCAGCTAGAAACTGAACAAAAATGGAACTGGGAAAACAAAGCTAATTTTGCCATCGAAAACTTTCTCCGCACCCTGTACAGGGTGTCCCAAAAAAAAGCACCCCTCCGGCATTTCGCCGTATTACATCCCAACAGTCCCAAAATTGGACTGGAGGTGTATCCCGCCATGACGACGGCACTTCCGCTAGTAGATCGACCCACTTTAAGTGGGTCGCGAGTAGCTTACACGTCTGCTCTGTGGCTCCGCCCTTTGTCTGCCGCCCTCCGATAGAGCGGCCAGGGCGGAGCGGAGATGTGCTCCTTCAGCGCATCTAGTTGAGGATTACAGTAGGATAGCCTAACCAAGTAGATTAAAGGGGAAGCCTGTAGACTAAATTATGACTTATCTAATTAAAGGGGAAGAGGAGTTGATTTATAGGTGCAGATAAATTAGTAGCTAAATAATACCTCTCTAGCAATATAATATAAACACAACCTCATCTAACTACACGAACAGCTCGGGAACTTCTCCTTGATTACAGAGGAGAAGAAGTTATGTTCTCCCCCCTAAGGGGCGACAGAAATGGTGCACCGTCCGGGAAGCCATTGAGCCTGAGTTACCCGCTTACCCACCTGTTCGAGTAGTCAACTTTTCATTTCAGTAGATTTATTCATTCCGTTTGTGTTCCTATTTATTTTTGCCTTTCTATCTCGCCTCATTTCTTTTCATCTTTTCCATGTTCTCATTTCTGAAGTGGCAGTTTCGGAACTTTGGGCATTTTTTCCTCGTTGGAATTTGGGGAACCAGCTTCTTTTCCGGTGTCATCCCTTATGCACTCCTCGGACAAAGTCTCAGTAATGGCTAGTAGTAGGGAACAACCCATAGGGATGGGTCGGGCTCCGGACACCCGACCGCCAAGTCGCGGGTCGGCATGAATGACCGGATAACCCGGGGTTGTATTGGTCTCAGAAAAAAGGAGGGCCCCGCCGATACAACTTCTGTTGCCTTACATACTGACTGTACCAGGGATCTGCTCTACAGTCCTAAAATGGGCCATCCACCTTGTTCACACGCCGCAGGAGCTACTCATTGGACGTCCTGATTCCCATTCTTCCATATGATTCTCATTTTTACTTTAATTCCTTTTCCTTTCATAACTTTTAATTAATCTTCTTTCAGCCTTTTCTTTCAAAAACTTTACTCTTATCTCTCTTCTTGTCTTTCTATCTCTTTTTTTTCGTATAGTAGACCGTTCGCCATTCTACAGTAGCCCCAAAAATTTTTTCGAAATTCCCACTTGAGCCCCACTTTTGGCCCCGCCGCAACATCGAGCGCTAATGGAGATCCATTAGCTTTTTCGCGCTGCTTTCGCCACATTTTACCGTTCGGCAACGGCTAATGGCCGGTAATGGAGGGTAGGTGACTCAGCCCTCCGGGCCCCTTCCCTCGGGCGCCCCCGTCCCGCCATTCCCTTCCCTTTTTTCGCCTACGGCACCCGCATTCCTCTCCTTACCGTATCGTTCGTTACCGTTTTTTGCCTTTCCATTTATTTATTTTTAATTTTTCCTATCTTTTCTTCTTTATTTCATTTTATTTTCCATATTCTTTCAACATGCCCCTTACCCGTAACCTGGGGTACCTCAAGAGTCATGTGACAGTAGCTAATTCGTATTTCTCCAAGGTTCTTGAAGCTGCAGAGAAGGACCTCGTAGGCATTAAAACCCCTCCACCCACACAACCTGATGAGTGGGGGCCGTATTTCATCAAAGGACGTGCCGCCCTCAGTAGTGGTGCGATTACGCTCCAAGACGCGCAAAATCAGTGCGAAAAAACACTTAGAGGCCTTTGACCTCGCAGTAGCTGGCTTGACTGATGACCTCAAACGTAAAGACGCTGAGAAATTCCTCGAGGAACAAGTCGCGGAGTTTACCGTGTGCTTAAGTAGTGCTCTTCCACTTCTAGCCGAAATTAAAACCTTAATCCACAAGCTAGAATCTCAAAACGAGCGTGTCACTGCCGAAGCTCGACTGCGACCTGCCACTGGCGATGCCGAACCCCCGCTGTCTCAGGTATTTGAAAGTAGTCTTGAAAAATTGCGTCTCCTTAATCTTTCCAATCTCAGTAGCCCTAAATGGAGTGGCATTGCCGCTGATTTTGACTATTCGTGGAAACATTTGACAGTCATTGTCTGCAACATCAGCTCACTGAAGTAGAAAAGCTTCGCGCATTCCGTGAAGCTCTGGCTGACACGCCAGTTGAAATCATCACGAAAGCGTATCCGCTTAAACCGGGCTTTTTTGCCGATGCCTTTGCCCAGTTTAAAATGCGCTACAGTAGCAATGAGCAGAACGCTTTGCAACTCCATAGGGAAATTGCATAGGCTAGCTTCCCTTACAGACTCCGATTCAGTCGTGGACCTCCGGCGTCAGTACCACCTGACGCTGGCTTTGGTCAATCGACTCAAACTAGTAGATCTCCATCATGACAATCAAGGGCTGAACAATGTGATACTCGAAGAAGGCTTCTGAGTGCTTGCTATGGTGCGTTCAATGTGTTGAGAATTGGCGGAGTGTTGATTGATGGTGGTGCTTTCATCCAGCAACCTCTAGATATCGAGAACGAGAGATAGCTAGAGAGAAGGAGAGAGAGAGAGAGAGAGAGAGAGAGAGAGAGTATACCACTATTCCTACTAAATATAAAAAAATAGTGTTTGTGTGTGTATCTATGACGCTTTGCATGCAACGTCCGTCAGGTTGTTCCAGTGGTATCTCAAAAGGGAAATGTGGTCAATTATTAGTGGTCGTTCGAAGTGCTGAATAAAACTTTAAATTTGTAACGTAGAAACATTCATTTTCAGCGGGTATTGCATCTAGTCGCTTGGACTTATGGGATAGCCTTAATGCTACTACCAGGGGCGTACACGAACCCGATTTTTTGGGGGGGGGGGGCAACTCGAAAATTTTTGTCGACCTCCCCCGGTCACCACTTTCAAAACATTAAAAAATCGCAGCTATAACAGCGCCGCAGGCCGCAAAAAATAAGGAAAAAGCGTTATACACGCTCAAATTCATGTAAAAACATCACAGAAAACGCGCCGCAGGCGAACATTTTATATGGACAGTTGACACACTAATGAAAAACAGCGCCGCAGGCAAAAAAATTTTGGAAAAATAGGCTTCATATAAGTAAAATCCGTTTTAAAGTAATAAACAGCGCCGCAGGCAGAAAAATTTTTATTGAAAAAATCATAAGGGTCCCCCCTTATGAACTTTTCGGCCTTCGGCCGATTTTGGGGGGCAACTTGCCCCTGTTCCCCCCCTCGTACGCCCCTGGCTACTACCCTCGTTTCTCGGCGCTTCAAGATCTACAGCCCCCGGATATTCGGCTTCACGTCCAGCTGTTCGAAATGTGGAGGGGCTGACTAGACATATTTTCATGCAGGTAGTTAGCATCATTCTTTCTCTCTCTCCCCCTCTCTCTCTCCCTCTCTCTCTCTCTAACTCCCTCTCTTGACTTTATCATAATCGAAAAATTAACTTTATAAAAATTTAATAAACGAAGGCAAAATGGCAAAAAGGCCACTTGACCTTCACTTAAAGAAAACGACGGAACTTCACTTTGTCCCGTCGAGTGAGAGGGGGTTTTTTACTGGGACACCCTGTTTAGTCACGACTCAAATCCAACTAAACAATAACACCATGGTTCCATTATTCTAATTTGCTCTATTCCGTGTTCGGTGTTGTTGTTGAATGCTGCTCGATGACGAAAGTTTTGTGCCCCCCCCTTAGCCGGCGCGCTGTGTTTGTGGCGCCACGTCGATGATTTCCGGAAAATATAGCACATCACAGTGCTTTTAAAAGCTTTTAGATGGTTGCTACGAGGTAAGCCCTAAAATAAGCTTAAGCCGACTTCAGCTTGGCTGTCGACATCTAGCCAATCGAAGTTGTCAAATTCTTCGGGTTGCTAGAAGCTGCAGAAGTTCAGCAGTGCTAGGTACTATCTTGATGAGGTATTTCTTCATCTTGCATAATTACCATTTCGCATAACGCTATTTCGCATAATTGCATTTCGCATAATTTTTATTCCGTATAACGGCGATTCCGCATAACGATGATTTCGCATAACGCCTATTTCGCCTAACGGCGATTCCGTATAACGGTCATTTCGCCGAACCGTGATTTCGCATAACGATCATTTTGCATAATTTTTATTTCACCTAGCGATGATCTCGCATAACGTTTATTTCGCATATTTTTTAGTTAGTATCAACCAAGAGCAAAACAGGGCGCTTTACATGATCAGAGTGCAGTAAAGGTATCAGACAACCCCAATGCCTAGCTACCATTTACGCGGATTCCGCATCTGCAGTAAAAGTAATGCTTTTGACCTAGATTCGCGGTCAGATTTGCTAGTTTACACATGGATACTAACTACAACGTAGGATTTTTGGCAAAGCCCCTCAAAACAGACGTATACCCCATGGGTCATGGGTTTTGAGTAAGCTTGGAATATCTGCAAGGAAGGGCGCAAAAAACCGCGCAGTTAGATTGTTTTTCATCGATTGCTGATTACGAAGCTAAAGTTATATATACCATCGGCTGCCAATAGCGGAAATTATGCGAAATGGCGGTTAGGCGAAATCAAAATTATGCGAAATGGTCGTTAGGTGAAATGGAAATTATGCGAGATCATCGTTATGCGAAATCACGGTTAGGCGAAATCACCGTTATGCGAAATAAGCGTTATACGAAATAAGTGTTATGCGAAATCACCGTTATGCGGAATAAAAATTATGCGCAATACAATTATGCGAAATGGCGGTAGGCGAAATGAAAATTATGCGAAATGACTGGAAATCCTTGATGAATACCCATAATTTATTCGTTGAATCACATGACCGCAGGAATCATACAATGACCGAGAATGTTGAGCTTAGAACGAGGTGCAGAATTGGGGGACGGTCGGTTGGGTTGGCTTGGTCGTAGTAGCAGTAGTTGTCGTGATGGTAGCAGAGGTAGGAGTTGAGGTAGATGAAACCGTCGTTCCATTAGCAGCAACGATCGGTGTGGTTCCATTCAGAGCAACAGCCCAGCTTCCCTGTCCACCATTTCCGCCACGGCCTCCCGTCCAGCTTCCCTGACCGCCTTGGCCGCCCTGGGTCATCTGAAAATGAGAAAAATGTTGTTGTTACTAAACCGTACGCTATCGCACGCAACCGTGCTGGAGCATATCGTAGCGGACGGTAGCCTATTGCTGCGTACTTTAGCGTATTGCAGCGCACGGTTCAGTACGGCGGCGTACTATAGCGTCTGTTATGTACAGGAGCGTATTGTATCTCGCCGTAGCGTATTGCATGCGTACTACATCGTAATGCAGCGCATTCCAGAGTACTGTAGCGTCCCGCAAGTGGTGCATACCGTACTCTAACCTGATCTGCCGTATTCTATCGTAACCTACTCTATCGTACTGAGGCCATCCGGTACTTTTTACTACGAAACGTACGCTCTTGATCTGGTTGATCTCCCATTGTTGGAAGGCGTTGTACTCGGTGACGAAAGTCTAAAAAAAGTTGGATTTATCTCTCTCTCTCTCTCTCTCTCTCTCTCTCTCTCTCTGGCGCTCTCTCTGTCGCTCTATCTATCTCTCTCTCCTCTCTCTCTCTCTCTCTCTCTCTATCTCTCTCTCTCTGTTTCTTTAATTTTCTAAAACTGACAGCCATAGTCGTCTGCTCATCACTGGTCAAGTTGCGGACCCAGATTCCGTTGATGTACACTTGGTTGTTCTAAAAACCCCGAAACTCAAAAAATTCCGCAAGACTCCACCTGGACAGCGCATCCCGGGAAGATGTACAGAACCGTATCGGTTCCATTACAGAATGACGGCCTGGAGGGACGAGTAAGGTTTCGCATCTGTTGCATCAGGGCTTCCTCGGCGGCGCTTGGGGTTACTGTAACAGAATTTAAGTTCTTAGGATAAAACATTTTTCATTTTTAAGAATTTTTATCATATTTCGAAAATGGAAAACAGCTTTGTTTGGTGCAACCAATTTTTGAGAAAAGTCGGGTATAGAATACCTTAAGAATAACCTACCAGCCACAAATCCTCCATTTCCGCCCTTGCTGCCCTTTTTGTTGTTCTTCCCCTTCTTTCCACCGGTACCGGCTACGGTAGTGGCAGAGGCAGCAGAAGCAAAACGGCTTTGCGTCAAGTTCTGGAGCTGCTGGGAGAGGGACTGCATTTGCTAAAAAACAACCAGATTCATCAGGCGAGCCAGAGTGCGAGAGAGCGATAGAGAGAGAGAGAGCGCGCGAGAGGGAGAGAGGGGTAGAGAGAGGGAGGGCGAGAGACATAGAGGAACTAACCGTCCGGTATGTCGTCAATTCCGTCTGATATTCCGTGACCTCACTCTGTTCGGCTGTCGTCAGTTCACGGCCGTACAGCTCGTTGGCGAATAGTTGGGTGCCCTAAAAGCAAGCGTAATTTGATTTGCTTGGATTTGACGGTTTTCTCTTTTCCAAGGGTTCTGCTTTCCTGCAATCTCCAAGAGCACGGTTTTGAACAATTTTTTAGATTTTTCAAGCTTTTTAAAACTTTTTGCTAGCCTGATTTTTCTAAAAACACAGTTTTAATCGATTGCTCGAACGTGTTAGGGCTCCCAAAGTGTTTCTGCTAGCGTGCGCTGTCCAAAATGTCAATTTTTTGATTAGGAAATTTTCAAATCCGCTCCTGAACTTCTTATGATCAATTTTCCGCCCAAAATGAGCAAATTAAAGGACAGGGAAGTAAAAATATTTTTTGGATTTTTGAGGACAAAAAAACGTTAAAAATGACAAATACACTTTTAAATCCCGATGGAAAACCCAAAGTCGTGGTAAAATCCTACCGTAACCGTGCAATCCCCAGTAATCTCCAGCGCGTTCAACTCCGGGGCCATCATCGGCATGAAGCTGTTCTGCATGGCCATCGCCAAGGCCGGGAGGGCGAGGAGGGCATACGGTAGTCGGAGCATGATTTAGAATTTATTCGGATCAGGAGACCTTGTTGAAGAGGCAACTGTCCAAAACCACAACCCCATGGCCCTTTATAGTATTCTGAAACTGGTGGTCCATTTTTGGTCGGGGCGGCTTGTTAGTGAGTGGTAGATGACGAATACATAACGATATACACCCGGGTACAGCTTAACCCCCTACCCCACCCTCACTCAAAATATGTCACGCCTGACTGAGAGGCCATCGAAACAAGAATGAACGGCGTAAACGTGGTGCTCCCGGCCCGGGTGATCGTAAACTGGATTTTTTTGGCTTTGAAGTGTGGAGCTTTGTCGTGTCGGAAAACCCCCGCGTCCGGGTAATAGAAAATTTTTCTAAAGGGTCTGAGGCCGTGGCGGAACCATTTTGACGTAGTGTTCCCTTCCCGTGACGCCTGGATTTTCTCTGCATTCTCTTGCTCTCTCTCACCCTCATCCTCTCTATCTCGCTTTATCTCTCCCTCACGCTCTCTCACCCTCATTCTCTCTATCTCGCTTTATCTCTCCCTCACTCTCTCTCACCCTCATTCTCTCTATCTCGCTTTATCTCTCTCACTCTCACACTCTCTCTCACCCTCTCTCGCTCTCTATCACCATCCCTCGTTCGCTCTATCTCTCTCTCTCTCTCTCTCTCTCTCTCTCCCAAGCGCTCGCGCTCTCAGCCTCTAAGCTACTATCTTGCCTTCAAGTTGTTTGTTTTTCTATTGCACCGTATCTTTTTCAAGTCCATCTTTATACTTCTGTGCAAAATTACAGTTTTCTAATTTCCTTGAGCATCGTCGTCACGTACGGCTTCTTCTTGAGCCCGTTGTTGCCCTGCTGCATCCCTTGCCGTTTCCTGATTCATAGTGGTCGACAAACTAGAATCCCTGGTTTTCAAAAAACAATGATTTCTTACAATTCCGACCCGATGGCAATGGCTTCCGGTGAGCCACGGCAACTGAAACCAAGGCGATGACGCGGCCCTCACCCAACATTGTCAAAACGATTCCTTACCATGGAAACCACGTCTTGGACAATGACTTCACGTAGGTCCGATGCGGCGTGTAGCAAAGCAGAATGCCAATTGATGAAACGAACCCGTGTTGCGCGACGCAGAAAAGCAGGAAATTGGTCCACCATTGGGGCATCCAGCTCTCCTCGAGGAGTGAGACGGCCATCGATACCATCGGAAAGATGACACACATGAATGGGATAGTGATCTGAAATGGCGTAGGGTAGTATGATGCCGTTAAAGAAATCAACAATATGAATGATTTTCCCGATTCTAAAGGTATACGGTAGCCCTGATCGATTAGGCCGCATCACGAGTGGCAAAAATCAAACCGGTTAGGGTATGCAAATAAAGGTAGTGAGAACGGTCCCAGGAGAGGGAGCAGAGCCACTTTCGCAAGCCATGCGGCTTTATGCCAATTTATTTGGGCGTTTCTGATACCCTTAATCCAGGGCGCGAAAAATTTTTGAGAACTCCCAAAAGGACCGCCGCCAGGCGATTTCTGACTAGGGTTTAGACCAGCGCCGCGATAGCGGCGCCAATTTTTTCGAAATTGGAACGATAATTGTTGCGAAACTAATGAAAAAAATCGTGATTTTTTTGTAATTTACCTGTGTTGTAAATTTGTTTTTGCTTGTTGTAATAAATATTTGTAATAAATATTGCGTTACTTGTTACCAACCGTGAAGCAGTCATAGGCAACTGAAGAAAAAATGGCAACTGAAGCAGGGGAAGATGAAGAAATTCTCTAAATTTATTCCTACAAAGCTACCTAAACTACAGACTACATCTGCGTTATATTCTTATTCTGAAAAATCCTGATGCAACACGAACCGATGCGTTGATGTGGTCAGCGACGCGAGCCGTTTCCAGTACATTATCGTACGGAGCAGATGGAACACCGAAAAATCTGATTTAAAATTCTCAACTCTCCTTAACCAAATTATTGAAAGCTCTCAGATCAGCTTACGGGTTAGCCGAATTATATACGCGCTGTGTCTACTACATACGCAAACTACAAAAATTTTCAAAGCCGTTTGCAGTATCGGCTCGTAGTTGCTGACCCTGAACCTAACGAAAATCCGTATAAAAATCATATCTCGGTGCTCCTTTGTCGAATCGCTTCGAAACTTCTTTGGTGAGTCGGATTGGGTACCGTCTGCATTCGGTAAAAATTTAAAATCGATCCGAGCCATTTAAGATATAGCTTGGGACCAAACTTACCTTGGACATGACCCCTTTCCTCCCTTTAATATGGGCAAAAACAGTCAAAAAATCATATCTCGGTGCTCCTTTGTCGAATCGCTTCGAAACTTCTTTGGTGAGTCGGATTAGGTACCGTCTGCATTGCGTAAAAATTTGAAATTGATCCGAGCCAATTAAGATATAGATTGGGACCAGCGACTGCGAAACCTAATTTCTCATCGACTTTGGACATGGGGCCCTATTTCGGCCATTTTGGCCCCCTTAACCCGGGCCGATCGGGGTGAAACTTCGACGCAAGATAGTTCCAGGTATCTGCAACCTCATCCAAAAATAAAATTGGAAAAAGCGTTGATTTCCAGGGAGCCTGGGACCGGGGAAAATCCAATACTTTGGACATAGAATCGAACCTTTTTCCGTTTTTTCCTCTGAACTCGGCATCCATACATTATTTTTTTCCAGGCTGCTGCGGGTGGTAGCCCTTTCCTCGACGATCATTTTGATATATAAAACAAAAAAATTCGCCAGAGCTCCGCAACGCTTGGGACCAAACTTACTTTGGACAGAGCGTTACCAAAGTTGATACTGAAGGGACCGTGGCAGTCGCTGGTCCCAATCTATATCTTAATTGGCTCGGATCAATTTCAAATTTTTACGCAATGCAGACGGTACCTAATCCGACTCATCAAAGAAGTTTCGAAGCGATTCGACAAATGGGCACCGAAATATGATTTTTTGACTGTTTTTGCCCATATTAAATCGCGAAAGGGGTCATGTCCAAAATAAGTTTGGTCCCAGGCGTCGCGGAGCGCCGGCCCAATTTTTTGATTTATATATGAAAATGATCGCGGTGAAAAGGACTATCACCCGCGTAAGCCTCGAGGAAAAATAATGGATGACTGCGGAGTTAAGAGGAAAAAACGGAAAATGGTTCGATTCTGTGTCCAAAATAATGGATTTTCGCCGGTCCCAGGCTCCCTGGAAATAAAAACTTTCTCCAATTTTATGTTTGTATCAGGTAGTAGATACTTGGAGCTATCTTGCGTCGAAGTTTCATCTCGATCGAGCCGGGTTAAGGGGGCCAAAAGGGCCAAAATAGGGCCTTATGTCCAAAATAGATGAAAAATTTGGTTTTGCAGTCGCTGGTCCCAAGCTATATTTTAAATGGCTCGGATCAATTTCAAATTTTTACGCAATGCAGACGGTACCTAATCCGACTCACCAAAGAAGTTTCGAAGCGATTCGACAAAGGAGCACCGAGATATGATTTTTTGACTGTTTTTGCCCATATTAAAGGGAGGAAAGGGGTCATGTCCAAGGTAAGTTTGGTCCCAAGCTATATCTTAAATGGCTCGGATCGATTTTAAATTTTTACCGAATGCAGACGGTACCCAATCCGACTCACCAAAGAAGTTTCGAAGCGATTCGACAAAGGAGCACCGAGATATGATTTTTATACGGATTTTCGTTAGGTTCAGGGTCAGCAACTACGAGCCGATACTGCAAACGGCTTTGAAAATTTTTGTAGTTTGCGTATGTAGTAGACACAGCGCGTATATAATTCGGCTAACCCGTAAGCTGATCTGAGAGCTTTCAATAATTTGGTTAAGGAGAGTTGAGAATTTTAAATCAGATTTTTCGGTGTTCCATCTGCTCCGTACGATAATGTACTGGAAACGGCTCGCGTCGCTGACCACATCAACGCATCGGTTCGTGTTGCATCAGGATTTTTCAGAATAAGAATATAACGCAGATGTAGTCTGTAGTTTAGGTAGCTTTGTAGGAATAAATTTAGAGAATTTCTTCATCTTCCCCTGCTTCAGTTGCCATTTTTTCTTCAGTTGCCTATGACTGCTTCACGGTTGGTAACAAGTAACGCAATATTTATTACAAATATTTATTACAACAAGCAAAAACAAATTTACAACACAGGTAAATTACAAAAAATCACATAGTCAACGGTAGATTCTTAAAAAGATACAATGGCGCCGAAGGCGCCAGAAAAAAATTGCGATTTTACTAGCCCTTAGACCAGCGCCCCGCCCGATTTTGGGACCAGCGCCCACCAGTTTCTGTCCAAAGGGATCGCGCCCTGCCTTAATCTATTGACATGGTGCGCCAGGACTGGAGTCAGTCATGCTTATGTTTGTGGTGCGTCGGATTGTCAGTTTTCCGGCTGAGAAGTGCATGGTGCGTTGATATAGCCCGTTGCGGGTGTGCTACCTCGCTTGACGCTAACCTACGCCGGTGTAAAACATTGACATGGCGCGTCAGACAGTGCGGTCTAACTGCCGATCTCACCTGAGCAAAAAGAATCAGTGTCAAATTCCGCTGCGAACGACGGGTTTGCACGCTGACGAGGGCGTGTTTGCTAATTTCCAGGCAGGTCAGCGCCACCAGGAGAATGATCTAATAAGAAGAGAAATCATCTGAAGGAGAACGGACTAACCGCGGACCCAAATCCAAACGTGTAGCACGCCGTCAGGATGTGACAGGAAGCGAGGGGCTCAACCTTAGCGAGCCACAGGTCGAACGGCTCGCGACTGCTCGAGAAGGCGGTTGGAGGGATCGTGCGTACAAATGGGGCGACCCCGGGATAGGTCTTGAATAGATCGTTCACACTCTCTCATTATCATTCTCTTTCGCCCTCTCTCACTCTCTCACTCACTCTCTCTCACTCTCTCTCTCTCTCTCTCTCTCTTTCTCGTTTTCTCTCACCTTAATATACGCTCTATAAATATATTCATTCACATCGGGCAGTCCCTCCGGTGTAACTTGAGTCACGATAACACCCCTCCAGACGAAAAAGTTGATGACCATGTACGCTGCCCAGAGCAAAATCCCCATCACCATGCAAAAGTAGTAGATACTGAAGATCGTCAGAAGGTGTAGCTGTTTTTAGATTCACTTACCCTTTTCGCATCTTGTTCACCCGCATCAGTTGATATCTGTAAAGATGGAGAAGCAGAACGGTGAGCCAGAAAATGCTGAGCATGAACAGGGTGATAAACTGGAACGGTAAGTATTCAGGTAAGTATTAACTTACCCAAGCCACCCTTGGATACGTAGTGATGAGGTCTTTAATGACGCCATGTGGTGCGATACCCTGCAGAGGGTAGTACAACTCCGGGATGGACAGCTCGAGGAACAGCTCGAAGATCAGGGTCTCCAGCTGAAATTAAGGGTAAAGCAGAGGCAACATGACGTCCGTCGGTGTTATCTTATAATTCTACAGCACTAGAAGAACGTGTAGAAGAGGTCTATAATTACCTGAAGCGCAAAGATGAAGTATCGATATCCCTGGATCATTTGCCCAGGAGCGCGGAGAATGACAAACATGACGAACAAGTTGAAAGGAGTGCTCAACATGACCGAAATGTTGAGAGCTCGAGTGTATGTTGTTGGTGCTTCATACTCGGGAAGCGTGATGTTGCGCATTGATTCCCACAGCATTGCTAAAACCGATTAAGTGGCTTTACCAATCGGTCCATTCGGCCTAGGTTTTCGGCGTCGGGCGCGGAAATGAGTTTAACAAGGTATCATTACCATTAAGAAAATGTGGATTTCGAATCCTGCTGCCAAACTTTGCCGAGGTAAAGCTAGTAAGCAAAAATCGCAATCTCAATAAAGTCTTCTAAAAAGCAAAGAAAGTCCGAAAAGAAAAATTCAATTCAATCTAACAGTGATGAGGAAGATAAATTTGAAATTGACAAGTCAAATTCCCAAAAATAGCAAGATCGGGAAAACAATCGCAAGAAAACACGATTTTCGTGGACTTGTAAAGTCAAGAGCGGGATTTTAAAGAGTCAAGCAAAGCTAGGAAAGCGTACATCTGGTTGATGTGTGGGTGGAGCAGTCGAAGGCAGGTGAATTCCAGCCAGTACCATATGTGAACATGTCGCGAATCTATCCGGCAGGTGAAAAGCCTTCGGAATAAAATTTGACTAGGCTTTGAGTGATGAAATCTATGATATCTATGTGAAACTCAACAGCAATAAAACTTTGATGAATGAGGTCCTTTCAAGGAATATATTTTAAAAACTACAGGGAGTTTTGGAAAGCCCTTAAACTTTCTCGCTCTCTTTGTCTCTCTCACTTTATTTCTCTCTCTTGCTCTCTCTCAATCACACTCCCTCTCTCTTGCCCTCTCTCTCACTCACCCTATTTCTCTCTCTCGCTCTTTCGCAATCACCCTCCCTCCTCTCTCTTGCTCTCTCTCTCTCTCTCTCTCTCTCTCTCTCTCTCTCTCTCTCTCCCTCACTCACTCGCTCTAACTATCTCTGATTCTAGACTTACAAGGGAAGTGCACGACCGGCCCACGAGAAATCGACACGACATATAGTGGATCTGATAGAATCGGACACGGGGATTCCGAATCTGTAATCAGAATTTGCTAAATAAAACCGAGAAAAAAGTTATGAAGCTTCAAAGTTGGCAAAATCGCCCAAAATCGGACTTTTATGGGCCTGTAAAGGCCCAGGGAATGGAAATTTGCCACAACCCATTAGTGCATCTTGTTCAGCAGAAAAAGCGCTTTCGAATGAGCTATCTTACTACAAGTTTACGATGATTTCGCGAAAATCTTTTCTATGAGCTTGACAGGCCATACCCTTGCCCGTCAATCCAAAAAAACTTTTTTTTGAGTGAATTGTTTGCAAACGCTACGTATTACAGCTCATTCGAAAGCGCTTTTCCTGCTGAACAAGATGCACTAATTCTTTTCTCCTCAATTCCGTTCCCCCGGTTTTTACGGGCCCTTAAAGGTACCGTTTTTGGCGATTTGGCCAACTTTGATGCTTCATAACTTTTTCTCGGTTTTATTTAGCAAATTCTGATTACAGATTCGGAATCCCCGTGTCCGATTCTATCAGATCCACTATGTCTCGTGTCGATTTCTCGTGGGCCGGTCGTGCACTTCCCTTGTTAGTCCAGAACTCCAGTCCTCCGGTGCCAGGTGCATCTTTACCACGGGCAAATCCGCTCTCGACTTTAATTAGATTTTCGCACCTAGACAGTCGCGACAGGTGAAAAATATTTAAGGTGTGGACGTTGCTCCCGAGAAATAAGAAAAGTTTTTAATGATTTATCTGTGAAAGCTAGACCTTGATCATTTGTAGGGGAATGAAAACTGTACAAAAATCAGGGGAGCCAGAATATTCCAAAAAATCGTAGCGTAATCTTAATTTTCAATGACAAGATTAGGATTAGGGTATGTTCAGTGCCTTTTAGAGAAGCGCAACCGATAAACACTATTTCCAAGAACCCCGCTGGATTGCCTCAATGCACAAATTACGGAAACCTACCTGAAAATTAAATATTTTAATCACACTCTTGGCTGCTTTTCAGACAAGGTCTTGGTATTTTGAAGAATCTCTGACTTACCGTTTACAGTAACCTTTCGTCCTTTTTTGTGACTTTAAAAAACTTACCCAATACCTTGTGCAGGTAAATTCCGGCGCTCCCGCCCACGTGGCGGGTCAAAATTCCCTCCCCCGGTAACCCTTAAAAACGACCAAATTCCGGTGCACACCCCCTTGACGGGGTCAATGGCATAAGCGAAGAAGCTCGACTAGAATCTTGTATGCGAAGAGCTTCATAATTTCGTCCTCCAGGTAATCGATACCGTCATACCTGAAAATTCACTTAATTAAAAATGTGGCTATTTTTCATCAAATTCTTTACGTTTTTCTTCAGCATTTATGCGTTACAAGGTCGGTTTTAATAAACTTACTAATTAAGGCAATATCAATAATCTACTGTATCAAGTGTATTTAGTATACTAACGTTCTCAGAATAACGTATTTCAGAAGCCCTCCTCCTGTACTACAATGAGGGTCACCGGCTGTTTGTGGATAAATTTTTATCTGGGTTATATTTTAAAGAGCTTTCTCCCGTTTTTACGATGTCACAGATGAATGATACAGGTACGTTTTAAGGCTTTTTAAAATTTGCTGTTTTAGATCCAGTACCCCGGTTTACCCTCAAATTATACTTGCGTATTTGCGGATCGTTAACTTGGTGAGTTGCGGCTCTCTCTCTCTCTCTCTCTCTCTCTCTCTCTCTCACTCCCTCTCTTTCTCTTTATCTCTTTCTTTTGCTCGCTCCCACACTCTATCTCCCTATCTAGCTCTCTCTCTTCAAACTCTTTCCATTTCAGGACCCTCAAGCCCAAGAAATCAGCTGTATGGTCGACTTTAAATACGTTGGTATACGAAAAATTTATTTTTAGCTCTTTTATGGGAATGTATATCGATAATTAAATGATCATTATTTTTAGGAATGGGTCGATGCCCGATTACAATGGAATCCGAACAATTACAGCGGGTTGGAAACACTTTGGCTAAACGCCGATCAAGTATGGTTTCCGGAAAATGTGTTTACGGACCTGTAAGTAATAGCTTTGCACCACTTTAAACTGCATCATTACACGGGGCAATTTTTTCCATTTCCAGACAATCCCTCACAAACATGACGCCAGAGAATCAGCGGCAAGTACGGTTATGGTCGAACGGCACGATCGTCTATTACTTTTCGACGTCGGTCAGGGCTGCCTGCCAGATGGACGTAAGTAAGCGTAACTGAGACGCCGCGACACGCACGCATGCAAGGTGACACATCCGAGACGCGCAACGCACGCATCTGATCCAACAGTCTGGCGCGCATTGCGCGCGTCAGCAACGCATAGCGCACGCAGCGCCGTGATGCAATGGTCCGCAACGCACAACCCGCGAAACGCAACGCATGAGGTTGCGAAACGCAGCTCACGCGCCGATTACACGCAACGCACGCGAATGCGACAGGCAACGGACGCGGCTCAACCCGCAATCCATTCGTACGCGCGACACGCAACTGCCGCGGCTGCGAAAACCGACGCGCGTCACTGTTATACACGTAATGCGCGTCGAGCGTCGCAGATGCTACAAAAATGGTTGCGAATATATTACCAAAAAACCCATAGATCTACCTTACTGGTCCCTTTAATGAGAAATTATTAAGTACGGCTATTCTAATCAGAGCTCCACTAAAACAACAAGACAACCACCGTAATCCTAGCTATATTGACAAATAGAAACCCGATCCCTCCATGCTAATGCTCTTTGTCCAATGCGATAGTGGAACTCCGGAAACAAACAAAAACGATTTCTGGCCTCCGCGGCCACAAAAAGCCACAAAAAATTGGCACCCAGCCCGTTCGGCGGATGAAATTTGACCCGTACCTTTTTGCAGATTCAGAGATGCGATTTCTCGGACGCAAACGAGTAAATATTTAGAGTAGTTGGTTGATCTTTTGATGAGCTGAAGTTTCAAATCTGGGACATTTTTTAAAATGTTGAAATAACAAAAGCTCGGAAAAGGCAAAATCAGCGCAAAAAATAATCATGACTACGATAACGTTTTGCAGATTCGCCTTTTCCCCTTTGATACGCAAACATGCTCGTTCGGCTTCTCGCCGTTGACCTACGATTTCGAGCTGGTCACCTCGTCCAGCCAGTTTTCCGAGGATTTTTATTTGAGTAGTGAAACGGTAGGAGGAGTAGTAGAGCAATAGACTAGAGTAGAAGTAATAAAAAATGACATAATGATTTTTAGGGTAATGGCGAGTGGATCGTTCACAATTTGTCGTTAGTGGCCGAAGTCTACACAGGGCCGACTTTTGACTACGAATGGGTAGGCAATCCAGTCTTGTTAAATGGCTTGCATAGCGACATTTTACGTAATGTAATCTGTAATTGGCAAGGCCATAGGTTTTTCGCAACGCGCCACGCAAAACAAACACGTAGATAACAAAATCCATAAACATATCATACAGCCTCTCTCTCTCGCTCGCGCGCTCTCTCTCTCTCTCTCTCTCTCTCTCTCTCTCTCGCATCCGTTCACTGCTTAATAAAACCGGTTTTCGCAGGCTAATCTTATTTTTCAGGTCGGCTTCTCGGTAAGAATGCGACGACAGCCAGAATATTACATTTTTGTCATCATTCTCCCATGCTTCGTCTTGACGATGTTATCGATAGTTGGCATGTTCTGGAATGCGCCGATTAAGGAGGAAAAATTGACAAAGGTAGCGATTTTCGATCGCTTACGCAGTTATGACGCTCACTTAATTTGCCAGTTTGACATAATTTACCCGAAACCAGTACGGCAGTAAAATTCCCTTTTCAACTGGTTTTCGTGTAGTTGAGCATCGGTCTCACAAGTATGATGTCGATGACGCTTCTCCTCGATATGATGTCGAAAGAAATACCGAAAACTGCAGCTTTTCCGTTGCTAGGTATGGATCGTGGTTCCTTACGATAAGACCACTTTTTCAGGTTTTTACGTAATAATCTCCATAGCCATAATTGCCTTGGGATGTGCCGTTGTCGTCATTGTGTCGTCACCAGCAGATAAGGATACGAAAAAGTAGGCAAACGATCTTATGGTCACGAAATTGCCTATTTCCACGTATTATTAAGGAAAAACCCCCATAAAAATACTCATTTTCAGACCTCTAAAAGAAAAACTCCGTGCTTACCTCCACTCCAGAACTTTTGCACTTCAACTGATTTTCCAACTCCTTAACACTGTCAATTTTTTCGTGTTACTGGGAGTTTGGCTATTATAACACCTTTTATTAATGACTTATCGTATTTTTCGCATTTTATTTACACCAGAACTCGACGGAGATCTATTCAACGACCATAAACACGCACAAAAAAATTGTACAAAAACTTGTAAGGCATCTTCTCAAGGCATATCCCGCATTCTTCGCAGCTCGTTCGACTCGAGTTTTGCAAGTTCTGGGGCGTCTTGTCGCCTAAAAATAGTTAAAAATCGAGTTAACAAAAAGGTACTTACCAAAAATTGTAGTTTTCCGCAGAATACTGTCGATGTTGCACTTTGTCAAAGGTTACGCGGAGGACCGCCCAATTTGTTCGCGTGAATCGCGGGTGGATGCGTAGTCGACTGAAATGGGGGCGTAAATGCGCTTATACCAAGAAAATGGCACAAATTAAACCCGCCGCCGTCGCGTCACGGTCGCGTCGCGGTGGGCCCAGAATTTCATGTCGTGTTTATAAAGCGGTTACGTCGCGGTTGCCGCGAGCAAGGATTTCATGTCGCTACGCGCGTGACGTGACGGTCCCCGGACAACAGATTTTCAGCGCAGCGCAGCGGTCGTGTCGCGGCATTACAGAATTACATATCGTGTTTGTATAGTGGTGCGTCGCGAACTTCGGGACCCAGAATTTAGTATCGTGTCCGCCGAGCGGTCGTGTGGCGGTCGCTGGTCTCGAGCTTTTCATGTCGTGTACGCCCTGCCTACCCGGTTTTCACAAATTCAGCTATCAAATCGGACAGGTGATCGGCGAAGGCGCGTCCGTAGCTGAGTTCTTCCGCTCTAGAAAGTCATTTGACAATTGGAGAAATTTTGGTAAATTCAGTAATACAAGGATTGATAATATTTTTATGTATTATTGTTTAATCAAAAATGATGATACAACTTACGTATACTCCCCAAACGGCGCAAAAAACGCCCTCGACTCGAAGAGCATAGCCATATCGGTTCCGTGGTCGGTGCCCCATTTTCCATTGGCGCCAGCTGGAATTAAGTACATAAATTTAATACCGTTTAAGTTATATCGTTTAGTGAAATTTCAACTACCTGTCGGATGGCCATAAATATTGTTCAGCAATAGGTAGGTAGGTAGGCCATGGTCTGCGTAGTACAGTCCTTCGTGCTGCGTGTCGGCTACCCAGTCGTCTAAAACTAAGCTAAATGGATGATGAAATTAACATAAAATTAGTACGCTACGATACGATACCGTACGTTCTACACTACACACACCGCTATAAAAAACGATCCGATACGCTACCTTCAGTAAAAGTAAGTAATCTCGACGTTCTCGTCCCCACATTTAACTCATACTCCGGATTTGTCGGTTTGTACCTAAAAATAAATTAGTGAATTAAAAGCTAATGGTGAAAGGTATCAATGTTATTTGCAATTTCAATGCATGGATCTAAATAAATCATTAAAACAGCGTACCAAACATTAAAAATATCCCGCACGGCGCTGGAATTCTTGAACCTGGCTTCGATGATCGCTTCACACCATTCTTTTAGCGATATCGGCATCGTCGCTAAAATTTTGTTGACTTTTTTGCTCTTTAAAGAGCCGGACAAGGCAAAGTATGACAAGAAATAGAGAAAAAAATCGTCAATATACCAATTTTTTTACAGTTGAACAACCGCTCGTGAGCCGCATTGCTGAGCAGGGCTTTTACGCGAGCGTTTTTTCTAAAAATATTTTTTCGTGGTTACAGGTTTTTAAATTTTAGAAAAAGAGTTTAATAAACGGCATTTTACTACAATAAACGACTAAAAATCTTGAAATTACCCGTACCTGACCAAGTCCTCCGGGTCCTCGTTAATGATCGCGTCCCAGTACCGGAAGCTGTCCATCACCGGGGTGAACGGGCTCAACCCCATCCGATGGGCCTCGTAGATGTTCTGGAACTACAATCACACCCGTACACGGCACGCGATAGGCGAGAAGATGAAGCTATCATTAGTAGTGTTCAAACCAGGAAACTGGTCGGTTAATAGAAAAAAAGTTATTTAGAAATCTCAAATCCCGAATTTCCGCTTACTCTAACGTCATCATAGTAGTCGAAAAAGTCGCGATTCCGCAAGTCGTCATGATAGCACGACGGATTTGTGTATTTCAGGCATTCTTTAATGCGTTTTGACGACTCGAAGAAGCAATTACAGTTCTTCAGCACTTTGATGGTGTTGGCGCGCTAAAAAAAGGGTTTAAAGGGACGGACAAGGCAATGTAGAAGTGGCCTTTGCGTGTCGCGCGAGCGGCAAAACACATTTAGCCCTAGCGCACGCGACAAGGGACGTGGAGAGCATCCAGGCATGATGCGCGTGGCGCCTCGCGTTCCGCGTCGCGTTGCGTGTAAGCTTATCCGTTGCGTCGCGTGTCGCGTTGCTGGCCATTTTAGGTGCCGCGTTACGACTCTTCCTCGCCCATTTATGAAAGTGCTACTTACCGTCATCTCATTCCTAACACCCCATGGAGCCGTCGCAGTTCCGGAAAACATCATAATTCCTTGGATCAGCCCTAAAATCAACGGGTCATGGCCATCGTTCTCTCTCTCTCCCTCTCTCTCTCACGCTCTCTCCCTCTCTCTCTCTCTAGCTCTCTCTATCTATCTCTCACTCCCCATTCTTATATTGGGAAATACCGTTCGTTTTTGGACTCGCAGCAAGGAGACCAGCTAGTGCGGCTCCTGTGCCCTCCCCAGCCAAAATGATATTGTTTGGATCGCCGCCAAAGTTGTAGGCGTTGTCCTAAAAGAAAGCTAACTTTTAAAGGAACCAGGAAGGCGTGAAGAAACCAGAAATTTGAAAGTTAAGCAAAAATTACCCTAACAAATTTCAGGGCTTGTAGAATGTCTTCAAGTCCAAGATTTCCGGGTATTTCTGGATCGAGGAGGGTCAGGAAGCCTGAAAAACGCATTGGAAAAGAGAAAGAGGGATATATAATAAAATAGAGAGCGAGAGATATAAATAGAGAGAGAGCAAGAGCGAGCTAAAAGAGGTAGATAGAGAGATAGAGAGAGAGAGAGCGGGGAGAGAGAGTGATAGATAAAATGAGATAGATAGAGAGCTATTTGTAGAGATGGCTGACCGTCAAACCCCTGTCGATAATCCGGAGCCACGAAAATCATCTTTTTGGCCGAGAAGTTGCGAATGATCCCAGGTGTTTTGTACCATACCTTACCGCCAGCCTGGTAATCGAAAATTAAAGCTCCGAAAATTGCGGTATACCCGGTAAGAACCGCCATGGATCCAAAAGATTATCGGGAGCCGTTCACTGTAGCGCTAAAAATTTTTACAGAATGAAGGTATTCTTGATACCTGTCTGGTCCAGTAATCCAGCGGTACCACGAGCTTCAACCTCAAGCAATCATCCGAGCCGTAGATTTGAAAACTCGGATCGGTAAGCTCTTGGTTGAGAGAGTATCTGAAGGATACGTTTTACAAATCTAGCGAATAGCCCATTAATGCGCTTCATCTTTAAGTTCTCGATTATATTGATTTAAATTTTTTTATATAACGAAAAGCAGTGAAACTTTGTGCTGTCATTGTTGTTTTCAGAACGAAATCAGTTACTCACTGATGGCAGGACGTCTCGTATCGCACATCGAGCGGGTAGCTCCATGGAACCGGCGGGACGGGCGGCTGAAAAGTGACGGGAAGTGATTATAGGAAAATAAAGACTTACTGTTTCCAAAATAAATGAAAAGGTGTGAATCGGTTTTTTTGTAGGACTTACCTCAAACCTCAGATCGCCGTACGGTGCAGCAGCATACGGGATCGATTCGAAAACTTCTGCAGAGGATCCAAAAGCCTGAATATTTGGCATGTCTCTTGATGGAAACGGGAAAGCTCTTCTTGTAATGTCTATATTTGTGATCAAGCTACCTCGTGGTATATCAAAAATTAAAATCCAGCAGCCACTAGTTGTTATCTGGTAAAGATTTATCGGCTAAGGATATCCTGTGAATTCTGACTCGTGGGCGAAAAAAACTAACTACTGCTCTTTGGTACTTTATAGAAAACCCTTAATCGGTTTCGCAATGGAAAACAAAAAAAAATCCGTAGATGAAAAAAGACGTGCCCGTTCGGTTTTTCGAGCGTAGCAAAATTTATTAGAGCATTTTATCGTGCTTGTATGGTCGTATTTTTAATACGTTAATGGGCGCCGTCTACGGACGGAGAAAATGATGTAACAAAATATGCCATATTAGGCTGGAAGTGTCAGAAATCCTTACATCAACCATCTCTCCAATGACAGTGCCATGTTCTGTAGAGGTATAAACGGCGTATCCAGACGCAAATTGCAGAAAATATAAGTTGGAAATAAGAATGTATTTTAGCAAAACAGCCATCCGAAAACCAGCTGGCACATGTGAAAGTCCAGGCTTTCAATTTTTGGGGTATCCCCCCTGTTTTCTCAAAATCTCCATCTCAATTTAGCCCCCAATGCCATTTTGTCGAAATTTCCGATTTGAAAGCGAGGATCGGCTAAGCGGCTGGAACGGCGGCAGTCCTCTCGCCGTGGCTACCCCAACAAAAAGCGCAGAAAAAGGAGGGTTTATATGTTTTGCCAACGTCCTGGACCGATTTTGAGCTTACGGGATTCGCGGTGGACCGGGAATGATAGTCCGTTTTTTTTGGATAGATGGGACTAGTAAGTATTTCTAATGGGATGGAATAATCAGCCTACGCAGCGTATCTTTTCCGAGTTCAAGACATTCAGTTTTTTTAAAATTTTTACCACCCAACGTTCGGGTTCGTTGTGCTACACGTGACGCGTTAGGAGGCGTTACTTGGGTTATTCTGCGTGCTCTTGTGCTACGACATGTTGCGTAGCTTAACCTAGAATTTCGTGTAATTACGTAGCGTCCCGTTTGCAATACGTGACGCCATGCTACGGCATTGAGTAGCGCTACGCTACGCTGCCTTGCGCCGGGTTGCTTGGAGTTACTCTACGTTGTCATGGTCTGCGTTAAGTTGCCTGTCACGCGTTACGCTGATTGCGTTACGTCGCATCACGTTAATTTTTAGGCGTTCCCCGCGTCGCACTACGTATCTCTCGTTTTCTGATCAGTAGTTTGAAGCAGAACAATTCTAGTGGTGTGTTTTGTGGTTCATGCGGAACTTTCATCGAGCTCAAATTTCCTCGAAAACCTTTTCGGGCTTTGCGACATCAGAATTTGTGCACAATCGGGTGTGTGGAGTCCTTTATCCTCAACTCCGCCACCAAAATGACATCAGCACGATGAAATTGATGGCGTTGAGGAGTTGGAAGGCGAATTGGAGGACGAACGTCTTCGAGGAGAGGTAGTCTCGGAGTTTGTCGGAGAGAGGCCTGAAACATAGCTGATGGAAAAGATAAACGCGTTTTATAAAATTAAGCCAAAACCGACTTTTTCTTATGCGGCTGACTTGGTGAGCTGACGATGACTACGACAGCACAGCCCAATGCGATCGTCGCGATCGAGAAAATTACGTAGAATCCTAGAACGTCAAATTTTACGAAGCTTCGCGCTGTCTGATAGTGAAGTAGCATTTTCGGTGCGTAAAAACCACGAAACAATGTTATATACGTGATAAAAGCGTACCCAGTAGCGGAAAAGTGGCTGTTTTCGGTATTTCTTTGGACATCATATCGAGCAGGAGGGTCATTGACATCATACTCGTCAGGCCGATGCTCAACTAAAAAAGGAACAGGTCAAAAAAACCCCAAACACAGCCACTGCGCATGGCGCGTACGATGCTAGTGCGCAAAGGAGCCTAGTGCTAGTGCTAGTGCCGGAGCTAGTGCTAGTGCATTCGAGTAGAAAGATAATAATACGAGATAATTAACTTTCGAGATAACGAACTTTCGAGATAACGAACTTTCGAGATAATGAACTTTCGAGATAATGAACTTTCGAGATAACGAACTTTCGAGATAATGAACTTTCGAGATAATGAACTTTCGAGATGTTTGTTTTCGAGATATTGATTTTCGAGATGTTGATTTTCGAGATAATGATAGGTAACCGTCACGACCCAGGCTAGACTACGCTACGTTGCGTTGCTATGTGTTGCTATGTCGCTACGTTGCTATGTTACGAACAAAAGTACGTTACGCTACGTACAACAACGCTACGTACCTTGGTGAGCTTCTCTTCCTTGACGTGCGCATTCCAGAACATGCCAACGATCGACAACATCGTCAAGACAAAACACGGAAGGATAATGACGAAGACGTAGTACTGCGGTTGACGTTTAAGCTGCACGTTGAAACCGACCTAAAAAGTTGGTTTTTGACGGTGTTTACTAAATTGATCCAATTTTTTACAGAATTTTTGATGGATTTCTATTCGTCAGTTATTTTGAGATTTTTTAGAAATTTTTAGAAAAAAGCCCAGAATTTTTTGAGCGTTTTTTACCGGCATTCCATAGATCATTTCAACTTTCCCCTTTGTTTATCGCTCCAAAGATTGTATCTAAAGTTTAGTATGGCTTTAAAACAGCATTTTCCCACGCTCTATGATGTTCAGCAGCGGTCCTGGCGATACTACAATTGTAAAAAGCTCACATATTCATAGGCAAACGTTTGGCCGCCGATCATTTCCGAAAAGGTCGAGACGTTTTTGACAACCCATTCGCCGTTGCCCTAAAAATGATCGCCTAAGTATCAAAATTGCCTCAAGGTCATACGAAAACAAAACTCACAGATTAACAAAAATAAAGGTAGTCTATGATAAAATATAGCACAAAAATTTTAGTACCGTTTCCTGTGACGTCAAAAAGTTTGGGGACAACTCGCTCGTTGAGGTCACAAAATCCGGGTTGTACGTCAGCACCGAGAAGCCGAGCGTGCAGTCCTGGGTATCGAAGGGGAAGACGCGCACCTGGAACGTAATTCTTTGTTGTTGCTCATGTTTTTCTCAGTTCTTACCCGATTTTATTAAGATCAAAACCTACATCCATTTGACATGCAGCCCGTGCCGACGTTGCAAAATAGTACCAAACACTTCCGTTGGAAAATACTTTCACTTGCCGCTGGTTTTCTGGTGTCATATCGTTGATGGCCTGGCTGAAAAACGAACCGAGTGATAGAAAGAGAGAGAGAGAGAGAGAGAGAGAGCAAGACAAAGAGAGAGAGCGGGGGACAGATGTACAGAGAGGGAGAGAGTGAGCCAGAGAGATAGAGAGAGTGAGAGCACAGTTCTACGAATTGGTATCATAATGTCGAAAATCATAATGTCGAAATTTCATAATGTCGAAATTTCATAATGTCGAAATGTCATAATGTCGCAATTTCATAATGTCGAAATGTCATAATGTCGAAATGTCATAATGTCGAAATTTACATAGGCTAATTACCGGTGAAACCGCCAAATCCTAGCCAAAAAAAATTTTCCACCTTTTTGTCTAGAATTCGGGGACTTTACCGGGAATTTTAGCTTATGTAAATTTCGACATTCTGACATTTCGACATTCTGACATTTCGACATTATGAAATTTCGACATTATGAAATTTCGACATTTTGAATTTCGACATTCTGAAAATAAGCCCAGTTCTACAACTCACACATCGCTGATGACATTCTCCGGAAACCATACTTGATCAGCCTTCAACCAGAATACGTCCAGGCCACCGTAGTCGGCCGGATCCCAGCGTAGCCGTAGGTCGGGCCATCTCTAAAAACCCCAAAATACAACATTTAATGTATAAAATCCTCTAAAAAGGCGATAATTAAAAATGTAGTTTAAATTATGATATTTAAAACCTAGAATTACAGAAAAAGTTAAAAATCCGTAAAAAATGAAGTGGTACGGTATTACGATACTTTCTAACTCACATATGAAAAATCGACGATTACGGCCATTTCTTGAGCTTGTGGGTCCTAAAAATAGGATTTGTTTAGTTCTTGAAGCTTACCAAGTTCACAATCCTCAAATAAACCAGTATAATTTGAGTTTTTAATCGAGGAACGGGTTCTAAACGCTTCGATATCTAGGATGTTATGGAAATCAAAGTTTTACCACCAGTCTGATTCAGCCCCTTCATCGTGAACACCGGCGACAACTCCTTTTTATAGTAGCCGGACCCGAATTTATCCATATAGAGCCGCCAGGTTTGGTTGTAGAAAAAGGTAAGCGAGTCTAAACAAAAGTATCTTTGTTAATATTTGTTTAGGTCTGTACTTAATTTATTAATTTAGTCTACTGTAATACTTAATTTGTCAATGCAAATTTCAAAACGCCCAGCTAATCTGGATCTTAATTGGCACGTTTAAATAGGGGATTGCCCACTGGCATTGTTATTATTATTATAAATGATTCACACCCACCTTGCAAATTGTTGTCTTGGCATAAAATATCTTGAAACCGGAGTAATAGAATCAAAACTTCAAAAATTCGATAGCTCCAAAAATTCCACCCCATCACCGGCGAGAATTTCGATTTTTGGCCGTTCACATCCGGGCGACCTTTCGAATTGGGGCCCCCAAAGAGAGTCAAGTGTCAATCGGCATATTTGGGTTTGTCTTTTTGCCTTTTGCGGTATTTTTTTGTGGCAGGTACTACAGAGGGGAGGAGAAATTTGATCTCTCCGGAAAGCGGGTGGGCGGAAATCCTTTGACAATAATGGGTAAAAGTGGTAATTAATTAATTTCTCTGTCACCGGCTCTCTCTCAGCCTCACTCTCACGCTCTCTCTCTCCATCTCTCTGCATCTCGCTCTCTCCATCTCTCTTCATCTCACTCTCTCTCTCACTCTCTCTTCTCACTCTCTCTTTCTTCCTATCTCTTGCTCTCTCTCCCTCTCTCCCACGCGCTTCCTCTCTCTCTCTCTCTCTCTCTCTCTCTCTCTCTCTCTCTCTCTCGCTCCCTTTTCTTTGTCTCTGTCTCCCTCGCTTTAACGATTTTTCGACTTCCCGGGGTTATCATTTTTAATATCTGTTGTATTAGAACTTTTTTATTTATTTATTTGGTCAAACTCGTAATGGAGTGATTCTTGTTATTTCTCGAAATAGCTGGCAGAAAACGGCTTTTCGGCTGACGCACTGGACTGGAAAATTTCATACAAAACCCAATGGGTCTCCTACCTATTAATATGCCCCCACTGGCTGCTATAATTATCGAAATATACAGAATCGGCTTTTTGCTGTTCCAAGAGGATCAATAGATTGGTGGCTGATTGTCGTTTCCGCTCTTGCCTTCCAACGATCCACCAAAGAATCCAGGGCGCCGCCGCGCTGAAGTACATCGGGAACTGAAAAATGCGAAGTTTATAGAAATCCGGTCCTTGTGCATTATCGGGGGTTGTCTTTCCTTGAATCCACAAATGCCCAGTTTCGTAATATTAAGGAGTTTAATAGCGTTTTTAGTAAAATTTCGAACTTTTAAGTGGAAACCTCATTAAAACACCTAAAAAAGATGACGTTTTTGTGGAAAATCAGCCGCTTTGGTTGAAAACCTATACTTTGAAAGTAAAAAATGACGATTAAAATTAAATTTCTAATACAAAATTATACGTTCAAAAATAGAAAAACTTTTCTAGGAGAATCTGTAGCGTTTTTACATTTCGGAATCTTAAAGCGACTTCTTCTATTAGCAAGGTTTGGTGTACTAAGGAAAAACGTCGCACCTTTTGTTCAACTTGACCCCCTATTAAAGACCGTCAGAACGATCAAAATTTCGTTAAAAGCCAGAAGTTGCGCACCGGGCGGGGGTCGAACCCGCGATGGTCCGCTCCACAGTCCGACGGCTAACCACTATACCACATTTCCGAGCGGAGAAGGGAGTCAGAGGCGCCCCAAACCCCAGAGGGCGTTTGCCCTGTACGGGGCGCCACTAATGACGCCTCTCTCTGCGCGTTTTTGGGGCCGGACCCTCGGGGTGACAGTGTGCGTTCAAGAGTTCTAGCAGTCTTTAATGCATAAGAACCCAATAAGCAAACATCTTGAGCTCTGATAATTTCAACTAACTTAGGATAAATATTTATCGTTTTGTTTGCAATGTTTTTCGCAATGCCTCGTCATATCGGCGAGCTTAAAGTTACTGCTAGGTAGGTCTCCGTCGTGCGCTACCCGGGACTCCTATTTACACCCCAATGCTATGCGGCGGAATCCTAATTTTTTTTAATTTTCCATGACATCATTTTTTTGCCAGAATCCAAAGCACACGGCTCCCCCCCCCCTCCCCCCCGCCGACTTTTGATTCAGCCCTGCCACAATTATTCTAGTGAGGCAGTATGGCAACATTCGCCCCCAAACAATTATCGCAAATTTTTCTCGGCGTTTTTTAACCGAGTTAACAGCTGGTAATTAAGCCCAGAACACACAGCGCTACATGCACAGAAAGCTAATAACTTTGAAAACCCACAAAACACAGCCCGGAGCCAGCCGAAAAATAGGGCTCTGGCAAGAACTTGAATAACGGGCGGTAGAAGAAGATGGCACAGTTGAACAGCATGAAACAGATCACGTGGAGGACGCTAAAATAACTAATTATGATAAACTAATCAGGATAATGCGGGGATTTTCATTTTTAAAAAATCGGGACAGGGAAGAGAACCAGAGAGAGAGAAAGGTGAGCGAGGGAGAGCGAGAGAGGTAGAGAAGGAGAGAGGGAGAGCGAGAGAGAGGGAGAGAGAGAGCGAGAGAAGGAGAGCGAAGGAGAGAGAGAGGGGGAGAAAGAGACACAGAGAGAGTGATATCTAGATGGAGAAAGTGGTAGAAAGAGAGAGAGAGAGCGAGAAAGAGAGGGAGAGAGAGAGAGGAGGACAAGCGAGAGTGTGAGATGGAATTCACATTCAGGAAAACCTTCTGGTTGCCCCTGAAACCGCTAATAATACCGCTATACTGACCTGTAAGGCATAAACAAATGCATAGTATGTACAAGTTGCCGCCTATGCAAATTTACAGAAACATCGAAGGAGCGCTGATGTCTAAATTAACAAATTTAATAAATTCAACCAAATTCGAGAAGGCCAACTGAAAGTGCCCAACAAATGTAAATATTACACTAACGTCTTTTGACGGTGATATAGGTAAACGAGCAGGGTGCCAAGGAGCAAATTGCTGATCTCGAAAATGGTGGTCATCACCGATTCGATATTCGACTTTTCGGCAATCCCCTGGATATTGCCGATACAATAGGCGACTTGGTTGCCCGGCCACTCGACACCACCGTATTTCCACCACAGCTCGAAGGCGATGAAGAACAGCTGAAATTTGGAATTTTTCTTTTTAGATCGCCGAAATTTTTAAGATCAAATTTTCTCAATGTCGAAAATCCCACTCACCATCGCTCTCTCTCTCTCTCTCTCTCTCTCTCTCTCTCTCTCTCTCTCTCTCTCTCTAGCTCTCTCTGACGTTATTTCCCCGCTCTCTCTCTCGCGCTCTCTCCCGCTCTCTTTCCTAATAACAGTATCTCTCTAGCTGCCTCGCTATCTCTTTCTCTCTCTCTCTCTCTCTCTCTCTCTCTCGCTGTCTCTCTCTCTGTCTCTCTCTCCCTTTCCCTCTCTTTCGCTCTCTCTTGCCCGCATCTGGCTCCAAAAAACGCACTGTGAAAAAGAAGAGCGTTCTCCTCGTCGGTCCCTCATACTTTTGAACTTTCGGTCCCATGAAGAAGTTAAAAAGTCTGACGAGACCAAGGGATAAATTTAAGGCAGGGAGGGCAAAGTTGGAGATCGTAGTGGTAGATCGTAAAGCGTAGCATAAGGAAGCTGATATCGTAGCGTCACATGGTGACATTGTAGAGTGGCGGATTAGGAGGATTGTCTGAAAACTGGATTTAAATTTAATCAATTTTCAGTGTTTCTTGCTTATTTTTGGGTATTTTAAATTTAAAACATTGAATATTGCGTTTTTCCTATATGTTTATCCATTTTTTATTTTTTGTTAATACTGTAGCCATTTTGGGCATAAATTGGTACGTATTGCACTTATACACGTGCCGTTTTTGCCCTGACGGACGCGGTTTTTACCCCAGGGAAATGCCGGCTGACAGCCTTCCTTTAATTGCTAAAAACCGGCTAATTAGAGTCGGGAAAACAACGCTATTTTTATGTAGATCTAAATGCGTAATTTAGGTTTTCTAGATTTGTTCTGGTTAGGGTACGGTAACTTTACTACCCGGGTATTCGGGTTGTCTAGTGAAACAGACACACAAAAACCCCCAGACGCTCAGGAAAATCGACAACTCCCAAGGAAGTGACCTGGCGTCTCGGGAGAGACTTCTTCCCGGTTAAAAACCTGTACGTGAAACTTTCGACTACAAAATTTTCCAATGCATTGTAGTCATTGAGAAACGGAAAATGACACTTCCGGAACTAGAATCAAGGCCTGAAAGAGCGTCTGGAAGTCTAGGGACGCTAGGCATCTCGAGCTCAACCTGACTCGATGAATCTCAAGCACATGATCGGGATCGATCTAATCTGATCCAGGTGGTATTATTTTTCACAACTAATTGCATTTGATTAAGATCAAGACATTTTGACCCGACAAAATGACGCTATTTGGAAGAGGTTTCGGTTGAAAATACACGATTTTGAGCAGTTGGATCTAGTTTGAGCATCTAACGTTGCATAAAACGACTCTGATCGCATTGCCAAAGCACGCAAAGTATCAGTAATGATTTTGGAAGTGCAAATCCGAGAAAATGAGGCAATATCACTGTTCTTGTTTTCTTTTAGAGCGATTTCACTAGCAGGGCACTAGCATGGTGCGCAGCGCGTTGCGTCTCGCTTCCGCTTCATCTAGAGCGCCCTCTAGTGGTCTTACTCGAACCGCAACATTGCCGCATGCGTAGCATATCTATGGAGGACATGCTCCCGGCGTAAGGCGGCTCTAGGCGTAAGGATTTGTTTTGATAAGATTACATAAACCCGAAAAGCGCAAATTTTATTTTTAGCGCTAATTTTGCGATACTCATTGGCTATCCGAGCTTAGTTAAGCCAGCAAGCCCCGCTAAAAACATATTTGAATGCCTTGATTGTGAAAACAGAAGTAAAAAAATGAATTTTTGAGCCTTAACTGTTGGACAGCATCATGTTTACTCCGTCTATTCACGAAGTAAGGCTAGTTATAAAAAATCGACTAACCTGTAACAACATCAACGCCGTACTCTGTAGCATCTGGAACCCGTAGCACAGAAAGACGTATTCTTTAAATGGGAGATCAAGAAGGGAAGATATCAATATTTTCCGAGCCGTATACACAAGCCCAACCACCGATATTATACCGAATATCAGCTGGAAGCTCATCACAAATTTCAGAAATCCACTCGTCGCAAATGGGGATATATCAGGACAATCCATTTATCGCGTGGCTGGTTTTTACAGCTCTGAAATGATGAATGTTGCGAGTATTGGAGCAGAAAAAAAAGAAAAAAAAAGAATTTGATGAGGGCTTGGTGAAACAGGTGCAAATAAATATAGACAACACGCAAAATGGGGGAGCCTGAAAATGTGAAGCGCCGAAAAATGGAAATGGAAGCTGTACTGGGTTGCAACATGCGTTGAAAGGTGTATAAAGTACAGAATAAGGTAATGGACTGGTACCGGGGGGCGGACGGGGTTTTTGATTTTTACGAAGATACAAAAAAATTAAAAATTTCGAAAATCTTACTAATTTTTTATGTGCTTGTCTTGGCGAGAAAATGTGGAACATGCAATCATATGAAAATGGTTTTTTTTCTTCCTTGTTATAGGACCACACCGAGTCGCTAGAAAAAATTGGTTTCCCCTCCCCCGCTAACGACCTAGTACCTAAAAATATAGATAAAGAAATGATCGTTCCCTATCCCTCGCTCATCATAGCTCTCTCTCTGTCACTCTTTCTCTCTCTCACTCTCTCCCTCGCTCTCACCTTCTCCCTTTATCTCTCTCTATCTCGCGCGCTCTCTCTCCATCACGCTCTCTCTCTCTCTCTCTCTCTCTATCTATCTTGCTGTCTATCTCTGTCGCTCATAAAAATCCAAAAATAAAAACTTGGAAAAGCAATTCAACATTTTTAAGTCGATTTGAATGCAAAAAACACTAAAATCAGCACTCGTTGCAAAGCGGATCACAAGAAGCTGTAGAAAGTACAAAAAAAATTTAACGCCTCCATTTTTCAGCGCTAATGCTGTTTTAATAAGCCCGAGGAGGGGCGCGGAGCGGCACGGAATTTGCGGGTTTTTCTGGTCCCCCGGGAATACTGACGCCTGGTTTCTGATGAGAAGCCGCGAAAAAATCAGCGAAACATGCTGCTCCTGCCAATTAGCGCCCTCGCAACAAAGGGGCGTTTGAATCTGTCATCTGCGTGAAAAATTGCAAATTGTTATCCTACTTTGGGAGGGAAATGGCTTTGAAGAATCCTTGTAGATGCTGTACTTACTTACTTTTTGCAATTCCGATAGGAGCTTTTAAAGGGACTGACAAACCACTAATATGGATTTTTTCTAGGCATGGACATTGAAGACGATTTTCCGCACCGCAACATTCCACGCGCCCCGGCGCTATTTCATTGCGTAATTGGATAAACTAAGGACTACTAACAACTATTAAACCCTTAAAAGCAACTGAGGAGAAGCGTGCTGCGTGTCCCATCAAATTGCAGGTTGCACGAGCTGCTTTTAAAGGGTCTGGCAAGGCTTCACTATAGATTTTCTTGGTCATGGAAGGCTTATGAATTCTGCAATGCGCTTGATTCGCGACGAGCATGCACGATTTTTGGTGAATAACGGGTTAAACTGATCGAGCTTAATTTCGGCTTGAGCGTTAAAGGGCACGTTCAGGGACGTTTTTTGGAAAAAAGCAAAGATTTTTGCCGCGGCCGGGGGTCGAACCCGGGCACCCCGCTTGGGAGGCGCGGATGGATACCAGTCAGCCACAGCTACAACCTGTCGAGCGGGCGAGGGGCGCCCCGCGCCGCAAAGGAGGGGAATGGCCTGTCACAGCACGGGCAGGCCGTGCGCGCGGTCCCTACGTCCATAGGGTGTACACGTTGGGACGAGTACAAGCTTCAGTATGATTTTTTAACCAGTGCCTTCTCCGCAATCGCGACCCGTAACGCGTTCAAGGTTGAAATTTTGCAACACCCTCAAAATATTTTTACGGGATGAGATGTGAGATACAAAATAATTTTATGATATTTCGAACGTTTATTTTTCTGCTTACCGTATTCCCGATGCATAATTTGATAATGGAGCTTGTAGCGGATTTCACCACTTTCCAGGTCCCCAGGGACGGCGGTAATTTGATTTTCGACGCGCCGGAAAAGGAGGAAATGAGCGGGAAGTCGGAGGGAACGGGATCAAAAAATAGATTCGGCAACAGGGACCAGCGTTCCTTTTCAACGCTCAAAAATTCAAATTAGATTTAATCGAGCGATAGCGAGAGAGTGTGTGAGAGTGAGTGAGACAGAGAGCGAGAGAGAGAGAGACCGAAACGAAGTACTGAAGCCATGTCAAGGAATAAGAATTCTGTCATGCGACTTGCCGATTGAAATTTATTTCGCGCCACCCACGTTGCCACGCACGATTCATGGGAATTTTCGACGTTTTTGCGCGACTTTTTGGTGGTAGGGCCATGAGACCAGGGCCAGACTGGGCGGGATGAAAGGTACCATAATTGAGGTTCTGAAAATATAGTAAATGCGTAAAGGGAAGCTGACTTAACTTAATTAACTGAAACCCACACGGGCCAACATTTTTTATAAAAAGCCAGCAGCGTAACGATTAAAACTTTAAAGGGTCGCAGAGACGCCAAGGTTCGCCCTTCTCTAGACACTCTAGTCGCAGAGACTAGTCTCAACACCTACGCGTTATGCCAACTTCCGGAATTTTTCTTAAATTCACGATTCCTTTGGCCCTACACCGAGCTAAAATGCTATGATTTGACGCAACGCGTAGTTGCCTAGGCCGAACCGAGGCGGGGGCGAAAGCGAACAGTGAAAAGATTCATTCTCGCACTCACTGGCCTCTTTAAAGGGAGGGCAAACCATGGATATGGACAGGCCCGTAGGAGGGGGCCCAGGGGGCCCTGGGCCCCCCGAAATCGGTCGATGTCCGAAAAGTTCATAAGGGGGGACCCTTATGATTTTTTTATATAAAAATTTTTCTGCCTGCGGCGCCGTTTATTACTGTTTTTAAGGCAGTTTTTACTTCGAGAAAGCCTATTTTTCAAAAATGTTTCCCCTGCGGCGCTGGTTTTCCATTAGTGAAGCAATTGTCTATCAAATTTTGCGCCTGCGGCGCCTTTTTTTATGGTGTTTTCCCACCAATTTGATCGTAACGAACACTCTTTGATAAATTTTTTGCCTGCGGCGCTGTGTTAACCGTGATTTTGGGGTGTTTGAAAAGTGACGACCGGGGGGGTCGACAAAATTTTGGCCCCCCCGAAATGTCGGCTCCGCTACGGGCCTGGATATGGATTTCCTCGGCATTGCCGCGATGCGAGGGACTGAAAGTCCATTACGTAACGGATTAAGGCCAGACTACAGCGGCCAAGGAGCGGCTACGACGGAATTTATAGAAACTTACTAGGATCTAAGCTAAGCCTTACAGGTACCTTTAGGCAAAGCTTTAAGAGTAGTCACATGCAAAAATTCCGCTGAAGCTCCACATCAAAATTCAAATAGATTGGCTTTGTCTGGATGTTGTGGGAACGTCAGCACCGATAGCTACGCAGCACGCCAAATTACGCTTGTAAGAGCCTGCCAATTAGAGTGCGAAGGATAGTAAACTGAGAATGAGGGCTTGGTTTGGTGCTACGCATATCTCTGCCTGGAACAAGTGCATGGAACGGGAAAATTCTGACGCTTCTTCGCCCCCCCCTTGTATTTTGAAAGAAATCCACCTACGCAACGTCGCAAATCATATGTAGACGCGTGTAAAATCATAAGCTTCTTTGATCTTGCACGTTTTGAGCAAAATCGAAAAAGATATACAGGGTGTCCCAAAAAAAACCCCCCTCGGCATTTGGCCGTCTTCTATCCCATCGGGACAAAATTTTTACCAGCGATGGGGACCCAGAAAAACTACGTGCAGCCGAATTTTCTAAACAAAATATGATAAAACAAAAAAGTTATCGCTAAAAAACTGCTTTTTGGGAAACGCTAGTACCGATTTTTGGCTATGTTTTCGCAATTAGCATGCCGATTTTGAGTAATTTTCCCAAAAATCGTCATTTTCGGGTCGGTTTCTGTTCGTTTTGATAAGAAAAATGATGAAAAGTCCCGATTTTGACGTAAGTTTCGTAAATCAAAAAATTTCTTCGGGTGGAAAAAAGTGTCCAGCACGTCTCTCCGATTCTTAAAATTTTGAAATTTTTTTATCATTTACTAATTTTTTTTTGCGAAACGCGCGGATTTTCTGATTTTTTTCTGACAAAGGTGTTTTTACAAAAATCGCAATTTAAGGATTTTTATGCCTTTCCTGGCAGCCCAACGACAGCTCTTTGAAAGCCGTTTGCGAAAACACAACCGGTTAAACTGTGTTTTGGACGAAAAAGGGTGTCCTTTATGCCTGAAAAATGCCAAAAATTGCGCAAAAAATTCCGATATTTCGAAAATCGGCAAGACGTGCTGGACTCGCCTTTCCGAGAGCTTTCGATAGATTCCTAAGTCGTAAAAATCGGACAGGTCTGCGGCCGGCTAGGGTGGGGGGATTTTTTTGGGACACTGTATACTTAATTCCGAAAAAGTTTCACTTTATTAGCAAAAACTGAATACGCCACGTAGGGCGCCACATGACGCTAGGGCACGAAACGGTTACGCCTACGCTACGTAATACACCAAATGACGAAACGTTGAACGTGCAAGACGAAAGCGCAGCTTCTCCAGACCCGTATCTACGGTACACAACGGAAATCCCTTTAATTCCCCGTAATTTGAAAGATACGCCCACGCAGCGCTTGCAAAAAAACACCCACGTAACGTAGCGCTATGGAATGCGGCAAATGTTGAACGTGCACCACCAAAAGCGCATTCCCCCAGACCCGGAATCTACGGTACAAAATCGAAAAACCAAAAAAGAGACACCTGTCGCCTCTGACAAATCACCGTCTAGCGGGTGATTTTTAGTGCCATTCGCCGGCCAATTTCTGTCCACGTCAAAAACCTCGCAAAATTTATGTCTTCCCGTGGAAAGTAAATTACCCCCTCCAGCCCGATTTTAGCGCGCTTTTTCCGCGATTTTCGACTCAAAACCGAGAATTACCGGGGGGTGGAATGGGAAGCAAAAGTTGCCGTTGTCGGCAATTATTTTCCAGGACAAATTGCTGTTTACGAAAAAATCAGAATGGATTGAAATCGGAAAATGAAACGCACAGTCATCCTTTCAAAAAATGTGCACTTTTAACGCTGTAAGGAAAGTTTAAATTAAAAAATTCTAAAAATTTAACAAAAATAGCGAAATTGACGGACAAAAACTTAAAAAAACATTCGGATCTTTTCCAATATCGGGGGAGGGGGCTGCGGCCGGAGGCTTATAATTTTTCCTATGTCTAAAACCGGTTAGTAAAAACCGTAAAGGTTCCAAAAATGTTTTTAGCACAATCTAACTAGATTTTGAATAGAAAAGTATTTAAAAACCTTTAAAAAAATGTTGAAATTTCGATCAAACAGTTCATTTTTGCTCGAAGATTGATAATTTTAAATTTTTTAGGGAATTTTCTGTAACGCATTAGGGTTTAGGAAAAACAAAACAAGTTTAAAAAGGCTTTATATCAGAAAAATTACCCTCCGTTTATCGAGAAAAATTGACTCGCAGAGAAATAGGTATCAGGTAATAAATAGAAAAAATAAAAATTAGCATAAACCAGAATCAATTAAAACGTTTATACAATTTGGAACTTCAAAAATCAACGACTATTACTGTCCAATGGCTACACCGCCAAAAAGTTGTCCAAAAAGTCCCGCTGGCAATTCGACTGCTCGTAGAAGGTCAGGTAGACGTTGCGGTACTAAAGACACAACGTTATTCTTCGTCCTATTTTGGCATATGTTAATTTACCACTGCGAATACGGTATTTTCTATTTTATTCCGTCTGTTAACACCCAAAACTTTAAAAACCAGAATAAAATAGCTTCTATTGCACAAATAGCCTTTTTCCATGAAATCCACGAATTTTAGGCTACTGTACCATGCGAAAAAGTCAGGAAATTGGCCAGGAAATTTACTTCACGTTGGTCTTGAATGGAAACATTGGAAATGACTATATATGCTGCCATTTCTAGGATCTCAGTATCTCAGTTTTTTCTTGCGAAAAATCCGATACTTTTAGGACATACACTTTTATACGGTGGCCGGCGCTGTACGTATTCACACAAATTACATTCTCGAGACGGATGCTCGGGAAGGAACATGTAGTTATTTCTAAATAGTTTTTGTCAGAGAGAGGGAGCCAGAGAGAGAGAGAGAGAGACAGAGAAAGAGAGATGAGAGAGAGAGAGAGTGAGAGAGATAGAAAGTGAGAGACCCAACCTCCATGAAAATAGCCTCTCGTATTCAGCCGTAGAATTTGCCAGGTTTTGCAACTTCAACAGCAGATTCGTCATACTCTCATAGTCTTCAACGTATAGTACGGAATTTTCTGGGATCCCTCTAAGAAATTTTCCGTTTTTATACTTTTTACGATTTACTGGTTTTTCGCGACCTCGCGGCTCCACAGTATCGGGACGCTATGATAGGTCGATCGATTCCAATATTTTTCCGTCACATAGTCCATGCATACTGAATTATCCAAGGCAAGGAAGAAGTAGGAATCCTCCATGATCTCTTTCACGCATTTTTCATCGCCCGAAAATCAAGAATTAGATTTGTAAACATTAGACTTGCGTATATTAACTTTTTAAAAGGTCTAGAAACTTGTAGAATAGTAGAGCTTTCGCTCGACTAGTTCTCGATCACCTACCTCTTTTACAAACATTCTTCTTCGTCTTATCACTGGAACACTCGCCGAACAAGCTTAAAATACCCAGTCTAAAACGTCCTAGATGTCTATAAAAACTAAAACATACTTTTCAAGATATCTAATAAGCCTTGTCCTCCCACTAGGCGTCGATCGACAATTCCCGATGAACGCACTGATGAGGTGGGTTCGATTTCGGTGTAGTTTTTCTTGGTCTATCCCAATTGGTCGGAACGGCAAAGCTGAAAATTACGATGAAAAAGACAAAAACACTCAAATAATATGTTTTTGTTAACAGGTATAGATTTATTTTTTTTTTCGGTATTTTGAAATACCGTTTTTCAGATTCCCCAAAAGAACATATCAATTTACCTGATCATCTTAACAGATGTATTTTCCCCCCTAAAATTGCTTATTTCTGGAAACGCAGCGCCGGTTTACGTTGAGTGACGCGCAAAAAATTCGTTGAAATCCATAGCCTAAGCTTGTCCGTCCCTTTAAAAGCATAATTCTGCTCCGTTTCCCCTACCTTCTTTTCCCGCCATTTCCTTATCAAGCCAACGGTATCTGTTGTTAAACGGAATATCAGCCGTAAATAGGTAATTCATGGATGCGTTGAAAAAGTTTTCTAAAAACTTTATTTAGATAGTATTTGACTTCTTTAAACAAGGCAAATACATCTAAATAATTATGTGTAGAAGTTTAGTTGAATACGTGGTGAGCTATAATTGCAATAAAATTTTTGTCGGTTTTGTACCCACCAATATGCGCCGGAGGTCCAAAACGCTCTGGAGATTCATTGACGGAAAAGACAAAAACTTGCTCGCCATTCCGGGGTACGGTACGAAGGCTGACATATAGGAGATAGTACTTTTTTTGATGATCTGCTCACTCAAAATCGATAAACCTCGGCTCAAAAACGACGGCGTCAGCTTCAGAAATGCGCGATCGGTTGCTGTGCACAATGCAAGAGCCCTAAAAATCAATTTAAAAATTCAGTAATAAAAAACAGCACTATTAACGATTAGCTATCAATTTAAAGTCTAGCACATTAATAAAGATAACAATTTTATTTTTTAAAAAGCAACTAATTGCCAAAATCGACCCTTCGGCTGCCTAGGTTTCGACAACTTCGAGCGGGTTTTGCGTGGCATCCAATTATCTAGACCTAATGTCTGAACAGGGGGCGATTTTCTGGTTATCTAGCACCTTTAAGCACTTACGGGTAATTTGCAAAATTATTTTACACGCAGCTAAAAACCAGGTTTTAAAAGTAAAAGTTCTAAAAGGATTAGAACAACTAAAATGCGTGAATTTTCTGAAACCGTATTCGCATTTCTAACATATCTAAATTTACTTGACCGCTGATATCCAAGCTTCTACCTTTTTCACATTGTTACATTCCTCCCCAGCTATCCAGTACGGCTGTGGTGTATTCAGAAATAGATTCGTATAATAGAGAATCTCGATAGGTTTTGAAATATTCCTTGCTGGCCTCTCCGGCTTCACTTCGATTTCTTTCGCACGGAAATCGAGTAAAATAGCAAATCCTGCGTAGATGATCAGCACAATAAAAATTATACCATATTGGGCATTCGCCATTGGTGTGGAAAATCGATTTTTGGAATGCTATCCCGAATTGATGCACTCCAAAAATTCTGCAACTGGCCCCCCGGACAAGGCAGCTGTCCAAATAATGTCGGACAGGAATACGAATGTCCATCAAGGGATCGCAGCACATTTCAAATAAACAAAATTCTACGTAAAGTGGTTTAAAATTTAAAATAACTAAATTGGAATCGATATTTTAATTTGAGAGCATATTTTACATAGTTTTTCGAAAATAGTAAAGTAGTATCAACTTTATTAATAAGCTCTGGTTCCCTGTTTTATTGCTGTCTTCATTGTCTGTTTTTAAAAACGGTCGGCATCAGGGTTCGTCACGAAAAGAGCGGGAGCTGGGAGCGGGAGCTGATTTACGAGCCCCGCTCAAGAGCGGGAGCGGGAGCTGAAAATCCTTAGCTCTCGCTCAGCTCCGGCTCTTGAGCCGGCTCTTTTGGAAAAGAGGGAGAGCCGAACCCCGCTCAACTCAAACCGGATCCTGCAAATCAGATATCTATGCAAATAAGGCAATGCAAGGCCAAAAATACTCAATTTTTTTGGAATTTTGGGAGATTTGCATAAATAACTAATTTGCAGCATCCGGTGGAGTAGAGCAGGGTTCGGCTCCCGCTTTTTTCCAAAAGAGCCGGCTCAAGAGCTGGAGCTGAGCGGGAGCTGAAAATTTTCAGCTCCCGCTCGGCTCCTGCTCCCGCTCAGCTCCGGCTCAGACCGGCTCGCAGAATGACCAACCCTGGTCGGCATCGATTTTCCAAGTGCATTAGTAATGGCAGTGCATATATTTAGTTAGTTTTTTCTTTAGGTATGTAATATTTTATCTTTCCAGACCCGTATCTTGTAGAATCATGGCTTGTTCGTATTATTGTGACAATTTTTGTCGAGGCGTTTTGCTTACATCCACGTGACAATCTTGCGCGATTTGCTGTGGAAGCCAAGAAGTCGTCTGAAAAATTTAGTTTGTAAAATTTCAAATTACAAACATTGTAAAAATTCCTAGAAAAGCGTACGCTGTCTTTGGCTGCGTTTTAGCGCACCACTGGGCTTGGTACTGCTGGAAATATGCATTCTTCGCCTTTTTCTCAAAATCCAGCAGCTTCTCGGTTTTCGAGATCCTTCGATTTTCACTGTGTCGGATGATCGAGTAAAGTATCCAAGGGCTTATTACGGTCAGGTAAAGCGGTACCTGAAAATTTGTGTTGAACTTTTACACCTTCATTCAACACAAAATGCAAGCTTTAAAAAGGTTTTTAAACCGCTACGAAATAAAAAGGGCTAACAAGTTTGTGTTGAATTTAACTTACAAAAGTATAGCCAGATCCCGCCGAAAAGTATGGTTCGTCCAAGTATGAAAATGTACTCCGATACCATCCGCTGACCACCACGAATAGGATTGTCCCGAGCACGTGAAAAATGCTGAAAAATGCGCTAAATTAAAGGGGCTCCGAACTGCCAAATCAAAGCCCTTTTGGGAGGCCTCTTTGTTTTCTGGCAAATTGCCAGCGGGCGCTGCGGGACAAGAGCCCTCACTCTTTCGATTTCTGCGCGAAGTTGTTTTTGCCCTGTTTCTTTGTGAAAACACTAGAATTTGCCGATTCTGAGCCCATTTTTGAAATCCTCACTCAATTTTAAACAGTTTTGGTGTTTGAATCATCAAATTTGGCCCAGAAACACCCGAGAACGTGATTTCGAGGTGACCACAGGCAATTTCAAATTTTGCGAGCTTCCCCGCCCCTGTGCGTACAGAGGTCTCCGACGTACAGGGCTCCGATTTTCGGGCCGTCACTCAATTTTTGGCATTTCGTAGCCCCTTTAAATTATCATTAACATACCTGTAAGGTAAAAACATGGTCATCGTTTGGATCAACTGCTTCCGGCAAAGGTTGACAGAGATGTCGTAGGATCGATTGACTCTGGAAAACGTTCTTAACTACGAATTTTTCTCCCTCTTCTCTCTCTCTCGCTCTCTCTCTCCCGCACTTTTTCGCTTCTCTCTCTCAAACTTTCTGGAGCTATTTTTTACGTTTTCGTCAAAACCAAAACTTACTTATTCTCCCGCACATACAGCCATATCAATAAAAAACCGATAAGAATTGTGAACACCTCGAATCCTACAGTCACAAATCCCTCTATATTTGACTTCTCGATAATGCTCTTCATATTCGCCGTACAGTACGCCACTTGGCCAGTCGGAAATTCGAATTCGCTGTATTTCCAGTAGAACTGGCCGGCGATGACGAGGATCTGGGAAAATAACGATAAAATCCCTTTAAAAGGCTGTGAGTTCGGATTTAAAGGAAATGAAAAGCGGGAGAATCCACCCGTTCTTCGACTAGGTGCCGCCAACTACACGATGAAGCAAATTACGCAAAGAATTTAGCGTTCTAATATGTCGAAACTTAACATCCAGAGGAAAACTCTGGCGGATTTGCCATCGTAAGTGGGCGTGTTGCGCACTTGTAAATGCTTAGTTGAGCCAGTTTTCGGATTTCCAGGTTTGTCGAATTTTATTTTAACCGTGTCAAAGTTTATTTAAAGTCCTCGGAACGGTGCACTAGATCATCTTCAAAAATTGAACCGGCTACGAGATGCAAACTAAGATGAGTGTGCAGCCCTGACAAGAGCATTCAGAGCAGCTTGTCTCCGAGTCGTCCGTTTCATGCTAATTCGGCTGCGCTGTCTGACTCCCTTTATAACTCACCGAACACCCGAACATCACGTGTCTAATCGCTCGTTCATGGTTTTGTGCCGTAGCGCCGCCAAAGAAAGTGATTAGCCGGAATATGGAGAGCATCATGTTAATATAGGGGAGGCTGAAGATGGAGGAGACCATCATGAAACGGAAGAAATAACACATGCCCGCTTGCATTGTGGCTTGACAAGGAGGCAGGATGAGGCTTTCGAATAGCATTATGCCCTGGAAATATGGGTTATAACAAAATTCTCTCTTTCTCACTCTTTCTCTTTCGTTCTATCTCTCTCCATTTAGCTCTCTCTCCCTCTCACTCTTTCCCGATCTCTCTCTTTTTCTCATCCCTATCACTCGTTTTCTTGGACTCTCTCGCTTTTTCTTGCCTTTTCTCTCAGATGTCTCTCCATCTCTCTCTCTCTCTTTCTCACTCTTTCCCGCTCTTTCTCTCTCTCTCTCTCTCTCACTCTTTCTCTCTCTCTCCATCTACCGCTCTCTCCCTCTAGCTCTTTACCGCTCTCTCTCTCTCTCTCTCTCTCTCTCTCTCTCTCTCTCTCTCTCTCTCTCTCCCCTATCTCTTTCCAGACTCATACCTGCAATAATATAGCGCCTAAACTTTGTACAAAGTGGATAATATAGCAGACAAATAGATGCTCCTTAAATGCCCGGTCTAGATAGATAGAGCTGAATATTCTCCGGAACGACGCGACGATCCCAAGAACAGAAAGTAAGCCGCAGATGAATTGAGTGGCAATTGTGGACCGTAAATACAGACTCGTTGTGTAGATGGCTATCCCCGGGCACTCATCGGCCATTTGGGGAGCTGAAAAAGGTAGCAAAATGATTCCAGCGCACAAAACCGGAAGCTGCCTTCGAAAACCAGAAAAAATTAGCAAAATTCAGGAGCAAAACCCGGAAGGAAATCCGGGGGAAAGCACTTTGAGGGGGCAGGAAAGCTTGAGAATCGTCCTGACTTTGGCGGGATATTGACAGCTATCAGTGAACGCGGAAAACAAAGTATAAGTAAAAAGGTGTGTGTGGTTTTCCACAGTTACTAGACGTGTGTAGGAGCCGCGCGTAGCTGGCGAGGGGTAGCCGACGGCGGGAGGGTTTTCCCGCGTCCTAGCGCCTTTAAAGCAGCCAGAAAAGCGAAAACAATTGTGTGAATACAGTCCATAAAAATCAAATAAATCCTGGCCCGTTAATGAAACCTAGCGTACGTTAAGGTATAGTACGGCTATAGCCTGACTTACCTACGTGTCATTAAAAAGAGTTTGTGTTTTTATCGATTTTTTCAGGACCCCGTTTAAAGGCGAAGGAGGCCTGAAAATAGACCGTCAGCGGAGACTAGGCATCGACAAACTGCACTTATGCCAAAGTTCAAGCCATTTTTTGGGTTGCCCAGTAAGGGCGATTGCACGCGTATCTTGGAGCGACGCGCAGTTGGCGATACCCAGTCCCCGACGGGGTCGATTCCGGAGGCTATCAATTACCGATTTTTCCCTAAGAAAGGTCGACGCCGGCGATACGCAACGCAAGCGCGAACGAGTCCGAATCCACCGGTAAGGCGAAATACAGTAAGGTACGCGTCGCATGTCGTAACCAATGTGAAATCCAAAATTAATCCAGAACAAAATATGTTGTGATGCTTTCTCCGTTCCTTTAAAAAAGAAATGGACTAGCAAAAAATTAGAGAACTTGGGAACCGGGCTCTTCAAGGTTTAGCGTCTCCAAAATGTAGTATACGCGGGGCAGACAGACCCAAGTTCGTCAAGATCAACAAGTCAAAAAACAACCCAATAACTTATGGCCAGGTGCTTTTGTGGGTAGGAAAAACTTGGGTCCGATTGACTTTCCTGGGGGAACGGGAGTCGGAAAATTCGATTCCGAGCGCTTTGAAAATTGACGATTGACTTAATTTGTTATGGGTCTCCCACCCCCCTTGGCCTGCGCGACAATTTACGGATAATTGAACGCGATGTTCCAACCCAACTCAATGGATTTGACACAACAAGAAATAGAGTCGAAGCCACAAATTCTCAAGGCCGTGCAACAATTCCTCAAAATTAGTCGAATTTTAGATTTTTTGGATTTGAGCACGAGCTAATCGCGGTGTCTACCATAATATTTGCTTCGCGGCCCTTTTCCACTGGAGCCTGTCCAGGAACCATGCATTTTAATACTTTTTTAACCTGCGGCGCAAGAGCCTGAGTCAAGACCATTCATTGGCCTGCGGCGCTAGAGCGAGAGCCAGGCCTAAACCTCGCACACCCTAGGCCTAGACATATGTTTTGTTGTTGAACTACCAAAAAGCAAAAAGTAGATGGAAGGCGCCGCCGGAAAGGCCTGTTCTCCCCTGGGGAGGGACGTGGAGGCAAAGAAAGGGCCGGGAGGGTGGCCTTGTGGTCACTTTACAAAATTCCATTTTTAGTCTGAATACGCAGAAACTTTGTAAAGATAATACGATGCGCCTGATCCCCACTATTGAATACATAAGTTGCCCGAATTGCAGACCGAAATTCCACCGGGGCTCCGAGTTATGACCTGTACAACGCGGCTCGTAACCCAATTTGTTAAGGGTTTTCCACTTTTTTTGCTTGTAAAATCGTTAAATGAAGGAATTTCGAAAAACAAAAAAAAAAAAATGCGTATCTGGCAAATGTGTTTCTCCACCTCCATGCCAAAAATCAGCTCGAAATTCGGCCTGACGGCCGAGAAGTCGTCTGCACAGAAAACAGAATGCTTTTCTCGCTTATAGGATAGGATAATCATTAGCGTTTTTACAGTTTTTGTTGTGTCTGCTCCGCTTCTCCTGGGAGAAAATTGAGAACTTGAGTACCAAAATTTTAAGTCATTAACAATCGGCTAATGATCAACGCACGTCAATGCATTACGCGATAAAAATGACCGTTGAAAAACCAACAACCTCTTGGGTTTTTAGAGACACTTTCTATGGCGAATTTTAGTACCGAACAATCAACTTTTCAAAGTACTTTAGTTCTTTCTTTATTTGTTGATTTTATCCAAGCCTGATATCCATTGCTGCCGACAAAAAGCTTCATAAAAGCCTAAGAAAGCTGAAAAATTTAATGTAGAAACTGAGACACCTGAAACCATGGAATTTTGTACCACAATATCGAGGAAAACTTTTAGGAAAAACCGGACATGGCAAACGGCCGGGCCGCCGGCTTTTTTCGGCCGGGAAAATTAGAATGCGGCCGAGCCGCGCGGCTTGGCCAGAGCTTCCGGTCCGGCCCCGGCTTTTTTATGTTTTGAGGCCGGAGTCCCGGCCAAGCCGCCGGCTTTTGAAAAGCCGGAAAGCCGGACCCAAATGTGATTTTCGCGTTTCCGGTACGCAAATTGCGGATTCAATCAATAATTAGCTTTATGGCAAGAGAAAAACCACTCCGCCATAGAAATTCGGTCATTTCCATTCACAATTATGCATAGGATTCACGGATTCTCACGTAAATGAGCAACTTCCGATTTCCTGGCTCGGCCGGACCGGCTTGGCCGGGCCGCAACAAAAAGCCGGCTGGGCCGGGAAGCCGGGTTTCCGGAAGTAAGTCATTAACGCGGCTCGTATGGGGCCGGATTTTTATGGAAATTGGGCCGGCGGCTCGACCGTGCGGCTAGGCCGGCCGGGATTGCCATGTCTGGGAAAAACGAAGATGTGTTTTTAGCGGTCTGGCGATTTTCTAAAATTCCTGGAACTCGGAAAGCGTGGGAAACGACGCCATCGCCTTCTATATTTCTATGCTTTCGGCGTAAAACAATTTTTGAATCGAGGCGAACATTTGTAATTACAATCCCTGATATTCCAAACTAATTTTTGGTTTTCGAACCGCGACGGCGGCTGCAAAATTGGCACTACATTCGGTTCTGGTAATGCACCAGAATGGGAGATATAAGACAGAGAGAGCGAGAGAGAGCGAAAGAGATGGGGAGAGAGCAGAGAGAGAGCGGGAGAGAGATGGAGAGAGAGCAGAGAGAGAGCGGGAGAGAGATGGAGAGAGAGCAGAGAGAGAGCGGGAGAGAGATGGAGAGAGAGCAGAGAGAGAGCGGGAGAGAGATGGAGAGAGAGCAGAGAGAGCGGGAGGGAGCGAACAAGAGAGAGCGAGAGAGAGATGGAGAGAGAGAGAGAGAGAGAGAGAGAGAAGAAAGAGAGAGAGAGAGAGAGAGAGAGCAAGATCAATTGATAGAAAGCTACAGTAATCCCTCTTGGCATCGTACCAATCGGTATAAAAAACCAAAAATCAGAAAACTATGTTGAAAGGCATCTTGAGCCAGAACTTGGACCTAAGCATCCAATCTTGGTTTAATAGGTCGGAGCCGGACCGGAAACTAATCAACCACTCGGTCCTGAAGTTACCAGCTTGCCTTTGCAAAACCCAAACCCCATTAACCGGGACGGAAAACGACCTCATGCGCCGGTAACTGTTCCGGGAACCCCTTGGGTTTCTCGAAATTAGCACTATTTTGAGGGGATTAAGATGGTTGTGTAGCTCCCCTGGGGGTAGCGGCAAAAATCAAAAACCACTGATGTCTGCGAAGCGACGTAACGAACCTTAAAAAAAGTGGTAGTTCTGAACCGATTAAAAAAACAGGGCGCAACGCCCACTGATTCCAGTAAGCCAGGGTTATGATTAAGCCCCTAAATGCGGGTTGGGGAACATGTAAAAGTGGGTATATTTGGAGCAGTGGGCCCTAGAATTTAGCGGCCAAATGGAGCTCAGAATTACACCCAGAAGAAATATTGAAACATTGGGCCTTAGTTCTAAAAGCTGATTTTGATGAAACGGTCTAAAATAAGGAAAGCAGACGTGGAGATCGTGAAAACGACCCCGCTAATTCTCTCGCTCTCCCTATGGCTCGCTCTCTCTCTCTCTCTCTCTCTCAGTGTATCTGACTCTCTCACTCTCTCACTCCCATTGAAATCTATATATTTAGATTTGATTTTTTTTAAAATTGATTCTGAAAGTTCCGCCTTTAGAGATACGTAAAGTAAGGTGTGCTATGAAATCCCAAATCGACTCGTAAGAATAATAATAATGCGGTTTCCGGTATCTTGTATTTTGACGCTGTCGCGTCGAAACCCGCCGACGACAACCTGCGAGTCTGACGAAACCAAGAAAACAAACTATGTCGAATCGGGAAAGTTTGAAAAATCCGAGAGATGCCCAATTATGCGAGCGGTTTCTGTGTGTTATGTGATTTTCGTATCGGGAAGCATAGCACAGGGTTAAAAAAGCAGCCCCACCTAATTAATGCTTATTTTGCGGAGAGACAGGGCAGGGCACCTTGAAGGGCACGTTCAGGGACGTTTTTTTGGAAAAAAGCAAGGCGAGGGGCGCCCCACGCCGCAAAGAAGGGGAACGGCCTGTCACAGCACGGGCAGGCAGTGCGCGCGGTCCCTACGTTGGGACGAGTATACGGCCCCTCCCTGAACGTGCGCTTTAATCCCGGAGGAACGCTGGCTTTGTAGCTTGTGTAGTTTCGGTCGTTGTAGTTTGTATAGTTTCGTAGCACGAATTTATAGTTCAATTTCCTGTTTTTTTGAGGCCTGGCGATGATGTTTCAAACCAACCGGAAATCGAAAATGCTGAATAATGCAATAGTTAGTCTTTTAATATTATTTTTGTGAAATTCAACGGGATTTCAAGTGACAAGACATTCAAAAAACGTAGAAACAATTCTTAGGTGAATTCTTCGTCGAAAATCGACCATTATTATTATTATTATGACAAATAGGTGATTTTTGGGTTTTTCATGAAAATTCGTAAAGTTTTCTTTCTGAGTCTTTCTGAGGGTTGAGGAGGAGTTCTCCGTTTTTTTAGGAAAAACGGCACTCGAGGAAAGATGCCCCCTTCCCACTAATGCGAAAGCACCGTAAAATTTCGCCATTTTGAAAGTTCGGCGTGGTGAAATTTCGACATTATGAATATCCACATTAGGAATTTCTACATCTGAATTTCGACATTTCGAAACTACCCCCTTCGACGGCTAAAAATAACATTCAACACCTCGTCCAAACCTGGCGTACCAAATCGTACTTTAAAGATTGCTTTTTGCGTGATACAGTAATCACGGTAATTCATTAACTCCCTAATCTGCCTGTCTGCAGGAAAACTAGCTAGAAACAAAACTCTGAGAAGCATTTCACCTGCCCAATAAGCCCTCAAAAATCTTCAAAGGTCTGGAGGCACTCTTGTTGCCTTTTACCGTCAGAAATTTGTCTAATGCCTACAGAAAATATCTACGAACGTCCATACCTATTTATACTTTTCCTCCGTGTTAATGTGTGTCTGAGTACGCCGGTGAACGTATTTACGCTCTACATGATTGCGGCGAAATCGACAAAGGGGATGAAGGAATATAGGTGGTGTATCGGGTTGTTGCAGGTATGGGTCTTTGGAGCGAGAGAAAGAGAGAAAGAGAGTGAGAGAGTGCGGGAGAGAAAGAGCGAGATAGAGAGCCAGAGAGGGTGAGAGAGAGCAAGAGAGAGAGAGCGAGAGCGAGAGAGAGAGAGAAGAAGAGAGAGAGAGAGAGAGAGAGAGCGTGAGAGAGAAAGAGAGAAAAGAAGAGCGAGAGATAGTGAGTGAGCGAGAGAGTGCAAGTGAGTGAGAGAGTTGGAAAGAGCAGAGAACTAAAAACTATATCTTTTAGCTGACAACCTCTGTCTTCGAATTGCTGCTTGAAGCTGCCGGTCCGGAAATATTTTTACCGTTTTTTGGGCTAACCATGCACGGCTTTGGCAGCGCATTCTTTTCGATATATCCGGATATCGCATTTGTAAGGGTTTTGCTTGGTAGTGTTTGCGTCTTATGTGTATAGCCGTAAACCGAACAGATTTATAGCTCGGTACGCTTTGGGTATCAGCAACATTCGGACTGGGCATTGTCTTGTGCTTTTTGTATCGATACGAGCAGCTACGATTGGATACTCAGGGATTAAAGTATGTGATTACGGGAAATTATTTGTATTGGACGGTCAAAATCCCGACACTCATAATTCCGACAACCAATCCCGACAGGAGCTGGCATTCAAGCCAGGCATTCCGCCTATCAGAATGTTAGCTGTCGATTTCCGCTTTTTGAAATTTTAGCCGACGGGATTACGGCTGTCGGTATTTTGTCTCTTGGGATCATAGTTGTCGGGATGGTGCTCCTGACGCATGTACCCATTCGATTCCAGAGCGTTCCTTCGAATCGTTGCCCTTGCCGTGATTATATCAGTCATATGGACCATTATTGCCTTAATAGTCTGGCAGGACATCTACATTGTGCGCAACGATCCGGCGCAGGTTGCCGAATTAGCCAGGGTATGTTAAAAATAGCTTAATTAATTTAATGATTTGGAATGAAAAAATATGTAAGTAAATAGGTGTTGCAGCCTGAAATCGAAGTGAAGAATCTCAGACTTCGGGGCGAAGTGTCTCCGAAACTTTACGAGTGAAGCTCATATTTTTTAGAGATTCCCGTATATGGATTCATATCTTAAAACCATGCCAGATACGTTTTACATTGAAAAACGGCTAGATTATGATTTTAAAATCTTCAAAGGTACTTTAAAAGTCGCTATAAAACCCAAACTTTACCTTAGTGGGCGCGATTCGGACGTTCTTCATCTTGATGGGGATTTTTGTCATAGTTGTCGTGTTTACGGTATGTTTTTGGGGTTTAGCTTAAACTGAACTTCTTTTAGGTGGGCTACTTTAGCTACAAAACAACGGCGATGCTCAACGGGCACCAGATCAACCTCAGCCAGGCCACCCGAAAGCTGCAGCGCAAATTTTTTCGAGCCCTTGTCGTGCAGGTATCGGCATAGAAAGAGATAGAGAGAGAGAGCGAGAGAGAGAAAGAGAAAGAGAGAGAGAGCGAAAGAGAGCGAGAGAGAGCGCGAAGAAACGTGAATTTTTAAGGTCGCTGTCCCGCTCCTGACCTGGATAATCCCACTTTTCTTCCTTGGCTACGTCGTGCTCCGCGGGACATGGCAAGGACAAGGTAATACAGACTCCTATACATCTCGCCTTTAACTGTGCATTACGTCTCTTTTTATATTTTAATGACTATTTAGAGGTGATGAACATCTCCATAAGCATCATGGCCACCCACGGCCTGACGTCGTCAATATCCGTCTTGGTTATGTACGATCCTTATCGAACGTTTCTGATCGAAGTGTACCGACGAGTTTTTGGGTAGGTTTTTTGTACACCCCTTAACGTGAATGCCGTTCTTTCTTTCGCTCTCTCTCCCTCTCACTCTCTCTTACGCTCACCCGTTCTCTCTCCCTCACCGTCTATCGTAATCTTTCTAACTGTCTAATCCCCATTTTCAGGATCAAAGAACCGGAACCAACTCAAGCCGTCGGTTCTGGCGTCTCGTTGACTTCGATGAACACGATTCGACCGGCCTAGCTATTCGTAATCTGTTCACCCCTAACCTTTTTACATCCTCATGTAAAACAAAGGTATCCATGTTTCAAAGTGGTGGCCCCTGTCCTAAAAATTGAAGATTTTGGCAAGCTTATAGTTTTCGTGGCACCTATGATAAAAAGTTTACAGAAGTGGTATACCCAAGGTAATTAAAAGGTTTAGCGCGATCTTTCCGCTGCCTGATCCGCACGGAGCAACGTCGAGTTTGTTTATGGGCGCTTGTTCGCGGGGACATGGGTTTGCAGCCTTGGTAAAGACTGTTTTAATAGCTTAAAAAGTTATCTGAATATTTCAGTACCGGGCTCGCTACTATGAAATAATTTGCTAAAGGCCTGCAATGCACTTTTCCGTTGAGAGGTATTGCGAAAATTAAATTTCGCACTGACCGTTTTAATTCTTGTTTTAATGGCTTTATTTTATGGGTGATTAGTGTCTGTTGTTTGCCATGATATGAAACGATAATGCTTTATTCACGTGGAAATACCCGGCGGCGCCTGAAAAGCAGCCGATATCTGTAGACGATTTTGTGGAAAGTGTGTTGTCTGAAAAGCGTTGTTGAATCACGTGTTTCGTTAACTCCCGCTATCTCTCTCTCTCTCTCTCTCTCTCTCTCTCTCTCTCTCTCTCTCTCTCTCTCCTCTCTCGTACGCTCTCTCTCGCTATCTCTCGCTCTCTCTCCATCTCTCTCGCTCGCTCTCTCTCTCTCTCTCTCTCTCTCTCTCTCTCTCTTTCTCTCTATCCCCCTTTCTCCTGCCACTTACAATAAAGACGATCTCCGTTCCACCGGGTCCTCATATCCCCATTGCGATTGATACTGGCGGAAGTAGAGATTCCGGGCCTGATCCTCCATCGATAATAAATTCTTAGTAGTTTCGTTCCGCTTTGTCTCGGCCCTTCTGATAACTGCGTAGAGAAACCATGGACAGAGGACATCAAAGTACATTGGTACCTGAAAATGAGAAATCTATATCATTTTCTCTCACTCTCACCCTCTCTCTCTCTCTCTCTCTCTCTCTCTCTCTTTCTGTCACTCCCCATCTTTCTCTGTCTTTATGCCTCTCTCGTACTCACAGTCTCTCGTTCTGTCACTCTTTCATTTTCCGTCACTCTCGGCGCGCTCTATCTCTCTCTCTCTCTCTCTCTCTCTCTCTCTATCTCTCGCTCTCTCACGCTCTTTCTAATCAAAAACTCACAAAGAAAAACCCGCTAGCCGCCGAGTAGGTTGGCTCCACGAAGCTGCCAAAAATAATTCGAGACAGCGACGATAACCCGGCGGAGAGAAGGAAGGCGATCATGTGGAAAATGGAGTACGGTAGGAAGAGCAACATTGTTTGGATGAGTTGATTGCGCGACATTCGCGTCTGGATGTCGTACGCTTGGTGTCGGCTGGAAGGGATGCAAAATTTTATACTTTTGCTTTTTCTACTACACAATTTTGCGAATTTTTAACAATTTTGATTTCTTGCTTTCGTAATAGTGTAGGTATTCCGTTTTTAACTCAAGGAATTTTTCTCTAACCTTTTCTGCCGATTATACAGCTTGACGAGCAGGGCGCCGAGCCCAATATTGAACACCTCGATGACGGAGACGGCTATAGATTCGATATTTGCTTTTTCGGTCAGCGACTTTGTGTTTCCGGAGCAATACGAGGTCGGTGTGTCCGTCCACGGGAAATCCCCGTACTTCCACACCTGCTCGAGCAGGATGGCGATGAACTGGAATGGGTATTTATCGATTTTTATCTGTAGCTTTCTCTTTCCTTCTCTCTCTCTCTCGCTCTCCATCTCTTTCACCATCTCTCACTCTCTATCTCGCTGTCACTTTCTCTTTCTGTCACTCCCCCTCTCTCACTCCTCTCTCTTTCTCTCTCTCTCTCTCTCTCTCTCTCTCTCTCTCACTCTCTCTCTCTCTCTCACTCTCCCCTCTGTCCTCTATCTCTCTCTCTCTCTCTCTCTCTCTTTTTCTCTCTCTCTAAAACCCACAGTAACCAAGCTGAATATCCGGAAGAAAAGGCGTTCCAGAGCTTTCGTCTTAAAATCGACATAGAAGCAGATCAGCCGATAGAGACCCAAGCATAAATTTATGATAGGGAGCGATACCATGGGTGTGGCTTTTATAAACCTAAATTTTGGAGTTTAGGCAGTATTGTAAGTGGTAGTTTGGTGTCACCATCCCCGTAAAAATATTCCCAAAACTAACTTCATCAAAAAGCACCACCATGAGGGTACGGTAGCCTCGCAGGCCGGCCAGAATATGTGAAGAATTATCAGATGACCCTGGAAAAGTTCGTTTAAAGGACGATTGAAGGCAAATCTATAGAAATCGATCGGTTTTTAGTTGTAAGGAAATTTAATTTGGCTAAAATCATGTTTTTTTACAAGAAAAATAATTGGATAAAAAAACAGGTTTATTATTTTATTATATTTTTGTCAACAAGGCATTGTATTCTTGGATTCGATTTTAATTTAGCTTTTTGCGTTAAAGCAAAGGTTTCTAATAGTAAATGGACAATAACAAAGGTATAATAAAATCATCAACAAGAAAAAAATATAAGTAAATTGAGATTTTCTATGTGCTACGAGTAAAAATGAACTTTAGGATCCCTTTGATAAATCTTTACCTGTAGCAGGGCCTGAGCAACATTCTGGACGAGAAACCAAAAGTATAATTGGAAGATATATTCCTTAAAAGCACCATCAAGTAATACTGAGCACAGAACACGACGCATCGTCAGCACCATAGAAATTGTTGAGAGGATGGCAAGGGCCAGCTGCGTGGAGAGCGTGACTAAAATGAAATGAATTTTTTTTGCGGCTAGAAAAGAAGCCGATGCTTAAAACATTGATTGTAACGACTTCGTTAATATACAATGATTTTGATCGATTTACCCACCCTTTAGCAAGCGGCTTTCCACGTACATTGAAATCGTTGGACAGTCCATATTTAGCAGGTTGGACAACTGAAATGTTCATATTTAGAACAGTCAAAAGCAGAAATAAGCTCTAAAGTTCTGAAATGACTTAAGAGCGTTTTAAAGGAACGAGAGGCCCGGCAATCGAGCGTTTCGTCGGCTAGGTCTCGACAGGGCTTCAAAGCGCCACAATAGCGGGTTTGAGTCGTCTAGACCCGGTTAAAACCCCGGGTCGATTCTAGCCATGTTTTACCAAAAGTGCCCAAAGAGTAAAAAGTAAAAGAGAAGAAACCAAAAAAAAATACAAAAGAAAAGTAAACCCCATAGCTTTGAAACCCCCCCCCCCCCCCCCATCTCTGTATAAGGACTCGGAAGCGAGAGAGTCAACCTTTCTTGCGGACTAGGTCTCGAGAGCTACGCGCCGCGACGTGTGACAATCGAGTGGTTCTGGCCGCTAGTTCTTGACATTGCCACGTGGAAGTGTACAGTAGTTATCGTGAATTGTCGGTCGAAGGCGGGGTCAATTTTGGCACTTCCTAGTCCCTTTAAATCCGTGGGACTTACGTTAAAAACGATCAGTGGTTCTAGAAAGCTACTTCCCTTCACAAGAAGTTCAAAATGAGAATCAACGGAATTTAGTGCGTCTAAATCTAATGCTGGTAAGGGGTTGATTTTCACACTTTTCAACTCATTTAGATACAAAATTAAAAGTTATGCAAAATTCGGTAAAAATTTAGTCCGGAGAATTCCTATTGGCGCTTCGCCAAGACCCCCGGATACCCAAATTTATGCACATTTCCTGTTATCGCCTCCGCCCAAAAGTTCAGCCCGCACCAAAGAACAACAATAATAGGCCAAACTTCTCGAAATATACAACACGGCCAGACAAAAACAAGAGGCTCGTGCGCGTGGTGGCAGTGGTGTCCAGAAAATGTTTTGGTCGCGCCACCAAGCAACTTCAGTCATAATTGAATGTTCTGTTTGGCCCACGCCAAGGTGTGAAAATGGCCGTGGGTCGTGGAATGGACTATATACGGCCACATGAACGAGGTGGAATGGGAATTTTGTTAATAAAGCGTGCGTACCAAGGTGTGGCGTGAGGGTTGGGAAATGTTGAAAATTAAGAAGATACTTAACTAAAACTAAAAACTAAAAACTGGTAGAACTAAAAATTTCCAGTAAATTTGAGTCGCTAATCAGACTTTGTTGCCGTATTTTAGATAGTATTTCTGTCAAATACAGCAAAAAATAAATCACGTTGTTAAAATTTTTCTAAGGAATTATTTTCCTATCCTATTCATTATATTGAATTATTTTTACATCTCACTTCTTTCAAATAATGGCAAAGGCAGCTGTGGATTTTGGTGAATTTATATTCCTAAATTTGTTCCAGTCCGATAAAACCAAGGTTCCTTAAAGGCACTAGAACACCCGAGAGTCGTCCCCTTCCGTCTACTAGGTATCGACGGTTGCGGGCAAACCAAATTACGCAATCGATATGCAATTAATATCGTCTTACCAGGAAAAGTTGGAGTAACCAAATTTTTGAAGGTGTTGACGGGTAGCTGTCGATACCCAGTAACTGGAAGGGGTTGAATAGCCAATTTCAGAAACTTCCCCTTTTTTAAAAGTCTCATATTACTTCAAAATTTCAATTGTACTCTTCAGAGACATAAAAGTCCAAAAAAAATTTTTCCGAGTTACGCTTATTGACGTTTTACGCCCTTCGATCAAAACTGACAAAAAATAAAATTGATTTTTCCGAATCAATACGGTATTTGGGTTTATTGGGAAAAAATGTTCAAAAGTTGTTTGCCGTAGCCTAAGCCTAACTTCAGGAAGTAAGCCTAAGCAACCAGATTGGAGCTGCCAATTACCCGCTCAAAAACATGACTCGACCCCGCCTTCAAATACCTTTAAACCCGGTAATTTCCCCTCGTTCTGATTACAGGGTTCGTGGCAGAGAATGGATGGTTCCAAGATCACCTCCTTTGGTTTTTGAGGGATTTTTGAGGCCAAAACGCGCATTGTACTCCGGGGGAAGTAGGCTGCAAATCTGGCCGTAAAATTGTCATAAAAATCCACAAAGGACCGTCGTTACGGGGGTGTTGCGGAAATCGGCTTTGGACTGGAAAAAACTAGTTGGAAAACTGAAAAAATGCGCTGATATCGATACGTGATTCTCAGCGGAAATTCAGAGCGGACATGTTCCCATGTATACGAAAAAGCGACAGATTTGAACTATGCTCGTAATTTGCATGGGAAAGCGCGGCGATTTTTGAAGTTACCAGTAAGATTGGAAGAGGAAATTGCCCATCTCGTAAAAATTTTGCTGCGGGCGGGAATCGATCCAGCGATGGTTTACCCCACAGCCCAGCGTGCTAACCAGTATACCATGGCGCCAACCGACCCGCGGCGGCAAAAAGCCCTCAAAGGCCCTAAGTGAGGCGTTTCCGGGTTTCTAGCTTTGCCCTGCGCCCAAATTCAGCTTTGCATAAAAATTCCGAATTCCGAATATGAATTACGTCGATAGTAGCGTCTCGTCGGTCCGTCATCCCGACGGACGCCTGCCCATCTTTCTCCAGCCCTTTAACCGGCATAGAAAAATCAAGTCGCCACAAAATTTTCAGACCGCTGATCAAATCCAGAAATTTGTAAGAATAACACTGAACCGGCAGGGAATCCGAACCAGTCGGAAGCGATAAAGCGGGGTAAGAGTCTAGAAACCCCCCCAGCCGGCACCAACTTTTGTATCTCGGCCCCCCTTTGTGCTAGCGAGCTCTAAAGTATACCAAAATGTTCGCCGTAGGCTAATTAGTCAGACTACATTGCAGTTCAGTCGAAAAAAGTAGCGAAAAATAGAAATAAGGAAGGTAGAAAAGTTGAAAAGTCGGCTGGGGGGGGGGGGTTTCCTAGACTTGAGCCTAAAGCGGATACGAAAACTGAAGGCACAAGCTGGGGTTGGCCCAACGTTAGTAGACGACTGTCAAAATACAAAATAATATCAAAATACAAAATACACAACCAACACGACAAAATAGTATCCCACCGAAAGTCGCTTCGAAAATTTCCAACCCAATCCAGTCAGCGCACGTGCAATTTCACGCGCCCTACAAATGTGGTTCCTGGAAATCCCCCTAAACCGAAAAAACTCGCGAAACACGGGAAAAGCACATTTTTAGCTGAAGAAAATCTTCCGATCTGCATAAACTGGTTACTTTGTGAAGACGCATTAAAAATACTTCAAAAGCTATCATAAAGATTAACGGCTGACAATTTCCGGAGAACTCTAACTACATCGCCAATCGAAAGCCGTGGATTCTAGCCAGGTGTTTCTGCAGAAAATTCCCGGGAACACCTTGCCTTCTCGTTTTCATTTTTAAGTTCTATATGGGGGCGGCGTGGGCTATAAAAAATGGAATAAAAATGTAGTCGATTCCGAGCCCTTTTCTAAAAATAGTGAACAAATTTGCGTGTTGACACCTGATGCGTTAAATCCACATAAATGAAGTCGATGCAAATAGAGAGAGGGCGAGGGAGAGTGAGAGCGAGAGAGAGGTAGAGAGAGCGAGAGAGAGGGATATGTTTTAGAGAGAGCGAGATAGAGAGAGTGGGAGAGGGAGAGAAAGAAAAGTGTGAGAGAGAAATAGAGAGGGAGGATAGAGAGAGATAGGGAGAGAGAGCGAGAGAGAGATAGGGAGAGAAATAGAGAGGGGTGTGTGTTTGAGAGAGAGATAGAGATAGAGATAAAGATGCAGAGAGAGAGAGAGAGAGAGAGAGAGAGAGAGAGAGGCAGAGAGACTTGAGAGTTTTCCGACTCCCTTTCAGCCGCAAAAATCGAGTTAAACTCAAAAACCCACTTCCCAAAAGTACGCTCCACACATCGTCGAGGTAGTGCTCGTTCTTTCAGCCTCCCCCCAATTTGCAAAACGAAATTAGACTGGGAAATAAATTTACCACCATTTCCACCTGGTCGCATAGAGGCTGACGTAACTGGGTGGTATTTTCGGGTCACAACGACACCAAGGCGCTATCGGGCTTGAAAATCTAGCGAATCGATTGACTAGGATCTGCGTCTTCAGCTCCAAATGACGCTCCTAGAAACAAAATATAAGGATTCAGAGAGGGGCCGATTATCGCAATTTTTAACACCTCTAAAGGACCAGTAAAGGCAGGCTTCGCGGGGAGTCTGGCGGTTTTAGCCTAGCGCCTGGCTGTCACCACAAACTCCACGGAGGAGGTCGATTCTGGTACTTTTTAACTCCGTTAAAGGACCATTCAAGGCAGAGTTTAGAAGGAGTTTGGCGAAATTTGATGCAATGCAGTAAATAATTCCAAAGCGCCGCCGTAACCTGTCACCTAAAAACCTGCAAAGGCAGATGCCGAGTAAATCCCATTTAATTAGTGCTTTAAAGGAGCAGTAAAGTGGCGCTTCCTTAGTTTTCGGTAAAACCGCATTTGACAACGTTAGAAACCTAGTAAACATCATGCGCCCTTTTCAAATGGCACGCGTAAAAGTCTTAGGTTCTACCCCCACTAGCAATCAACACGGTAGCGAGCAGCGCCAAAAAATAAATTACCCCATTCAACCGGATCCAAACAACCCACCGCCAACTATAGCCCCCCCCCGCGCCCGCCTTCGAGAAAGGCAGCCGGAAATTGACTTACCTTGACTGGAAAAGGGGTGAAAATCATTAGATCTTAGTGTCGGAAGCCTCGGAATTCGAGATTTTTCCGCGCTTCGGAAGTGCGAAGCGCGATTTACGGACGGTAGCCTGGAGGAGGGCTTTGCTGAAAAGATACTGTTAATTTTTGGGGTGCTTTCCATCAAATGCCTAATCCTAGTTCGTTCTCGCTCTATCTCTCGCTCTCTCGCTCTCCCTCCCTCTCGCTCTCTCTCCTCTTTCTCTCGCTTTCTCGCTACCTTTCTCTCGCTTTCTCTCTCTCTCTCTCTCTCTCTCTCTCTGTCTCTCTCTTTCTCTCTCGCTCTCTAGCTGCCTGTCTCACTTCCTCTCGCTCTCTCGCTCTCTCTATCTCTCGCTCTCTCGCTCTTACACCAGCTCTCTCGCTCTCGTCGAAAAGGGCCAAATGAACAACTCTCGACAGCTACGCGGTGCTCCAAAATACACGTGCAAATGCACTTGCGTTTGTTTAAATGTAGCTCGCTAGGGCTAATAAATCTAGGTTTATGCGATTTTAGCGTAGCACGTATTTTTCGAGACGCATTCGAACGATGAGGTCGATTGCTGTACCCTTGTTACGTACTTTAAATGTACATACCTCGATCGCCTCGGTGCTTCCGGTTCCGACCTCCCCCATTGCTTGTTATATTGCGTAAAATATAGCTGTTTAGCTTGTTCCTCCAGCGACAATAAATTCTTCGTCGATTCATTCCTTTGCGCTTCCGCACGTCCGATCACCAAATACAGGAGGCATGGTGCACCGACGGCAAAGTACATTGGGACCTGAAAAATGGAGCCGTATCGTCCGTATTTTGCCGTACGCTATCGTATCGAATCGTAATCTTCTACTATTTCTACTACCTAATAATGTGCTTCTGGTATCGCATCACTAGCTTAATTGTAGATTGCCGTACGATATCGTACCCCACAAACGGCATCGGAGCGTATTTTAGGATTCCCTGTCACGATTTCGAAAATCACCATTTCGAAAATCACCATTTCGAAAAATCCCCAGTTCGAAAAGACCCGTTCTTCAAACAGGCATAAAAATGCAGTGTCGAAAAACCACGGTTTTTCTCGGATATGACTAGTGATGTAATAGAAATTGTTTTAGTGCTGTCTATGATGAAATTAATCATATCTCCAGTGGAAAAATAGACCCCCGAACCTCAAACCAGCCAACGAAAATCATTTTTTCTGCGACTGGGAAATGGGATATTGCTAAATCCTGTGTGTCCCAAATGGTAATTTTTTCGCATGCATAAAGTTATGATAGAGCATTTGTATCGTTTGCGTTCATACGTTTTGTAGCTACGGTATCCACAATTCCTTCATGCTTACAAAGAAATATCCAACAGTCGTCGAATATTCCGATTCGGGCATCCCGACAAAGACGAATTGCAAAATCGGCGTGCTTATAGCCGACAAAAGAAAAGCGGCCAAATGGAATACGGAATACGGCAGAAATAGACGCATCGTGGAGACGAGCTGATTTCGGGTGATGCTCGTCTGGAGGTCGAACGAGCGGTTTGACCGGAAATTCAAAAACACTTTTTACTAGAACAATCGGCTTTACTTTTCCAAGGTCTTCCTCCTTTCGTAGAGACGTACTAACACCCAGCCGAGCATGATGTTTGCGACTTCGACAACGATAACCGTCCCGGATTCGATGTTATTCTTCGTGGCAAACATCTTGCTGGCGGCTGTGCAGTACGCTGTCGGTTCGCTCGACCACTCGAATTCGTAGTACTTCCAGTACTGCTCGCCGAGGATGACCAGGGTCTAAAAGGGGGAAATGAGAGAGAGAGAGAGAGATAGAGCGAGAGAGAATGAAAGGGAGAGATGGTGAGTGAGAGAGCCTGAGAGAGAGCGAGAGAGACAGAGAGAGGGCGCGTGAGAGACAGAGAAAGAGAGAGAGTGAGAGTGAGCGAGAGAGGCAAGGAGAGAAAGAAAGAGAACAACACCAAGTTTTTTCAGGGTACTAGGAAGCTTCAGAATCGACCCCTTCCGGTCACTAGTCTGGGCAACTACACTCGACGATCGATGACGAATTCCGGCCCGATTTGGTCCCCCATAAGCGTGTTAAGACAAACTCTATAATGCTGTTTCAGCTGCCTTTTTGAGTAGAGCGCACTTGTCAATTACTAGTCAACATGAAAGGCCGATTTTGGCGTTTCCTGCGCCTTTAAAACTCAAAATTAAATGAAAACTCACGCATATCAACGCCAAGCATCGATGCAGCAATTTTTCGGCCGCTGGATTTCGGAAATTTGCGCTGAATGTGAGGACCCGAAGTAGGGTCAAAGAGAAGCCGATGAGGGGCAATCCGAACATTGGCATCCCTTTGATAAATCTGTAGAAAAGCGTTAATTGGCCGACAAAGAACGGTGTCCATACTTTAACGAATTGCAGAACCAGTTGGGTACGGTAGCCTGGCAGGTGGGCCAGAAGAAGAACAGCGTGAAGAGGATTACCTAAAACGGCGGATTATCGTGGTCGATTATGATATGAAAACCGCTTTTTTTCTTGCCCGTTGTTTTTGGCAGCACGCAAAATAGAGAAAGAGGGAGATAGTGAAAGGGAGAGAGAGCGAGAGAGAGAAAGAGAGAGAGAGAGAGAGAGAGAGAGAGAGAGAGAGAGAGAGGGAGAGAGCAGGGAGACAGGGAGGGAGAGAGAGAGTGGGAGAGAGAGAGAGAGAAAGAGTCACTGTAAGAGACCCCATCACACATTCGCTACAATTATTTGCTCCCTACACATTGCTGATTCACGTGAGTGAGCCAGCTTTCAAAATTATTTCGTGAGTTTTTCGTGGGAAATTAATTCCGAGAATTCTAACATCTTAGAAAATAAAGTACCAGTAAAGGAAAATAAAAATATTTGCATATAAAATGATGCTATGCAAAGTTACCGCAAAGATTAAGGATGACAATTGGCCAAAAGCCAACCGGTTACGCTATGCAACGAAACGGGGAAAATAGCGACACTTAAGGGAGTAATATACCACGGTGTTGTGTCCTTGAAGTGGGTGAAGTGCTTGATGGAATGTAGTTGAAGTATCGAATAAACAAAAGATGTTTATTCGACAAGCAGCAGACGAGGATAAAATTTGGAGTGATAAAAATGGGCGATTTCCCGGGGAGAGCGGGGGCCTTACGACACGAAATGGGGGGCGCCGTGGCGGGACCACAGGCTACGATCACAAGGGCACGCGATAGGGGGAGGCGACTAGAGTCTAGCCTTTCGCTCCACAACACACGGTCTTAATAGGAAAAGTCGCAGTAAATACTCACGCTCAACGCGATCCCAGCCAAATTCTCAATGACGAGCATGACGTAGCAGTGGACGATGTACTCCTTGAATGCCCCATCCAGGCAGGCAGAGTGGAAGATTCGACGTGCAGTCAGGACCATGACTACCATTGATAGCAGGGACAAAGCCAACTGCGTGCCCAGGACGCCTTTAAGGATTGGGCACTTGACGTAGATGGAGATTTCTGGGCAGGCGTCCATTCTGAGTGCTGAAAAGAAAGCTTTTTGAGCGATCGGAGGTTGGGTTACATACTTGAAGTCTAAAAAATTTACATTTTTTGACGAATAAACGTTTTAATTAATTAGGCAAGACCGCGAGAGAAAGCTAGAAAGAGCGAAAGAAAGAGGGGGAGAGAGAGAGAAAGAGAGAGAGAGAGAGAGAGAGAGAGAGAGATAGAGAGAGAGAGAGAGAGCGGATCCGAGAGGGAGAGAGAGAACGAGAGAACGATCGCGAGATACCTAGAGAGAGAAAGAGATAGACAGATCGAGAGGGAGAGCGAGAGTGAGAGAGAGAGGCAGAGAGAGACAGAGCGAGATAACTAAAAAAAAGCCCTAGCGATTGCGATAGAGAGGATAAGGCGGAGATCGCGATAAGGAGTTTAGGAGAGAACGAGAAAACGAGAAGGAGAGCACGCCCCAACGATTCAGGAAATTTAAGAAAAGGAACAGAGAGAGAGAGAGAGAGAGAGAGAGAGAGAGAGAGAGAGAGCGCGCCAGAGAGAGTGATCGAGCGAAAATGAGCAGGAATACGAGCTAAAAATTGGCAGAGCCAACAATTTCGTCGGTGTCAGCATCCTTCCATACGACCACGGTAGTCGAGATTTTTCCTAAAAACTCAGAAATTCCGATAATGGCCCTAACCATGAGAGCGAAATCAACAAAACACGACGGTTTTGAAGCCCAATTTTTGTGCGAGAAACACCCAGGCAGACGACTCATTGATGCCCTACCAAGCACCTAGGAGTCGAAGAGGAACCAAACCACCTCACGCGTGGTTGGGGTGGCTGTTGGGAAAATTCCCAGAAAATTTGCCGTCGATTTGTTAGTTTTGTGGCTCTGAGGCCTGATTGTAGACGGGGTTTTTCTGGCAGAGGTCGCCGGGAGCAGAATCCCAGCTAAACGATGGCGAAGTAAAAGACCACTTATCCAAAAAAGCAAAAAGCTACGTGTCTTTCACTATCGCGGTCTCTCCCTTGCCCGATCTCACCCTCCCAACAAAAATGCAAGTAAGTACCAAATCGTAATAGCGAATTTTTTTCCAGCAAACTGTATGTGGGGAATAGAGGACTAGATCCACTTGCTTTTTCAATTTTCGGCGACATATCAATACAAATGACACCGGAACAATATGCGTTCCTGAAATACCTGTGGTGACGTTTTTCCGGGCTATGGTGGTGGAATCGTGCCAATTTTTGAGTACATTTTACTGCTGAATGTTGCTATGTTCAGGCGAAAGATTAGATTTGTTGAGACAGGTAAAATTCATTATATTAAGGTTGATTTTAATGCCTTTTAATACAACTTGGTGCATACCTTCGTATATTCCGAGATTTTGCTAAGTATTAGCTACAACCTACATCTAATTACACTCCAAAATTCACAATGATCACACCACTAGAACGCCGCAAAACTGCAGTGCACCTTTTTATTGGAACGCGTGTTATTTGGGCGTCAATGGCATTGGTATGTAGCCAAAAATTGAAAATATGAAGTTGCTCCAATTTTTCATTCCTGACATATTTGAGGAGTCCGTTATGGTGACGCATGGAGAAATATCTTTCCCGCTAGAGTTACGGAGATACTTCTGCAGCTGTTTTGCCGTGGCGATTCCGGGGAATGGCTCGTAGAGTAATTGCCCATATTCATGAGGAGAATCCCAGATAGTCCCGGATTCTACCTAACTCCGAAACAAGCAAAAAGAGCCTCATAATGTTAATTTAATTCCATTTCATAAATTCATGCCTTCGAACTGTTATTTGGATTGGCAAATCATCTCCTTTTCGAATTTACGAGCATAGAAAATATTTCTATTATGTTTGAACTGTTTATATCCGACAGCAACAATAAATATGACTATTGCTAATATGACTACTGTTTTTTCAACTTTTGCTTCCATTTTTCGGCTATCTTTTTTGACTTTGCATCAATTACCATCAATTTCGGCCCTAAATCCCTCATTTTTCTTAACATCGGGGATGATAACACCTTGTTAAAATTACTTAAACAGCCTATTTCCAAGACGAATTTTGCGAAATAAAAATTTTATAGGGTAAAAAAGGGTCGGCGCTTCATTTTCGCCATACATTCCAAAGCTCAATTCCGGCGAAATCCAGGTTAAAAACGTAAAATAAAGTTTATTTTTGCTATAACTCGAAAACTACTGTACCGATCGGGCTGAAAGTTTCTGTGAACATTTTAAATTCCCTTCCGCAGCCGTGTTCCAAATTTCAAGTCGATCGGATTTGAAATGAGAAAATGCCAGCGTGACCTTTTTTATTCCGACACCCTGTATATAAAAAATAGTATTTGTCTGGGTGTGTAGATTTACATGCAACTTCCGTAAGTATGTCCGGGACCTACAGCCTCAGGGGAAGGTTTTTAAGCTATGTTTGATACGTCATTAGGGGCGCAATGGTCCCGAGATGAGTGCACACATATAAAATGTAGAAAAGTCGGCTGTTTTTGCTATTAAAATTAAGTTTTGTAAACATAACGAAAAACCTCTTTGTTAGGAGGCAATTTGCATACGCCGGAAGTCAGAAGTGCCTATAGACAGGGGCCAGCAGGCGTCCTTTTCATTTTTCGATCCAAAATTCGGGAAGAAATATGCAAATTTTTACTGTCATTTGAGTTAGACGGGGCCAGGGTTGAAAAGCCGCGAAGCGGTTTTTTCAACCCTGGTTCTACCTAACTCCAAAACAAGCAAAAAGAGCCTCATAACGTTAATTTAGTTCCATTTCATATCTTTATACCTACGAACTGTTATTTGGGCTGGCAAACTATCGACTTTTCGAATTTAGGAGTATAGAAAATAATTCTATTATGTTTGAAATGTTTAAATCTGACAGCAACAATAAATATGACTATTGCTAAAAAGCAAGAAAGTGTCGTTTCATTTTCTGTCTCTATTCCTGTCATTCGATTTTTTTCTTAATTGTTTTGCAACCGGGTAGCGTGTCGTCCTCGGCTCGGTAATATCCAAATATCCCCCAAGAAACAACATCAATAATCATTTATTCGTTTCCCGCAGATACCGTAGAAAATTTATCGAATTTTATACGTTGGAAATTAATTACAGTAACACGAAAATATGTCGAAAGATATGTCAAATTAAATCGTACTTAAAAGTTTGTTGTAAAATACGAAAAATGATCTATTTATTCCTTTGCCTGCGTGTTTTCCTATACCGTTTATTTATGTGATTTATTCTCCGCAAATTTCGTCGAAAATATATCGAAGTTTGCATAACCGTGTTCAAAAATCGATATCAAATAATATCGAATTAAATAAATAGCTTCGTCTATCCAGTAAAAGAGCTGGATACCTTTCGACGACTTGTAAATGGCCGTGGCGGCAGCGATATATTCAAACAATTAGGTAGTATATCGTTCCTAGAAAGTGGAAAATACCAGCTACAATCATTTTTCCATTCAAAATCAAATTTAGCGTCAATTTAAACTACCAATTCTTCTCCGGGGCTTTGACAGGCGGTAGTGGATTATGCCATTGGGAGGCGAGTTGCGAGAAATATAGGGAATTCGCGTTCTTTTCGATAGATAATAAGTCTTTGGATTCCCGTTTTCGACGCTCCTCGCTGCGTTGGACAAGATGATGCAAGAGCCACGGGCCGAGCAAGATGAAGTACATTGGGGCCTGAAAATGAATACATTTAAGGGCCGCAGTAAGTTCATTTTCGTTCTTAGAACCTTGAATTAAGTTGACTTAGTTTCTCAGCGTTTCGCGAAAGTTTATGCATCATGCTTTGTTCCTAAGCCTGCAGCTCAAGCTTCACGACTATCTTCGTCTCATAAGTCAGTGACGCAAGCTTGAGCGGCGTGCTTGGTTCCTAAGCCCGCGGCGCAAGCTTGACGAGCCAGCTTCGTTCCTAAGTCTACGGCTCAAGCTTGAACGGCTACGTTCATTCTTGAGTCTGCGGAGCAAGCTTGAGTCGTTTGCTTTGTTCCTAAGCCAGCGGTGCAAGCTTCATGATTAGCTTCGTTTCATAGGCCTGTGATCCACGTTTGATAGGTCAGCCTCACTCCTAAGCATGCGGCGCAAAGTTTAGCGGCTAGCTACCGTTTGTCCTATGTTTTTAGTCTACAAAAAGCACCCTTTTACGAATGATGTTCGATTGCGCTTTGTTGTTTGCGAAAAAGTTGCCAAAAAAGTATAGTTAAAGTGAACGGTAGGAACGAATCAAGCGTTGCGCCCCGAAGCGACCTCTTTAGCCCCTGACCCTTCCGTATCCGAGACAGCAGCCCACTGCTTCGCAATGTCTCGCGTTTACTCTCTCTCTCTCTCTCTCTCTCTCTCTCACTCTCTTTAAACTTACGTATATCAATCCATTAATCGACGAATACGAAGGCTCCGGTAGATTTCCCATCACTTTCGGGACAAACATAATCAATAGCGCCGAGATTAGGAAGGTGATAAGGTGGAATATACTAAAACAGCAATTAACGAATTAACGTCCAAAATACCTATACGGTAAAAACAGCAAAATTGTGTGATACAACTGCTTTCTGGCCAATGTCGTCTGAACATCATAGCTTCGGTGGCGTCTGAAGCAAAAATAATGAAACAAATAGCGAGGGAGACAAAGAGAGAGAGAGGGAGAGAGAGTGAGTGAGAAAGAGAAAGAAAGAGATAGAGAGAGAGTGAGAGAGAGAGAGAGAGAGGGAGAGAGAGAGAGAGAAGCTAGCACCTACCTGCTCTGCCACTCATAAAGCTTCAACAACGCGATGGCAGCTGCGATATTCGACACTTCGAGCCACATCACAGCTATCGATTCGTAGGTAGCCCAATTTCCAGTATTTTTCGGAAGTGCCGTACAGTAGGGTACTGGATCTGCCGAAAAATCGGCGCCTTGGTACTTCCACCAATTCCCAGCGACGAGGACGAGGAGCTGAAAATATGGTAGATCTTTTGCTCTCGTTCTCTCACTACAACTCTCTCTCTCGCTCTCTCTCTCTTTCTCTTTCTCTTTCTCTCTTACCTTATCTCTGTCTCTCTCTCTCTCACTTTCTATTTTCTCTCTTTCTCTTTCTCGCTCTCTCTCTCTGTCTCAATTATCCCAGAAAAATTTCAAAGTTTGCAACCGCCTTTTGAGGAGGAACTTATTGAAAACCAGCCTCCAAAACTCAACCAGAAATTCGGTTTCATGCCTCTAATTTCCCCCAGTTATACTCCGGCCAGATACTGTAATTATGACTTCTGTCTACCGTATAATTTGGACCAAAAGGCTATACGCATACAGTTTATTAAAAACAGGGTGTTTGTACTCATTTTACGCATGAAAGGACCAGGGATTTGCTCTCGCACTCTCTCTCTCTCTCTCTCGATCTATCTTTCTCTATCTCTCTTGCTCTTTCTTTCCCCCTCTGTCGGATTTGCAGGGCCTGCCTTTAAAATTATTTGAGGTATTTTAAATTTAATTTTGAACATACCCCAACAATCGTGAAAACTGGTTGCAGCATTGCCTCGCCTTTGCCCTTCTTGAAATTCCTGAAAAAGTCGATCAGCCGGCACAAGCTGAGCGCAAAGTTGATTACGGGCAGCCCCATGATTGGCACCGATTTGGCGTATCTGCAAAAATGTAGTTCGAAAAAGGTATCTAAAAATATTAAATGGATGGCTAAGCTCAGTAATTTTAATGATAAATTTTCTGGGACGCTTACTGTAGCCCTCGACACAAATATCCGGGCATCGTCGCCTGGCAGGTTGGCCAGAAGAGATGAAGGCTCAGGTAGCCGGCCTGAAAAAGCATGGGATGTGTTAGGTTGTTATAATATTTATCGGTATTGATTTTTTAAATCAGGGAGTTCCGGATTCCTGTACTTTACACAACAAAGGTAAGAGTTGCTTATGGTAGCCAAAGATTTTATTAAAGCATCGCTACTTTAAAAAAGTGAGGAGGGTGTAATCAACCTTTCAAAAATCCTCGGAACCACACGCGACGCGGGGCTCACAATTAAATTTCGCACTGCTTCGTTACGATTCTCTGTACGCACGCAAACTACGCGAGACTCCTATGAACATTGGTTGAGGATTCCAGGCCACAAGGAGCTACGAATATAATTTTGTACGTGGAATTTTTTACCGCATAAACAGGAACGCTGAATTTGCAAGCCTGGGCTACACAAGGCTCCTGGGCTCATTTGATTCTCTACATTCCCAAGATTGAGCCCAAATTGTCATTTTCTAGGGTGGATTTTCACGATGCACAGGGGCGTGTTGCGTTCCAGCAATTCTTCGGACTGTACAGAGGAGCACAGCGCTCTGATAGCAAGACTACGCAAGGCTACGTTAGACTTCAGAACTCTGTGCTATCAATCCTCAGAGCGGTAGCCTGCCCGACTGCGCGCAACTCAAGCTGTTTACGAAGGCCGCTGCGATACCAGATTTTGACTACGCGGGACTCCTAAGTCCACGCCAATGCCATGTCTACTCGCGTTTTCTAATCCCGTATTTTCAATATGCACCCACCTGCAAAGCGATCGTGGCGAACGTCTGCACGAGACAGATGGCGTAACAAACAAGGAGATGCCATTGAAAGCCTCGATTCATGAAAACAGAGCCCAGGATTCGTCGGGTTGTCAGTGCCATCGAGAGGAGGGTTAGTAAAGAGACGGATAATTGGGTTAGCATCGTGATTTTCAGGAGCCCGCTACTCGTGTAGATTGATATACTTGGGCAGTCGTCCATATTCTGAAAGGAACACGTCAAAAACTTCAAAGAGAGAGAGAGAGGGAGAGAGAGCACCAGATAGTGAGAGCGTGATAACGAGCGCTAGACAGCGAGAGCGAGAGAGGATGCTAAAAGCCCTAGATTGGCCTTGAAAAATCTAGAAAATGACGATTAAAAATACGCGCTGATTGAACGTTTTGAAAAGTCGCGAAACTCAGAATTTCCGGTGTGAGTTTCAGAGAGACTTTCAGACAGACCGACAGACAGATACAATTTTCGCCAAATTCGATCAAATATTTTTACAATTTAATCGTTGTAAATTGCATTTGATGTATGCTTTCATACTAAACTCTTTCGAGGAAAATAATTCAACAAAAATGGCAGTGACAGCTGAAGCAGGGGAAAATAAACGTTGATTCTTCTGCAATTTTGACAACACGGACTCGAATAGGACCAGCTAATTTATCGAAGAGGTGGGCGTATTATTCTCAAGGTCCTAAAAGTAACTATTTACCCAAATGAAAGGCGGAAACGTGCCCCAAATTATGGAGCTCCCACACTAATAGGGCCTTTTTGAGCTCGGGTCTAACAATAACAGGCACATGCGTTGCGATATTGAATTTGAGAAATTTATTGGGGTGAGAAACTCATGCCAACCTTTGAAAGTGTGAGGTACAAGTGAATTGTAAAGTGTGATCGGAAGCTTTAAAGGGACTTGGAAGGCAAGGAAGAGGGGAGAGCGGTTTGCTCAAAATCTGGCAACTTGGGTAAAAGAGCAGGAAAGAGCAAATGAGGAGACATGAGAGAGAGGGAAAGAGGGAGAGTGAGAGAGAGAGCGAGAGAGAAATAGAGAAGTTCCTAAGCTAAGCCTAAGCTAAGCCTGAGCCAACCTTAAGCTAAGCCTAAGCCAAGCCTACTTTGAACCTAAGCATACTTAACCGCAGGCTTTAGTCTACATAAAAAAAACCAACAGAAGTGCGGCTTCACCACTCGTGGCCAAGTACAGGCAAAGAAAAACAACATCCCGAACAAAAGTAGGCAATTCTTTGCCACAATCGCCTTTGTTTCCTTTAGCATTGGCTTTTCGTATAATTGATGAAAAGCGATTGATAAGACTATCGTGATCGGTAGTGCAATAAGAGCGACTGAAACATTCTTGAGTCAGTTGCAGACGCTAAGTTTTACCTGACGTGTTCGGATAGCGAATTGGCTGCCAATACTCAACGTATCGCAAGATAGGATAATGTACAAGATAAAGAGAATAGGAAATGGTGGCTATGTAATCGAGGCGGAAGATCGTCCAGTCTACATGGCTAGAAACGAGGTTATTACCCAGACGCACCATGTGAAAAGACAAGTAGGCGCCGACGACGACGGGGATATGACGTACCTTTACGGGCTTGTAAATGCTTGTAAAGGGGCTATAGCGCGCTTGTGAAACCTATTACAGGACTCGTCTACGTGGCGAAAACCGAGGTCTGCCGCTTTTGACATGGTGCGCCCAGCGAGGCGCTAAGGCCTAACTGACCTACTGTACGAAGCCACCAACAAAAACCCGGCCGAGTTAAGCGTCACTATCACTTGATAGAGATTTGGAGTATCTTCTTTCCCGAGGCAAGGAATGAATACGATAAGAGTTTGAGAAAGAGTAGCTGCAATGACGATTTCTAGGGTTCTTTCACCACACCTAAAAATTGATTCGACACTAATCTTCAGCGGCATATAAAGAGCCCACCTCAACGTTTTCAAATCTGTAGAAAAATGACTCGAGAGCATTCCGGCCAAAAATTGCCATACTCGGGAAAACGGGTGGTAAAATGCTGCGATGGGGCTAGAGGTCCATTGAAAAGACATCGAAGAGACAAATATAAGAGCAGAAAATAGCAATCCATATGGTACACCTGAAAATAGCGCTCGTTGAAGTCTCGGAGTTCGAGGCTTTCGCAAAAAAAAATTGCCGTTGGAGAAAAGAAGGACGTCTCCATTTTCCTTGCCTGCAACGTACGTTCTATACGCACTCGTATCAGGTAGTACAGTAACGGAGCCACCAGATAGAATTGCATTTCGACACCAAGGGACCAAGCGTGTAGGAATGGGAGGCTTTCTGTGTTCTAAATCCCGCATGCTTATTTTTTTAGTTTTATAAGTTTTCAAGCTTTTATGGTTTCCTAATAACGCTACCACTGAGCTTATTAACCTAAAAACACATTCAAAAACTAAATTTATTGCAAATTTTTACCTCCGCAAAATAGTCCCCATCACTAGTGAGCATCTCCAGATTCAGTCCCATCAATATCGCCGATTTTAGGTGTGGAAAAAATTGGGACAACCGAATCGAGCTGTAGACGTAGATGGCCGAAGGAGCTAAATTAACATATCGTAATTTTTCGGCCCCTAGATACCGATAGAAAGGATGACCATATAAAAAAGCGGGCATATCCGTTTGGCCCGCCGATAGTAGAAATCCAACACTTTCTTCCGCGGGTTCGAACGGTCCTGTGCCAATATTTGCATGATCAGGTAACCGGAGAGCACGAAAAATCTGCCATTTCATGTTTAGAGGAGTATTCAGCGATTAAAACTTACACATCGACCCCAATCCAGCCCAGACTAAAAACCTTCGGCCAAAAATGGTAGCAGAGAACGGCAATAATCGCCAAGGCTCTCAAAAATGCGATATCGTGTCGGTAATTTTTCGGAGGTGTCTGTGGACCTTAAAAATGCCTGCTTAAAACCGGCAATTTTGTTGGATCATAATTTTTGTTGTTTTTTGTTCGATTGGCTAGCAAAATAAAAACCACAAAACACGAGCTCAACCTTACCTTTATGATATTCTTCAGAGCAAGCAATCATCTGGACAAAGTTATAATTCCGGACCAAAACTGCTTTGGCGAGTATATAAAAAAGCAATGGTTTCAAAGAGCAACTTTTTACGATTTGCTACATGCTCGCCAAATATAATGTCAAAAATGTCCACGGCGGCTAGGCAAATAATCAGCGCGCAAGGATGAGCTGGTCCAAAAATTCTAGACTAACTAAAAGACAAATCCAATGCGATTTGAGGTTTTTATACCCACTAGGTTTTCGACGTTTTTGTATATAGATTCAAAGGCTTCTAAGTTATACCGTAAAAAAAATCACGAAAAACAAAAAGTTTTGCAGTGCCTTTATTACTACGCTGCGGGAGTAGATACAAAGTAGCGGCAGATACAAACATGCAAATTATCCTTTATTCTTCTTCTGCAGCTCTTCCTTTCCATTATTCAGAAAGTACTGCGGAAGCGCCGAATGGATAGCATTTTCAAGTTGCGGCTCGATCACCTCCAGCCCGGTTTTCGTCAAATGGCACCCATTGTCGTAGTAGGCCATATTGGTTATCGGATCATACGTCTTCACCAAATTCCGTTTCCTATCTAAACTTTAATGTAATGCTCATTATCAAAAGAATACCTATAAACGGTTCTTCCACATCGAGCAAGTGACATTTCTCACATCGTTGCATCAAAATTCGCAGTCGAACTCGGACCGGATGCGCGGCAAATTGAGTCGCCTACAAATAACATAGTTAAAAATAAGCTAAATACATACGTTATAAGGTAGATTCAACTTGGACATGTCTTGTCCACCCTCTAGCGACGCGATAAACCGATTCAGAAAAGTATTCTTATGATAGTCGTTTTCGCAAAAGAAGGGTTGATGACTCGAGACAAAGATGTGATCGGCGAATTTTCTAAAAAATTCAATAAAGCTACAATATGTAGATACAATAGCCAAAATGACAAAAAATGCGAAGAAAAATGGAACTAAATAGCGTAATAAATGTATAACCAACGATAATCGATCGACAGCTTTTTGATAATACGCCAGTATCCCGTCCTTCTCGCCGAGGAACGACTTCAGGTCCCCGCGAAAGTAGTTGTACCTCAAAAAAAATTTAATTTGGAACTAAATTACCCTAGATACCTCAAGATCACAAACACCACCTTGGGCTTCTTTTTCTCCAAGGCCTCCCAGATGATCTGCGTCTTATCTGTGAGAACCCATTCGGTAATTGAGAAAAATTTTTATACTTGTCGCATCGTGGAAAATCATAGAATTCTCGGGCATCGTGTATGCCTCGAAGCTTGAAGTCAACGTTCCGGGCAGAAATTTACGGACTATCTAACTTAAAGGGGTATTGAAATGTCAAAACTTGGGTTATGTCCTGAAAACCGTAGCCCTGTACGTCGAACTCCTTTGTACGCCAAGAACGCGGGAAGCGCGTGAATTCGAAATGCACCTACCTAATCCGGTTTTAGGACGTTTCTTGGCCAAATTTGATGAATAATAGGCGAAAACTATTCCAAATTGAGTGCTAATGTCAAAAATGAGCTCAGAATCGGCAAATTCTAGTGTTTTCACAAAGGAATCGAGCAAAAAGAGTTTCGCGCAAAAAGAGTGAGGCTCTCATCCCGCGGCGGTCACTGGCAATTTTAGAGAAATCAAAGAACTGTCTGGAAAGGGCTTTGGTTTGACAGTTCCGTGCCCCTTTAAGGTTAAACCTGACTAGTCTGATACTTACATAGCGTTGCTGCGCCGCCCAGGAATTTCCCACAATCACCACGCCGAGTCGACCCGTGTTTTCCTAGAGAGGTCAAGTGCTATAAGTTATTCCGCAACTTACACCCCAGACGAAATGTCCAAAATCACCAGATATTTTAAATATATCGTCCACCAAATTGCCACCAGGTGGAAAATAGCCACCTCAAAAAAACGTTCTGTATCCTCAAGGGTTAAATGTTACCCCCAAAGAACTTCTTGTTTGCCTCGACGACGGCACTCTGGGCTAAACAAAATGATTTGTGATTTAATAAAACACGTTACCGCACTCGCTCTTGAAAATGTGTTTCCATTTAACAGCCACGATCAATAGAATCAGGAAAAGAACAGAAATGTGCTTGAGCACTACGGTTTTTGTCTCACGCAACATTGGTTTTTCATAGAGGTGATGGAAGAGCATGGAGATCAGGAAAGTTAGTGGTAACGCGACGAGAGATACTGAAATTTGATCTCAGCTAGCAGCCAAGGGTGATTGGACACATTGGATTCCGATAGCCAGAAAAAATGGATTGTATTAAGGTAAAATAAAGACAAAAAATCGGTTCTGTTCTATTTCGCGTGGGGGAAAAAACTGTGCGGGGGGATTTTCTTCGTTTTTTATAACTCTTTTATATGATGCTATTTTGAATTGTAACTAAAACTCTTAGTATATTTTTTGACGCTCTATCGAATGGCAGTAAAGAAATTTTTGAAAGTTATCGAAAATGTCGAAAACTAGCTTTCGACTCCACGATCCCATGTGGAAACACCGAATAAACCTTGTTTTTGCTATAACTATTTTATAAAACAATATTTTTAGATGAAACCAGGGTTGAAAAGCCGCTTCGCGACTTTTCAACCCTGGCCCCGTCTGAGCCCATGATATCCTGCACATTGCATAATTCGACCGAATTTCGATGAGAAATAATGAAAAATGCACCCTCTCCGCCGTTATAAAGGCTGCCGCCACTTCCGTCTTATGCTAATTAATGCCTAACAAAGAGGCTGCCCGATTTTTTAACAAAAAATGATTTTTAATGTCGAAAACCAGGTTTGAAAAGCCGCTACGCGGCTTTTCACCCCCTGGCCCCGTTTAGGGCCCATGATGGCTCCACTTTGCATAATTCCACCCCGCCTATGCCCCAAATAAAAAATCAAATGCAATGGCTCTCCCCCCTTTATATAGGCTCCCAGCGCTTCCGGCGTATGCTAATTGATTCCTAACAAAGAGGTTGAGCGAGATTTTAACAAAAACCTATTTTTAATATCGAGAACAGCTGATTTTCAAAAACCTCATATATGTGCAGTCGTGTCATGACCATTACGCACCTAATGACGTATGATACGTACCCCTAACTACTTCCTTTCTTGAGATACCACTGGAACATACGGACGGAAGTTGCATGTAAATGCACACACACGCACACACACACAAACACTATTTTTTTATATATAGTAGGATTAAAAATCTGAGTATATTTTTTGATGCTCTATCGAATGACGGGTTCAAAATATCAAAAAACTGGCGAAAATGCCGAAAACTAACATTCCGGAACCAGTTTCAATAGTTTTTTTTTGTTTTTGCTATAACTTGTTTATATTACAATATTTTTAGCTAAAACAAAAACTCTTAGTATATTTTTTGATGCTCTATCGAATGGCGTTGCAAAAATCCCGAGAAAATTGCGAAAAGATGGAAGGTTCCGCGAAGCATATTTCCCCCACCCCCCGCACAGTTTTTTCCCCCACGCGAAATAGAACAGAACCAAAAAATCTTTTGAAACTGACCCGGAAGGCCCTCGAAATAGAACGGCTGTAGGTGTTGGGCGCACCTCAGCACCGGGTAGTGTACGAGATACAAGGCATAGGAAATGGTGGCGATATAATTAAGGCGTAAACGAGACCAATCGATACGTCTAAAAAAACAAATTTAAATATAGAAAAAGCCGTTAAAAATATACCTAATACCTGTCAAGAACAAAAATGTTAATCCCCAAGCGTAGTAAAGAGTAAACTCACTGACTATACGTAGAAACCATTAAGAAAAGTGCCACAGCGCTCGGGACCCCAAATTGAGCAATATTTTGAGGGCCCGGCTTCTCGGTGTACGGTAGAAAGATTGCAAATACTGGTAGCAATAGCAAAATTGAAGCGCAATTGATCAAAATATTGAAACTCCTATAAAAATTGGTTTTCATGATTTCAAAGAGCTAACTGGAGTTTTGTCTCGTCCTTCGAAAAGTGGCTGGCCAACATTCCGGCCAAAAATTGCCAGATCCTCGAGAATGGATGGTAGAATGCTGTGATTGGTGTCGATATCCATTGGAAGTAGAATGACGACATAAAAATCGAAATGGAAAACAGCACACCGACTTTTTGCGCTAAATTTTCGAGTGATACGTTTTAATTTCCGTAACTTACACTCGATTTTAAAGCCAGTTAAGTAGCAAAGGAAAGGAGCCACCAAATAGAATTGCATCTCGACGGCGAGGGACCACGTGTGAACAAAAGGGAGGTTCTCGGTGCTCTAAAATTGGTCCTTATGGCTCTCTCTCGCTCACTTTCTCTCTCGCACTCTCACTCGCTCTCTCACTCACTCTCTCGCTCTCTCACTCACTCTCTCTCGCTCTCTCTCGCTTTCTCTCGCTCTCTCTCTCTCTCTCTCTCTCTCTCTCTCTCTTTCCCTCTGTCTCTTCTCTCACTCGCCCCCTCTCTTATATCGCTCTCACCCTCCCTCTCTTCCCTCTCTCTCTCTCTCTCTCTCTCTCTCTCTCTCTCTCTCTCTCTCTCTCTCTCTCTTCCTCGTTCTCTCTCTCTCACTTACTTCTCTCTCACCCTCTATCTCTCACTCTCTTCATCGCTTCCAAATTTAGACGTTTAAGGTATCCCCAAACCTCAGCAAAATAGTCTCCATCACTCGCGTAGAGCCTCAAGTTTAGTCTCATCAATATGACGCTCATAAAATACGGGAAGAATTGGGCCAGCCATACACCGCTGTACACAAAGAAACAGGAAATCACTGAAATTTTAGGATAATGAAGTCCGTGTGTTATGGTGTAGTTTGTAGCTTGTATCGGCATCAAAAAGAGGTGACGGGTAAAACTCATAAATCATTTTTTGCGGGTTCTTTCCGACTCTTACGTTTTCCGTTACCTACCTATCGCCATCAGGACCATGTAGTAAAGCGGACATATCCTCTTTATACGCTTGTAATAGAAATTGATCAGCTTTGCCTTGAGACTCGACTTATCCTCGGCCAATATTGTCATTATCAGATACCCAGACAAAACGAAAAATCTACAAAATGTTTGCCGCGTTTTCGCCTTTTTCACTTACATATCCACCCCGATAAACCCGAGCCCAAAAACCTCGGGCCAAAAATGGTAGCCGAGCACTGAAAGGATGGCCAATCCGCGGATGAAGGCGATATCCTCGCGAAATTTACGCGTTGGGGCGAAGAGTGCTAAAAAGTTATCATTTTTGTGAGTATTAGAGCGGTTCATAAATCCTATACCTCCATGTGGAATCGTTGATCTGGGCGATTCAACCGACTTCATGGCGCCATTCCCAGAAGACAATAAGAAAAGACTTCAAAAACCGGACGGCCTTCTCAGCAGCTATTTTTTTTTCTTCTTTCAGAGACAAGAGCAACCGTAAATTTTTAAGCAACGTCTGTGCTCAGTATCCACGGCGTGGGTGGGCAGGGACGGCATCGGAGTTCAGCGTTTTTTGCACGCCACAAAAGCCGCTTTGGCCTGTCGTCACTTTTTGTTACCAAAAAATTGCCGAAGCCAGCTACCGAATGCCCTTCCGAAAAAACTGACGGAACGTCCGCATGTTAGTTTCGAAAAAAGCCGCAAAGGTTAGCAGGGCGCAAAAGCCTTCCTGGGAAAGAATCGGTTCCGACTTACTTTCCAATTTAGTTCCCATGTAATAGTATGTGTTGCCCTTCAATAATGTACACCAATTCCTATTTAATATTTATTGATCACGATATCAATCCTTTTCATTCAAGGGAAATATTCTGGGAGGGCAGCGCGGATGGCCTTCTCGAACTGCGGCTCGATCGTCTCCAGTCCGGTTTTGGTAAAGTGGCAGCTGTTGTCAAAGTAGGCGAGGTTCGTCTTCGTGTCGTACACCTGCACCCAATTCTTCTCCACATCTAAATTCGCACAATATAGGCTGTTGGTGTTCGGTGTTCCGAACAATCTTTTCAAACGCCTCCTCAAAACCTTACTGATAAACGGCGAATCCATGTCCAGCAAATGACACTTTTTGCAGCGTTCAAACAGCAACTTCACGCGGATGCGCACCGGATCCTCGGCAAATTTCTTGGCCTGCAACAATACACGTTAAAAACATCACATAAATCAGTGGTTCTGGGCTGTTAGCGGGGGGGGGGATTTTTAGCAGGGGTAACCACTTTTTGTTTTTCCACCTCTACCTTTTGAGGAATATCATATTTTTACAGTGATTTTAGTAGTTTTTGATTGCCAGGAAGTTATAAAAAAATATTTTAAAACTTTTTAAAAATCGAAAATTTTAACCTTTTTTGGTCATTTTAGATACATTTCCGAACAAAAAAATCAAAAAATTTCGAAACTTTTAAAGATTTTTTATATTGATTTTGTATCCGAAAACTATGAAAATGCTAAAAAAATGGTTTATATTTTGTTATAAGGCTGAGAATCACAGGAAAAATCTATCCCCCCGCTAACAGTCCAGAACCAGAAAAACGCCAGGAATTCGCCAAAACCAACATTGTAGGGCATGTTCAGCTTGGTCAAGTCCTTGCCATTCTCGAGGGCGGCGATGAAACGCGAGAGAATATTGTTGTCCTTGCCGGCTATCGGGCAAATGAACGGCTGGTGGCTGGAGATGAAAATGTGCTCGGCGAATTCCCTGCAAATAATGGGATGGGGTTCGCGATGGGAGAAACATATTCAAAAGGCATTAAAGGGCTCGAGAAAGATGCATTCGGCGAAAAAAGAATTTTGCAGCGGGCGGGAGTCGAACCAGCGAGGGTTCACCCCACAGCCCAGCGTGCTAACCAGTACACCATGAGGCAAACGGCCTACGGGGGGAAAACCCTCAAATACCCAAAAATTTCCACAGGCCGATTCCGAGTTTCTCGTTTTGGTTTGCGCCGAAATTGGTATTTGCATAGAGTGCAGTTTACCCTCCACCCCCCGCCCGGCCCTCCAGCCAGCACCCAAATTTGTATATCTGCTCCCTGTTCATCTACAGATCAGTAAAGTATACCAAAATGTTCATCTTGCTCTGGCGAGTATTTTGGTATACTTTACACACCTGTAGATGAACAGGGAGCCGAGATACGGTAGGTGGGGTCGGCTGGGGGGGGTAAACGGCACGTAAGCCAAAAATTACGAATTCCGAAAACGAAGAATTACGCCGATTGCTCCAGCTCTAGCCTTTTAAAAGTGCACACTTACGAGAGCCGATCGACCGCTTGCTGGTAGTAGTTGAGCACGGTGTCATTTCCTGGTTGATAAGGTGCCCAATCGCCCCATTGGTAGGTGTAACTAAATCCAAGCTTTATCAACGGCTTCGTTTCCATTCAGTGAATGAGTAAAACCCACGCGATTTCGGTACTGGCCTGTTAGCGGGGGGGTGAAATTTAAGCAGGGGAAGTCAATAATTTGATGTAATTTTTAACTTGCTCTGGAGGGGGAATCAACTATTTCTCTTAGGATCTCATTTTTCAATATAAATAGGGAAGCGTTCCTTGGTTTTTTAGAAAGTTATAAAAAATGATTTTGACATTTAGAAAAATTTTCCTAACTTTTTTGCTTTTGTCTTTTGCCATTTTTCATACTTTGGCCGAAAATTTTCCGAAAATCTGATATGTTTTGCAATTTTTTTGATCCAAAAACTATGTATAAAATGCTATGAAATCGTTTATATCATGTTATAGGGCCGTAGAGAAACACAGGGGGAAAATTTGGTCCCCTCGCTAACAGTCCAGTACCAGCCAAAAAGGCAAAAATCTTCCATTTTTGGAAAAAGATTTTTGAGATTTTTAAAATCTTATTAACCCACCGCAACAGCACAAAAATGATCTTGGGTCTCTTTTTCTCCATATCAGCCCAGAATAGATCGGTGCGATCTAGAAATCGGTGAAAATAAATATTCTGCGGAAAATCGATACGCTTTAGCCGCTGAAAGACGATGGATGATCCAGAGGCTGTATAGACGTCGAGGCTCGATGTCATGCTCGTCGGGAGATATTTGCGGACAATCTAAGATAAGGCTGGTAAGGATGTAGGCTTAATCCCTCCAGCCGACCGCCACCTACCATATCCCGGCTCCCTGTTCATCTACAGGTGTGTAACGTATGCTTAGGCTTAGGCTTAGGCTTAGGCTTAGGCTTAGGCTTAGGACTCTAGGTTTCTAAAAACAGTAGTCACCCTGATTAAGGTCATTACGACGGCGCTCGGCGCGCTCTCTCTCTCTCTCTCTCTCTCGCCAGAGCAAGACAAACATTTTGTTATACTTTACAAGCCTGTAGATGGACAGGGAGCCGAGTTACAAAAGTTGAGGATCGGCTCGGGGGGGGTAAATTGCACTTTAACCAAGATGTAATAAAGGACAAACCGACATATTGTTGTTGACACGCCCACGAATTGCCGACAACGACGACGCTCAGTTTTCCTTTATTGCCCTACAATGGGATTTTCGGATACAAGGATAATCCAATAAAATAGACACCGGAAGCATTTGCGGATTTTGGGTCCGTTTCGCTTGAAAATTTGGGCAGAGCTGGGAAAGGGGCGACGGTTCAGTTTAACCCCCCCCCCCGCGCCCCCACAGCCGAAGGGTTTTAAGGTTTTCGGCAGTTTCGCTTATTTTGTCTGGATTTTTGCAACGCCATTCGATAGAGCGTCGAAAAATATAGTAACAGTTTTAATTGGAGCCTAGAATAATGTAAAATAAAAAGTTATAGCCAAAAACTTCCGGGGGGGGTGTAAAGTAAACCATTGCCAGTTTTTCTATTTTAACGATAGTTAAAATTTACTAAAAACAATCTAAAAGCAATTTATATTTGGTTACTAGGCCAGGAAAAAATTGGTTCCCGTCCCGGCGAATCCTACCCCCTCCGAATTATCGAAATGCAACCGATGTCTATTTTGTTTGGCGCACCCCGTAGCTGATCGACTCACCGGCCAAGTGTAATGGCTGAAGGCACCTTTGAAGGCATCATTCACTTCATCGCCGAGAGCCGGATAGTAGGTTTCTAAAAACAGTAGTCACCCTGATTAAGGTGATTACGAAGGCGCCCGGCGCGCGCCCTCTCTCTCTCTCACTCTCTCTCTTTCTCGCTTTCTCTCTCTCTCTCTCTCTCTCTCTCGTATTGCATCCTTATGTATTATTTCATGGAAAGACATACTCAAGAACACCCTGTTCGCTTCGACGGCGGCCTTTGGATCTAAAAATTCGACATGTGCATTCATCTATCTCGCAACGGCATGGGGCAAACTTCTTACAAGGACACGTTTTCGACTCGCAGCCAAGTTTCGAGCAGGAGCTAGTCCAACTTGTGCAGAATTTTGCGCTGCTGCGTGAACCCCAGATACCCCCCCCCCAGCCGACCCCCACCTAACGGATCCCTGTTGATCTACAGGTGTGTAAAGTATACCAAAATGCTCGCCAGAGCAAGACGCAGATTTTGGGATACTTGACACACCTGTAGATAAACAGGGAGCCGAGATACGGTGGGTGGGAATCGGCTGCGGGGGGAGGGGTAAAATCCACAATCCAATCCGAACGTACGATTCCGAAATTTTACCTTCGGTAGCGGATTCAAAAGTACATCTTTTTTACTTACTTTTTTTCAAAACAGAACAGCCTGATTTCTAATCCAGGGGTTTTTGAGAATCTTTCAGGACAAAGTGGGCGGTAACTTTTCCAAAATGTCGATTCAGTAAATTTCGGAGACAGGCTCGGAATCTGCGCAAAATTGTGCCCAAGATAAGCTATAGGTGCTGCTCGCAGCCGAGATGTCAGTCGAAAAGTTTCCAAATGCGCCCATTCTATGTTTGGGCAATTACAAACCCCACCCAAAAGTGTTTTGGCCGGCTCAACGGCGACACTTTGGACGTTGCTGATTTTCGGGTCGTTCGAGCCGGTGTTGAAGATCGGTTTCCACGCGATGGCCACGATGAAGAGGATCCCGAAGAGTATCGCCATATGCTTGAACACCACTTTCGGGGCCTCGCGGAGCATTGGTTTCTCGTAGAGGTGATGGACAGCAATCGACAGCACAATTGTCACCGGCAGCGCAATAACCCATACTAAAAAGAAATGGCGGTTAAAGTGCAGTTTACCCCCCCCCCCCCCCCCCCCCAGCCGGCACCCAACTTTTGTATCTCGGCTCCCGGTTCATCTACAGGTGCGTAAAGTATACCAAAATGTTCGTCTTGCTCTGGCGAGTATTTTGTTACACTTTACACACCTGTAGATGAACAGGGAGCCTAGATACGGTAGGTGGGGGTCGGCTGGGGGGGGGGGGGGGGGGCTAAACTGTACTTAAGCCGAAATGGTAGTATCCTACTATCCTACTATATATAAAACATAGTGTCTGTGTGTGTGTGCCACTTTTCATCCAACTTCCGTCAGCGTGTTCCAGTAGTATCTCAAGAGGGGAAGTACTTAGGGGTATGTTCGATACGTCATTAGGTGCGTAATGGCCTGGAGATTACTGCACACAAACAAGATTTTACAAAATATGATGTTTTGGACAATAAAATTAAGTTTTTCATGGAAAATCGGACACCGCAATTTGTTAGGATCAAATTAGCATGCACCGGAAGACGCGGTAGCCTATATAAAGGGACGGCAAGAGCATTTTTCATTTTTCGTCATCCGAATCCGGGAAAATTATGCAAAGCCAAGAATATCATTGGAGAAGACGGGGCCAGGGTTGAAAAGCCGCGAAGCGGTTTTCCAACCCTGGTAATCGATAAATTACCTGGAATGGACTCAAAATAGGCTGGCTGTAGATGTTGCGTGTATTTGAGCACCGGATAGTGGACGAGGTACAGGGCATAGGAAATTGCGGCAGTGTAGTTCAGGCGAAAACGGGCCCAATCGAGGCGACTGCAAAAAGGTATCTGGTGATATAATCCAAAACACGCAAAAGCCTTTGGAAATCTTCATCTAGTTATCTATAAAAAATAGTAGATAAATCTTCACAATTTTTCTTCCTAGCATCCGCAAAGAAGCATGTAAATTGAAGCCTTTTACGACTTGTAAGCCCTTGAAGCCTCTACTGGGCCAAGATAGAAAAGGCGCGCAGCGGTTTTTCAACCCTGGTCTATTTGCAAAAACCACCGACTCGCTATAGGAAGACACCATCAGAAAGATGGCCACCATAGCCGGAACCACGAACGGCGCCAAGTCCTGCAGCCCGTCACTCGCGATCGCGTCCGGAAGAAAGATGCCAAAAATCGGGATGAGCAGCGCGATTGTTGCGGAATCAACCAAACGATCCGAAATTCTGTAAAAAGCCATTTTCAGTATTTTTCACGGTCCAAACCGAAGTTTCAAGTCGCCCTCCGAGAAGTGACTAGCCAACATTCCGGCCAGGAATTGCCAAATCCTCGCGAATGGATGGTAGAAGGCGGTGATTGGCGTCGCAGCCCATTGGAAGTAGAATGACGCCAACAAAATCGCGCCCGAAAACAGCACACCAATAGCTCGGCCTGAATTTTAGTTGTAAAGTAATGGTTAGAGTGCAGTTTATCCCCCCCCCCAGCCGGTCCCCAACTTGTATATCGGTTCCCTGTTCACCTACAGGTGTGTAAAGTATACCAAAATACTCGCCAGAGCAAGACGAACATTTTGGTATACTTTACACAACCGTAGATGAACAGGGAGCCGAGATACTGTAGGTGGGGATCGGCGGGGGGGGGTAACCTGCACTTAAGTCAAAGTAATCTTCGATATCGCACCTGCAACCTTGAGCCGGATCAGGTAGTATATACACGGAGCCATCAGATAGAACTGCATCTCGACGGCCAGGGACCAGGTGTGAAGAAATGGGAGGTTTTCGGTACTCTAAAAACGGAAATTAATGAAATTAAACAACCAAAACCTCGGCAAAATAGTCGCCATCACTCGCGTACAACTTCAGATTGAGTTGCATCGTGATGACGCTCATGAAATAGGGGAAGTATTGGGCCAGCCAGACGCCGCTGTAGACGAAGCCACAGGAAATTACTGAAAACAATGAGGTGGTTCTTTCGCATTATCGGGGGGCACAACTTGTTCTAAGGATCTAATTTTCAAATATAGAAGTGTTTCTAAATACCTAAACGTGAAAACTTTACAAGGGTGTATTAAGAAATATAAAAAATATGAAGTGCGCTTTCCCCCCAACCGGCGCCCACCTATCGTATCTCGGCTCCCTGTCCATCTACAGGTGTGTAAAGTATACCAAAATGCTCGCCAGAGCAAGACGCAGATTTTGGTATACTTTACACATCTGTAAATAAACAGGCAGCCGAGATACAAAAGCTGGGTATCGGATGGGGGGGGGGCGGGGCGTAAACTGCACTCTAACCAAAAATGCCGGATTTTTTACCAAAATTTCAACTTTTTTAAAGTATTAAAGCACTTTCTATTAATTTACTAAGCATTCCTAGACCTATAAAAAAAATTCGCCCCCCCCCCACGATAATGCGCAAGAATCCAGGAAGTTACATTTTACGAATCACAAGAGCCCTTACCGATTCCCAGTAACACCATGTAGTAAAGCGGCATAATCCGCTTGATGCGCTTGTGGTAGAAGTTGAGCAGCTTCTCCGCCGGACCCGAATTGTCGGCGGCCAAGATTGTCATCATCAGGTAGCCGGAGAGGACGAAAAATCTGTAAAAAAGTTGATGCAAAAGACGATTTCACCCACATATCAACGCCGATGAAGCCGAGCCCAAAGACATCGGGCCAAAAGTGGTAGCCGAGCACCGAGATGATGGCCAACGCGCGGATGAAGGCGATGTCTTCGCGGAACTTGCGGGTGGTAGAAGTGAGCGCTAAAACTTGTTGTTTAGGAGATTGCGTGATTTTCAAGCCCCAGAAAGTATTTTTAAATTCGGTCAGTCCAGATAACTCCCCCCCAGCCGGCACTCAACTTTTGGACCTCGACTCCCTGTTCATCTACAGGTGTGTAAAGTATACCAAAATGTTCGTCTTGCTCTGGCGAGTATTTTGGTATACTTTACATACCTGTAGATGAACAGGGAGCCGAGATACGGTAGGTGGGGGTCGGCTCGGGGCGGGGGGGTGGTCTCTGGAGTTCAGCCTCACCCGAATATTGGATATTCGCACGCGATGAGCCATCGGTTCCCATGTTCCCCGTCTTCTTGCAGATCTACTAAAAGCCACAAAATGTAATTAGCAAAAAATGGAATTGAAAAAATAAAACAATCCTCAAAACCACGTTTTGATTTAAACCAGCTATTTTACAAGCCATCTCTTTTGCCTTTTGCTATGGGTTTCGGGGTGGCATCCGCGCTAATTTGCCTGAATTTCTTCAAACAAAATGACCGAAGTCGCAGCGGACGTTTTTAATGTTTTTAAATGTGATGTAAACTGACGCGTCAAATTAAAATTGTTCATATAAATAAATTTGAAGGTTAAAACATGATTTTAAACAAAAATGTTTTTGAAGATTGCCACCAACTCGCCGCTTCAAGTGCTTTCGAATGGTACAACTATCGTTCCGATCCGATACTTCTGCGTCGAGTTACATGCAGGTGTTTTTTGGCTACGGTTTACTTTACCCCCCCCCCCCCCCAGCCGGAAGTTTTTGGCTATAACTTTTTTATTTTACACGCTCAAATTAAAACTCTTATATTTTTCGACGCTCTATCAAATGGCGTTGCAAAAATCCCGAAAAAATAAGCGAAAATACCGAAAACTTTGAGACCCTTCGGCTGTGGGGGGGGACTCTTACCCATCCATAATGCTAACCATAATGATGGATGTCAACCGGGGGATTATTATCGGAGTCGGATCAATGCTACGATCAGTTGCATACCCAATTAGCATATGTTCCTCCAGCAAAAAAAAAATAACCTTTTGAGAGCTGCTGGCGACTTGCGTCGCAGGAAAAGGCAAATGGTTTTTAGCAGCGGCGATCTGGTTCGCGAAATTTATGCAAATGAAGCGGCGTACTTAAATTTACCACGACTCGATTTGCATATCTAAATTCGAATGCGAATCACGTGTAATTGTTGCTCTCTGGCATCAACCTTTATTACCCTGTTTGCCATTTTTTGGAAAATATCCCGGAAGCGCATCATGGATTGCTTTCTCGAATTGCAGCTCAAGCATCTCCAGCCCGCTTTTCGTCAAATGGCACCCGTTGTCGTAATAGGCGAGATTCGTCTTCGGGTCGTACGTCTTGACCCAATTCTTTTTCTTATCTGAAACAATATCATTAAAGGGGCTCCCAAATTTGGTCCACGCCCCCCAGCCTTGATTCCTGGCAAAGAGCCAGAAACGACCGCAATGCGACCGCGCCGCATGATATTTTGTCTCTGTTTGGACGTGAAAACCCTTTAATTTAAATATTCTGACGTTATTTCTGGAATGCACACCGAATTTTGATTATTCTAAACGTTTTAATTATGAAAATTGATCAGAAAATCGCCGAGATCGAGAGATGGGATGCTTTACTACGCATGTAATCACCGTTAAACTCAAAAATTCGTTTTCATCGCGAAAACTTTTTTGTTTTTCTCAAATATTTTGCGTTTTTTCGCATCAAAATCAATTTTCTGGTACTTCTCGGCAGTGACCCTTTTGTTTTTTCACCAGTAGGTTCAATCCCCGCACACACCAATTTTGACGTCTGAGCCCCTTTAATAGATTATGAAGGCTGAAAGCATCGCCACTCCCTCGATTTTTGTGCGAAACTGTTTTTACGCGATTTCTATAAGCAAACACTAAAATTCGCAGAATATGAGATCATTTTTGTAATCGTCACTCAATTCTAAAAATACTTTTGGGGTTTTAATCAAAAAAATCTGACCCAGAACCAAGTAACCACCGGGAACAATAACCGAACAAATTCATGCGCTCCCCGCGCTTCGGGTGTGGAAAGGCCTGCGACGTACAGGGCTCCAGTTAACCTACCGTAACTCAATTTTTGGCAATTCTTTGTCCCTTTAAAGGCTGTCTAATAAAGCTATTGGAGGAGTAAAGCGTCGCGGACTACGTTGCGCTCCTTTGTCCATCTCCTCATTGTGCGCGGTTTGTAACTACGGAAAATTCATCACAAGGAAACTCTTACGTTCTAACTTTTGCATACCTATAAACGGCGACTCCAGATCCAGAAAATGGCACTTCTTACACCGACTCAGCACAATCTTCAGACGAACCCGAACCGGGTGTGCCGCAAATTCTGCTTCCTAATCAGTGTATACAGGGTGTCCCAAAATTATCCGGACAAAACTGAAAACTGACTTTTTCAATTTTTCCGCTGTTTTCGGCCTCCGCATTGTATTTCATAATATTTTCTGAGGCATTTTCGATGCACCATGCAAAAAAAATTCTGGTAGAACACAAAATAGCTTCACAATCGAGCGAAGAGCGTGTTAAAATTTTTCGCCTCTTAAATAACATAAAAATTGCGGCGAACTTTCAAAATGAGTTCAGGCGTTTTTGTGGACAAGAAATGACGTTTTCTGGCAAAATGGACCAAACTCCGCCAAGATTCCGACATGTTAATGGTCATTTTTCCGTTTAATACCGATTTCCATCCCATTACTGGTAAAGGTATTTCGATGCTTGCTCGTGCTCAAGCTCCTCAAAAATCGAAGTTAGCTTAATTTAAATCGCTTGTGCATCATCGTTACCGCCAAAAGTTTATGCCTCTAGTCTTTGACAATAATCATATCTCGTTTTTAGGGTTCCTCCAGGGCAAAACCTTTAAGGCAACCGGGGCGGCGCGTACCTCGATTTCAACTTTTTTGCTGGCTGTTTTTTTTCTGGTGTAAACGTATGGTTTTTGTGCCGGCTAAAGTGTTGACTGGTCATTTCCGAACTCTTCCTGTGGTTTCTTTGTTCGTCCGGGCATGCTGAAGTTTCTTTTGGGATCGGAAAGCATGCGCGTTTTTAGCGTTTGCAAGGAGAGAGAAATTTGGGTCGAACTTCTCCAATTTATTCCGAAGAGATATGACGGATTCACGCGCAGTTGTTTTTTAAGCTTATTAAATACACTTTAACGATTCATAGAAATTAAACTATGGTCTGCAAAAACAGGGAAAAGTAGGAAAAAACCGCTTTGCAACTTTGTCCGGATAATTTTGGGACACCCTGTAGCTCTAATCGAAACCACACATACATTGTATGGCATATGCAGCTTGGTCATATCCTGGCCGCGCTCCAGCGCTGCCATAAAACGATTTAGAAAATTGTTTCTGCGGTACTCGTCTTCGCAAAAGAATGGCTGATGGCTGGAGACAAAGATGTGGTCGGCGAAAATACTAAAATCAGCATGGTGCAAACGTCACGCAGTGCCTACGATAATCTGTCGACGGCTTGTTGGTAGTAGGCCAGCACCGTATCATTCTTCTCGCCGAGGAACGGCTTCAGGTCACCGCGGTAGTAATTATATCTACACAATACCTCTGGATGTGTAAAATTCCGCGAATTAACCTCAACAATATGAAGACGATCTTCGGTTGCTTCAAGTCCAGCTCGCGCCACAGCGCAAGCGTCAGATCTGCACAAAATAAAATAACAAACTGAATAAGCTTCTGGTTCGTTATCGGCGCCACTCTTTTTGTCAATAGCTTTTCTTAACTTAAATTACATTATTTTGAGCTTATAAAATTCGTAGTATATTTTTTTCGACGTTCTATCGAATAGCGTTACCAGATGGTCGAAAAATATCGGAAATCCTGAAAAGTAGCTTGCCAACCTCATTTTCAGAGTTAGTTTCGCTTTTGCTATAACTTTCTCAAATTATTGTGGTTGGACCTGGAATTAAAATTCTTAGTATATTTTTTGATGCTATACCGACTCGCGATGAAGTAGCCCCCAAAAACCATTAAATATTGAAAATATATGACATTAAACTACCCCCCTGCTAACGAACTAGAACCTGAATAAAATAGCCTCACTTTGTGCGTCATGAAATATCATTGAGTTCTCGGCCCGCGCGTACGACTCGCAGCTCGACGTAATGTTTCCGGGCAGGAATTTCCGGACAATCTAAAGATCGAATTTGCGCTTCCAGAAACGCCAACATATCGTTGTTGGGAAGCCCAGGAATTTCCGATGACTGCCACGCTCAAATTGCCAGTATTTTCCTAAACGAAAAATGCATTTTCAGGGACAGGAAAAGCATTGCAAGGCCTAAACGTTTCAGCAACCTACGCCCCAAACAAAATGCCCAAAGCTGCCAGATGCTTTGAAAATGTCATTTTGTGCCTTTCCTCCGCCAACAAAGTAACCGCCTAAAAAGCCTATCGTAACAAAAATATGGTAAATTTACCTCCCACAAAACGCCGATTCGCTTGGACGATGGCGCTTTGGGCTGAACTTCGCATTTAAAGGAAAGTTAAAGTTGAAAAGCTACCGCATTCAGTCTTGAAGATCAGCTTCCATTTAAAAGCCACGATTAATAAAATCACAAAAAGTACGGTGATGTGCTTGAGAACGGTCATTTTCTTCTCGTGCAGCATGGGCTTTTCGTATAGGTGATGGAAGAGCATTGAGATCACAAACGTCAGTGGTAACGCGACGAGAGGTACTGCAAAAAGAGTGCGTAACTTGTGCCTTTTTCGGTTTGCCACAATAGAAATTTAGACCGTCATAAAAAGCAATAATTCACCTGGCACCCCTTCGAAATAGGTTGGCTGTAGATGTTGGGCGTATTTGAGCACCGGATAGTGGACAAGGTATAGGGCATAGGAGATGGTAGCAATATAGTTTAAACGAAAACGCGACCAATCGATGCGCCTGAAAAAAATCGAAAGTGCTGGTTAATTCAGAAAAAGCCTGGCAGGGAATCTCAACGTTGGTCTGCTTAAAGGGGCTCCGAAATCTGGTCCACGGCCCCTTGCGTTGATTCCTGGACCGCAACGCGACCGTGCCGCATGAGCTTTTGCCACTGCTTGGACGTGAAAACGCTTGAATTGCAAAATTCTGAAGCCATTTCTGTAAGTCTCATCGAATTTTGATCATTCTAGTCGTTTTGATCGAGAGATTGGGTGCCTTACAAGGCATTACGACATGTAATCGCCATCCACTTATAAGGTCGGTTTCGCCCCCAGAACATTTTCGCTTTACGCAAATATTTTACGTTTTTTTAGCAACGAAATCACTTTTCTGGTTGACCAGTAAGTTCAATCCCTTATTGGACAGGTGCGTAAAGTATGCCAAAATTTTCGCATCGCTCTTGCGATATACTTTACGACGCGGTAGGAAACCGAGTAGCCGAGATGCGGTAGGTGGGGTCGGTTCGGGGGTGGGGGGAAGTGCGCTCAAGTTAAAATCGCTAATAACTTACTGACTATACGACGACACCATTAAGAAAATCGCTACAGCACCGGGGACCACGAATACAGCACAATTTTGAGGGCCCAGCTTTCCCGTGTACGGTAGAAATATTGCAAAAACTGGGGTCAGGAAGCCAATCGTCATAAAATCCACGAAAGCGCCAGTTGCCCTAAAAATCGTTGGATGCTTTCCAGCTGAACAAACTGAGATTTTGTGGCTTCTTTTGACAATTGACTGGCCAACATTCCCGCCAAAAATTGCCAAATCCGTGAGAACGGATGGTAAAATGCGGTGATCGGGGTTGACGTCCATTGAAAGTGAAGTGACGCCATAAAAATTAGGAAAGAAAGTAGCAGCCCGATTTTTTGGGCTGAATATTGCAAGTAGACTAAATTTTTCAAGCACCTACATCCTATTTTAAGTTTTGTTAGGTAGTATAAAAGTGGGGCCACGAGATAGAACTGCATCTCGACGGCCAGCGACCAGGTATGGACGAACGGGAGGTTCTCGGTGCTCTAAAATTGGTCCTCATGGTTCTCTCCCGCTCACTCTCTCTCTCGCACTCTCTCTCTCTCTCGATCGCTTTCGATCTATTTCCATCTTACTCTCACTCTTACTCACTCCCCTCTTTCTCCCTAGCTCATACCCTCTCTCCCTCACACACTTTCTCACTCTCACCCTCACCCCCACCCGCTCTCCGCCCCACTCTCTCTCTCTCCCTCCTCCCTCCCTCCCTCCCTCCCCTCCCTCCCTCCCTCCCTCCCTCCCTCCCTCTCTCCTTCCAAATAGAGGCGTTTAAAGTATCACCAACCTCGGCAAAATAGTCCCCGTCACTCGCGTACAACTTCAGGTTAAGTTGCATAGTAGTGACGCTCAGAAAATAGGGGAAGAATTGGGCCAGCCAGACGCCGCTGTAGACGAACAGGCATGATATCACTGAAAAGCTAGTAAAAGCTTTTTGCTAGCCTGCCGACAGGTCGCGAAAAACGTATCTTTGGTTGGCTGCCAGCCAGAGGTATCGTTTTATTAAATCTATCCGCTGTCCCTTTAGCATCTTGAAAAAACTTACCAATCGCTAACAAAACCCCGTAATAAAGCGGGCATATCCGCTTCACTCGTTTGTAATAGAAACCGAGCAGTTTAGCCCTGGGCCCCGATTTGTCCTGGGCCAAGATTGTCATTATCAGGTAGCCGGACAGCACGAAAAATCTAGAAAGAACTTCATGAGCTACGAGACGATTTTAGCTACATGTCAACACCGATGAACCCCAGGCCAAAGATGTCGGGCCAAAAATGATAGCCAAGCACTGAAATGATGGCCAACGCCCGGATGAAGGCGATGTCTTCGCGGAACTTTCGTGTAGGCGCGATAAGGGCTAAAATATATATAATTTTAACAAAGAAATGGGATTTTAATGCATAGGAGCCTAAAATCGGTACGCAATACCTGAATGTTGAATTTTTGAACGCGCTGAATCAACGCTCCCCATTATGTTCAGTGTCTCCGCTGCCGTTAAAAGTGTCGGATCTTCTGTATGGTTACCGATTACGGAAAAATATGGTTACCGTGTTCATGAGCTAGAGATGCTTTGAGTGGAGGCAGTCGGAAAGAAAAGCCGAAAAGCCCGAGTCGCGACGATCTAAAACCAGGTTCAAAAAGCGTGATTTCACATTATGGAAGGATCAGACAGATTTATGCTATTTAAAGGGATGGGCAAAGCATGTATGTTTATAAATTTTTCCGGTTTGCATTTTGGATTGCATTCTGGATTTATGGATTCCGTTTAAAAAGACTCTTTCACGCCCAAGAACTGATGTGAGAATTTCCTGCTACAGTATGTGCCATAATGATAGGGGGAATGAAGTTTTCGGCCGTTTTCTCCGCGATCTTGCATGTTCCTGTACAAACCGAATAGTAGGTTTTGTGGTCCGAAAAAAATGCGCATCTTTTGGTCTACTTGAAATGTTTTAACGATGTAGGGTTACGTTTCTATACGCAACTGAATAACAATAGCCGAAAAACACAAGTGACAAAGTGGTAGGGGAATCATTAACATATCATTTCAATGAACTTTCTGTATGAATAGTCGATGCAATTAGATGCCCGGTAGCAGGCTTCCACTTCCAGCCTCCAAATTCTAATCCTTTTGTTGTGCCAGGTTTGCATTAATCTGGGAAAATTATGTACTCCCACCGGCTGCCAGTCCACGTCCTTATCATGCCTCCGGAACCAATCGGATTGGTATTAGGCTTTTCTAAACGCGCCGATAGGCTGAATATCAGCAGCACTTACGATCGGGCCACGCCTTATTTGGCTGATTTGGGCGCATTCGGCACCGAGAGGGCGATAAGCAGCAAATGTCGATCCAGCTTTTTCACCAATGGTGCAGCTGCGGAAAAAGTATTGCAGATAGGAACAGTATCAAGAAAATTCGACGAAGCCTCCCGTAAATTTTTGGCAATTATAATTCCGAGCACAGCCTCGCCCTTTGTTTTCAAGTCTCGGAGTCGCGGAAGAGACCAAGACCAACCCCGGGAATTAATTTTTAAGCAGCGTCTTTGGTCTGTGCCCGCGGAGTGGGTGGAGCAGAATACCAAAGGGACTAAGTTTTTCGCTTTCCATAAAGACGAACTCCAGCAAAAATGCCGACGGCCAAAACCGAAACCCAAAACCCCGACGGGCATAATCCCGACAGTCAAAATAGCAATAGGCAAATCCCGAAAGCCAAGATCCCAACAGCCATAATCCCAACGGCTAAATCTCGACAGAAATCATCCCCATAGCCACAATGGCGATAGTCAAAATCACGGCAGCCATAATCCTGACACCCAGAATCCCGACAGCCAAAACCCGGCAGCCACAATCATGACAACTGTAACGTCGGCAGCCAAAATTCCGACAGCTGATATCCCGACAGATATAATCCTGACTGCGAAAATCCCGACCGTCAAAATCCCGACAGATAATTCCCGACAGCCAAAATTCCCAAAAGTCATTCCTGAGAGCAAAAATGGTGACATGTTCTCGACCTAAATTTGAAAGTCACTTCCATCTAGGCTGCATGTCGGGATTTTGGCGTTTTCTCATTGAGCACTTCCTTGAATTAACCATAAATCAACAACGATGCTCAATTCCCAGCGTTAGAGCACAAAGTAGCGATGGATCTAGAGCATTCTCGGGCGAACAGTTCCCGCGGAAAACGCTTATAGCCAATCGGGTCTTCACGTATTTGCCGACGCGCAGCAATAAATCTCTGGCGAGCGGCCTGATAAAAATTGTGAGCTTCTGGTGTACTGGGACTCGGGTTTTTCTGTTCTAATTTTTCCAGGGTTTAGAAACGTCTAGACTATAAACTAGGTTATTGCCATTTTTTCGAGTTGCGCTTTATCTGTCGCTTTCAAACGTGTGATCTGGTGATGTGGTATATTTGCGATTACCCATTTTTATTCTTAGTTTCATTTTTGGGAAAATATTTTGGCAATGCAGCATGGATTGCCTTCTCAAACTGCGGTTCGACCAATTCCAACGCCGGTTTCGTCAAGTGGCAACCATCGTCAAAGTAGGCGAGTTTGGTCTTGGCGTCGTACATCCTTATGAGGTTATTCTTTGTATCTAGACTCCAATCTAAAATCAGAGCTTCCAAAGCACACCTATAAACGGTGACTCCAGATCCACCAAGTGGCATTTTTTGCATCGAGACAGCAGAACCTTAAGCCGAACGCGTACCGGATTGGAGGCAAAGTCGGTTGCCTAAAAATTAAGGCTATAAAAATTTGCTTGAAAAAGTGCATCCTCAACAAACGGATTTTCATGACGTAATCGTAGCGAAAAACAGTCAAAAGTTCGCTAGGTTAAGCGCAACTCCCTTCTTAAATTTCAAGCTATAAGAGGTATCTAGTGGACGGCTGTCCCATTTTATCGCGTAATCTATTAGTAACGTTTTTGTGATATCAAATTTCAGAAATACATGCATTATACGGTGCGTTGAAGTCCTTCAAGTCCTTTCCGCTCTCCAACCGCCGAATATATCGGGCCAAAAAATCGTTCTTGCTCAGTTCGGCCTCGCAGAAAAAAGGCTGATGGCTTGAGACAAAGATGTGGTCGGCGAATTTCCTGAAGAATTGGATTTTTTATCTAATTAAGGTACTCTGGTACACCCGGTACACCCGTTTCCGTAGCTGCACACGCCGAATGGTAAGTGGGCAGCTACGCAGAGAAACGGGTGCGTAGCTGCCCACCCACGCGCATTATGGGCAGCTAAGCAAACGGTGTACGGGTGTACCGGGTGTATTTTACAAATTGCCTCGAATTAGTGAAAATGACAGGTAAGTAAGCCAAAACTCACGCAAACCGATCGACGGCCTGTTGGTAGTTGTTGAGAATGGTATCGTTTCCTGGCCTGTAGGGCAAGAAGTCATGTACCTTTTCATTGTACCTGGATTTTCGTTTTGCATTTTTTTTGACAGGACTCCTTTTACCGTAATAAGATAAAAACAATCTTTGGCTTCGTCTTATCCATCTTTTCCCAAAATACTTTTGTGTAGGCTGAAAAAAGTTGACTTGTTGACTTAAAAAGGAGAAAGAGACAGAGAGATAGAGAGAGAGAGAGATAGAGAGAGAGAGAGAGAGAGTGAGAGAGTGATAGCGGGGAGAGCGAGAGAGCGAGAGAGGAGGGAGAGCGAGAGAGCAATAGAGAGAGAGAGCTAGAGAGAGAGTGAGAGAGCGGGAAGAGCGCGAGAGCGAGAGAGGGGGAGAGCGAGAGAGCAAGAAAGAGAGAGAGAGAGAGAGAGAGAGAGAGAGAGAGAGAGAGAGAGAGAGGGAGAGCGCGAGAGCAAGAGAGAGAGCGAGAGAGCGAGAGAGGGGGAGCGAGAGAGAGAGAGAGAGGGGGGAGCGAGAGATAGCCCAAATCCGATGGTGGAAAGCTTCATTGTACCTCCCGAATCGTGAAAAACCACAGAATGCCGAGGAATTGCAAACGACTCCATGCTCGAAGTCATATTTGGCGGGAGATATTTTCGGACAATCTATGGGGTTCAAAAATTATTTTTTTTTCAAGCCGTTTCCGATTTTCCTGATTATTTGAAGGCTCGTGTCCTGCTTTTAAAACTCACATATTTTTGCTGTGATGACCATGAATTTCCTACGATAACGACGCTCAAATTTCCCTTATTTTCCTCAAATATCCTTTCAAGATAATTCCAATTCGACTTACTTGGTATACGTAATGCCCAAAAGTACCAGAGTATTTCGAAAAATCGTCTTTCATCCATTTCCCGCCGGAGGCTGGGAAATATCCCTTCATAAACTTTTTATTAGCATCGACCAGGGCGTTTTGTTCTGAATTTTCGTCCTTACCTTAACACAATCGATGCCTTACCACATTCCGATTTCACCACGACTTCCCATTTTAACGAAAAAAATAATAAAATTGCAAACAGCAGAAGCATGTGCTTGAAAACTTGAGTTTTTGTCTCGCGAAGCATTGGTTTTTCATAGAGGTGATGGAAAACCATCGAGATCAAAATTGTGAAAGGGAGAGCGATTACCGATACTAAAAATTGATAAAATCTTGTGGGGCACCTTAGAATTCACCTGGAACCCGCTCAAAGTGAAAAGGCTGTAGGTATTGTGCGTATTTTAGCACGGGATAGTGGACGAGATACAGTGCATAAGAAATAGTGGCAATATAATTGAGCCGGAAGCGTGACCAGTCGATGCGGCTGAAAAAACAATATCTATTCTATCTTTTATACGCTGTTTTTCATATCCATTAAAGGGGCGTTGAAATCTGGTCCACGGCCCCGGCCTTGATTGCTGGCAAATCGCCAGCTGCGCCTGCAACGCGTCCGCGTCGCATGAACTTTTACCCCTGTTTGGACGTGAAAACGCGTGAATTTAAAAATTCTGACGTTATTTCGGGAATCATCACCGAGGTTTGATCGTTCTAAACTTAATTATGAAAATTGCTCCAGGGAGGGTGAGGGGCTCAACGCTTTCGACACAGAGGATCTCCGAGATCGAGAGATTAGGTGCCTTACAAGGCATTATGACATGTAATCGACGCGCATCCAAAAAGCCGTTTTCGCCCCAAGCAATTTTTGGTTTCACTGTAAGATTTTAGGGTTTTCGCAACGAAATCATTTTTTTGGGACTCTTCAGCAGTACACTTTCGTTTTCAACCAGTAGGGTCAATCCCGCCAAGCATGAATTTTGACTTCCGAGCCCCTTTAAAGGGATGACGACGGTATAGTCAATCGGTCACGCGCTGGAAAGAAAGTCTCTGCGCCTCTCCCCAGGGCGCACTCACTGTCCCTTTGGCTACTTGACAATTTGTTGATGGGGGACGTAATCGACACAAGCCGATAGAACTTACTCACAATACGAGGAAATCGCCAAAAACACAGCCGTAGAGATCGGGATAATAAACTGCGCCAAATTCTGGGGGCCGGCTTTTCCGGTGAACGGTAGAAATATTGTAAAGACCGGAATGAGTGCAACTCCTGTGAAGTAGTCTTTAGAATTGGAGAAAAAGCTGAAAAACCAATTCTTTTCTAATTCAAAATTTTTCACCTGAACTTTGTAGCGTCCTCCGACAAGTGACTGGCCAGCATGCCCGCCAAAAATTGCCATATTCTCGAGAACGGGTGGTAAAATGAAGTAATCGGGGTGGATGACCATTGAAAATATAGCGACGATATAAAAATCGACAGTGAGAATAGCAAGCCGACACGTTGATCTGAATTTGTGGAAAATTTCATCGTTTTTGTGGCTTACACTCGATTTTCATTCCGATTATATAGTACAGTAGCGGGGCCACCAAATAGAATTGCATCTCGACGGCCAGCGACCACGCGTGGACAAAGGGGAGACTCTCGGTGCCCTACAATACTCTTTAGTAGACCTTAAACCACTAAGAGATTATTTCTTATAGGTTCACAAACTGGTACTGGACTGTTAACGGGGGGTTTCTGTAGGGGAGGCTAATTTTTAGTTTACTTTCTGCCGGTTAATACATAAGGTGTCTTTTGCCTTTTTCGTTTTTTAGGAACTAGGAAAATAGGAAATTTTACGAAAATATTTTAAAAATTTTATTAAATTGGAAATTTTTATATTTTGAGAATAAGAAATATTTAAGGCATCTTATAGACAATCTCTCATTATTTAAGGTATCCTAAAGTCAATCTCTTAAAAGTTAACTGCTACTTAGCTTAGTTAGCTCCAAAGTTTCTGGGCATTTTTAAAATTTGCTGAAACCCGTCCCCCCCCCCGACAGCAGCCCAGTACCTACAAACCTCTGCGAAATAGTCGCCATCACTCGCCAGCAACTCCAAATTGAGCCCCATCAATATTGCGCTCTTGAAATACGGGAAAAATTGGGCCAGCCACAAGTCGCTGTAGATGAAGAGTGATGAGGAGGCTGAGGTATCGATTTTAACCCTATTTTTTTAGTGACATACCGATAGCCAGCATAACCATGTAATAAAGCGGGCAAATCCGCTTGACACGCTTGTAATAGAAATCGATCAATTTGGCTTTTGGACTGGATTTGTCCTGGGTCAATATTGTCATTATCAGATACCCGGAAAGCACAAAAAATCTAGCAAAAAAAATTTTATAGACGATTTTGTCTCACATGTCCACTCCAACAAAACCGAGCCCAAATACGTCGGGCCAAAAATGGTAGCATAGCACCGAAATTATGGCCAGCGCTCGGATAAATGCAATGTCTTCCCGAAATTTACGAGTTGAGGGGATTAGCGCTAAATAGCTGGATTTTTAATTTATTCTGTTCTCAAACCTGTGCATTGTAGATTGGAAAACGGCTCCTCAGAGCCCATGACAATTCGAAAAACTACTGAAAAGCTAGAAATGTGTAGCCGAAATGCAGCTACGCTAAGCGGTCGTTAATCCGCGGCTAGCCAGGGCGTCGCCCGCCAAATTTGTTGATAAGCGTTTGTGAATAACTTGACGGGCCGTGAGTTGACGAATCTGGAAATGTTGAGAATGCTCGCCATAATTTTTAGTAACCCAATAATGGGGATTGTTCCGCCTCAACAAACATTTTAATGTCGATTTGAAGGGCCTATTTTACCTATGGGAAATTTACAGTTCGAAAGCCACTTATTCAAAAAGCATCTGTTCGAAAATATCGCTTGTGGAATCCTCTCGATAACAAAGAGACCAGCTTTCGAATCGAAATTTTTGTAGGTGTTCATTCACGATATCGCAGTTTTCTCAAATACTACAAAAAACATCGGTTTTCCGACAAAAATTACAATAAAAAGGCTTTGCCGCTTTCTCTATGTTTCAAAACTACTTTCCAGGAGAGTGCACTTTCCAGGGGTCGTACTTTACAGGGGCCGTACATTCCAGGAGGTCGTACTTTACAGGTTGCCAAGTTTTAACGTCCGCGCATTCCGTTCCAATGCACGTTGATTAAGCTTCGCGCTTCCAGGCCCCGGGCAATCGCGAACTTCTCTCTGTTGAATCTATACCTTCCTAGTAGTGCTGGTTTTTGGCCAAAGTTCGTGGACTTTTCGGATAGCAAAAATCCGCGGAGTTTCAGGGGGGAGGCGTCTTCAACGCTTTCAAATGAGTTAGGCCTTCCCGAAATCTTTTTTGGGCACCGAAAAACGTCTCGAAGTAGCAGTAGTGGTATTGTCGTTGCTAAATTAATCAAAAGGATTTATTAGGCAGATATTGTGAATCGCTAAGGCCACAAAGTGTCAAGCCCAGACCCAGAGTAGCTTGTTGGGATCAGATTGCTCGCTTATCGGGCAAACAAGATAGCTGCGCGGGATGCATTTACCCCAAATTAGGTCGTTAAGTGGCACCATCACCGTCGGATCGTCCAATGGATCTGGCTGGTCGGCCTCGTCAACGCTGTGCACAACCACCAAGCAGATACCTGGAATGATGCATGTCGTAACTCTTCAATGGTAACCAAGGGCCTAGTGGACACCGATTTTCGAACGGGGGAGGCCACGCCGAACGAAGAAATAGATCCCATCGGGGGAATCTTCATTTCGCCTAGTTTGCCTTTCGCCGAATTTACATTTTGGCGAAAGTTCATTTTGCCGAATAAATTTCAGGCTCCAGAACGACAAAGCTGTTTTGAAATCGTTCAAATTAATCCAGGGTTCGTGACTCTTCAAACACTTATCAAAATCCAACAATTATAAATTTGATTGGTGGATCCTTTGATAAGTGCTTGGAGAGAGATGAACCCGGTTCATGCATTAATATTGTGATAAAATTCGGCGGAATGAACTTTTGGTAAAATTCAAATTCGGCGAAATGTAAATGTAAATTCGGCGAAATGTTATTCGGCGAGATGGAACTCGGCGAACCGTAATGCGGCAACATGTAGGGAAATCCATCCCATGGCAGTCACATACTGCGGAAAATTGGTTACGATAATACATTATATTCACGAAAAAAATCATATGGGATCACCCTCGCAACTTTTCGCCCATCGGGAAAATTCGAGGTCACAAAAAAATAGTGCCTTTGACCTTTGCGCGTTTAAGAAGAAGATTGGGCTTCAGCCTATTAGAAAAAAATCAGTACCTAGCGTCGCAGGCACAATACAGGGTGTCCCAAACCCCACCCACCCCCCCCCCCCTACCTAGCGGTCCGCAGTCGAATCCGATTTTTACGATTTAGGTATCAATCAAAAGCTCTTAAAAAGGCGAGAAAACAAGCGGGTTTCGTTTTCTAAAATTAATCTGATTCTATCGATATTTAAAGTTTTTCTAAAAACATGGAAATTTTTCAGCAGGAATTTCGCAATTAGCATGCAGATCTTGCATAAATCAGCAGTTTTCCTGGTTTTCGGGCGCAAAATTACCGAATAGAAACACATAATAAGAAAATAAACCCTCCTTGTTTTCTCGCCTTTTCGAGAGCTTTCGATGGATACCTAAATCGTAAAAATCGGACTCGACTGTGGACCGCTAGGTAGGGGTTTTTTTGGGACACCCTGTAGTGACAGGCGTCCATTCGCTAGCCTATTGGTCCATGTCAGTGTACTCGAAGTCAAAGGGGGTCGGGGCAAAACACCGCAAAGGGCTCTTTTCTCTCGCTGGCATATGATGTGCAACCCCATCAATAAAAGTTGTACCCATGAAGGTCAGGTTATGCCATGGGCGTTCTTCTTCATCTTTAACGACTCCCATTTCCGCAATCAGGCAGGTGGCCGCTGTAATAGCCGTTGTGAGTGTGATTACTTTGATGGAAAACACTCATTTGCACACAGGCACACACGTACACGCGCACAAACGCACGCACGACTTGCCTAGGTCCGGAGAGGAATAATCTCGGAAAACGGAGCAGCCATTCAGCAAGAATTGCGAACCTTCAAATAGTGTTAGATGCTTGTAGACCTATAAAAGTTCATTAATGTCAAAGCTACGGCATGTTGTTTTGTCATCGCCCGGTGGGCCGGCAGCAGATAATGACTCAGATAATCCAAGCAGGTTTGCTTGCCGGGAAAACCCGTGCCCGTGCAGATCGCTAGCTGTCAACGGTTTTTCCTTTTTATATACCCGATGGCAATTTGGCTACACTTTACTTTACCCCCCCCAGCCGGAAGGTTTTGGCTATAACTTTTTTATTTTACACCAGGGTTGAAAAGTCGCTTCGCGACTTTTCAACCCTGGCTCCGTCTCGGACCACATGCTGTTTTTACCATTTGCATAATGGTCCTCCATTCGGTCATCCATACAAAAAAATGAAAAACAACCTCTTCTGCCTCTTTATATAGGGACAGCCCACCTCCGGTCTATGCTAATTATTACTAACAAAGAGGTATTTATAAAAACCTAAATTTAATAGCGAAAATGGCTAATTTTTCAAAATCTGATATGTGTGCAGTGATCCTTAGACCATTACGCACCTAATGGCGTATCATACGTAGCCTAATACCCGTCCCCTCTTGAGATATCCTCCGGACAGACATCCGGAAGTGGATGCAAAGTGGCACACACACACACAAACACTATTTTTTTATATATAGTAGGATTTTGTAGGCACAAATTCAAACTCTGAGTATATTTTCGACGCTCTATCGAATGGCGTTTCAAAAATGCCGACAAAATACGCGAAAATACCGAAAACTTTGACACCCCTCGGCTGTGGGGGGAGGGGGTAAAGTAAAGTCTTACCGACAATTTTTTGAAATCTATTTGCGAAAGCCCGGGCTTGGATGGCGCATAACACCATTAAATTCATTTTTCGAAAAAGCGTTTCCCTTTTACAAAAACTGCCGAATTTCGAAAATTTCGAATATTCGAAGTAGAAAAACGTGTAAGAATAAGCAAGGCATGCCGACGCGCCCGTCCGTGGCTTTTTCGGCCCAAAAAATTGCACTTGACACGGTTGCGCCCGACAACAAGCCTAGAATTGAATGTCTGGGAAATCGCTGGCGTCCCCCAGGTCTTCCCAGCATCCCCAGGTGAATTGCACGGAAAAAACAGCTACCACACGGCCATTGTCAAGGTGGGATGCTTGAAAAAAGCGTCTGAGTAGTTGGTCACGGTTGCGCTCGCCCTGCTTGCCGTACAATTCCATGTAGCCGCTTTGGCGGCAACGTAATGCACGCTAAATTTCAGATTGAATTGCCACGCAATGACAATACTTCGATGCGGCAACTGGCATTGCAACGCCCCTCGGTGATGTCACGTGTATCGTTGGTATAGATGGCCAGCGACGGACGCGGATGAGCGCTTGGAATTCCTGTGTGGAACAGCGTATCCTAGAAACAATGGTTTTGCAGAGGCAAAAATGGATGGATGAAAAAGATGGATGTGGTATTTTTGGTTTTCAGGTCCTTTAGGATTTCCGGGAGGGGGAGGAGATTTGGTCCCCCGAATTCCGGTCACTTCGCCTAAATCCGTTTTGCCTAAACCCGTATCGCCTAAACCCATATCGCCTAAAACCCGTTTCGCCTTAAACCCATTTCGCCTAAAACCCATTTCGCCTAAAGTTTTGGCCATTTTCATAGTTGAATTTTCGACAAAAAAGATCGCAAATCGGTCAAAAATACAGCATTGAAAATGGCCAAAAATTTAGGCGAAATGGGTTTAGGCGAAATGGGTATTAGGCGAAACGGGATTTAGGCGAAATGGGTTTTAGGCGAGACGGGTTTTAGGCGATATGGGTTTTAGGCGAAGTGGTTTTAGGCGAACCGGTCGTCACCAAATTTTGCTCCGCTAAAGCCTAATTTTTTTTATAAATTGCGGATGCGTTCCTAAATGGTTTTAAACTATTCCTAGGCATCCGGGGTGTAGCCAGAAAAAAATTTCAGGGGCCCCCAAAAAAACTCAAAACATTCACGAGAAAACAGCGCCGCGGGAAAAATTTTTGAAAAAAGGTTACATAGCATACAAATAGCCGTAAAAACGTGAAAAAATAGCGCCGCAGGCAGCAAAATTTTTGAGAAAATCAGAATCATAAGGGCCCCCTTTTATGAAATTTTCGGGCCTCGGCCGATTTCGGGGCGGGGGGGGGGCGGGGACCCGCCGCGGGCCCCCGGGGCCGGTATTACGCTACGTCCCTGCTAGGCATCAAAACTAGTCAAATTTTAATTAAAAAATTTAATTCTAGTTTGAAAAATCCGAAAAAGATCCAAAATAACCAAATTTTTGACTTATTCAAACATTTTTCTAACTTTTTTTTTGAAGGTTTTTCTACTTTCATAATATAGTTAAAATTTATTGAAAACAATGTGAAAACACTTTGTTTTTAATAAAAATATTTGATTACTAGGTCAACCGGGACAGCCATGAAAAAAATCGGTCCCCCCCCCCGGAAATCCTAAAGAACCGGTTTTCAGAGTTGAAGAAATTTTGTCGTTTGTGCTGCCTGAAAATTAGGTGTTCGTTTGGATATTTTTCGGGAAAAACGTCTTCCACAGTGTGTCGATTGTGAAGGCGTAATTGTTCAATTTCAGGTATCAAACCCACCAGACAGAATTCGGCATACCGGCGAGGACCTTGCAAGGACGGCCATAGGTGCTCCGGCGTACAATGGTAGTTTGAATCATCACGCCTAAAATCTTGCTAAACCTCAAAAGTTTTGAAACAGGAAAAATTCAACGGGTGAGGACCTGGAATTGCAGACGACCGAAGCTAGAACACCTACTTGCCAGTCCAGATCTCCAGCTTCTGGATGCGTTGCCGAGCCCATCTATGGTTTGGTAACGTGGTGCCTCGCGCGAAGATATGCGGTACTTTCATCTAGATCGTGTGCGATAAAATAAGCACGTTTTTTAAACACTCTAGTCTTGTCGTAAATTATCCGAAAAAGTTCAAATATCTTTTGCGGTTCAAAAAGAGCACTAGCTGGAAATTCGTTAGCTTTAAAAGTAGTTTTTGTTGCAAAATTCATTCAACCCAGTTTGAGCCTAATAAGATAAGGCTCCGCGCAGGGGGCGAGGAGCGCCCCATGCCGCAAAGGGGGGAATGGCCTGTCACGGCACGGGCAGGCAGTGCACGCGGTCCCTACGTCCATAGGGTGTACACGTTAGGAAGAGTACACGGCCCCTCCCTGAACGTGCGCTTTAAGCCGCGAACGGCCTAAAATTGTCGTTTTCAAACCCCGAAAAGTCTTGTTGGATAGCCGATAGCTCCGCCAAAACTCCGTGTTTCGCAGAAATCACTTGAGTTAGTGAAAATCTCATCGGCGTGCCAACAAATTAACTGATGTGGCAGTCACACCATACCTCTCCGTGGTCTATTTGGCAAAAAGTAAAAGTCGATGAAATTATGCTCCGCCCTGTAGTGAATAGGAGCTAGAAGCTAGATTAAAATATACCGCCGGGTGTTGTTCCAATTGGTCGCGTAGTGGCTCCGCGGCGAGACCGTTCTAAAAAATGATTTGTAGTAAATAACAATATCAGGTTGGATCATAAGCGACGTTACAATTCTTTCGTTCCGTTTGCTGAAATCGCAGATGCTGGCCAATTTCAGAATCGGATATGTGGTCGGACCATTGACAAAAGACCGCTTCGCGGCTATTTTGTCACTGGTCACATGACAAAAGAGTGCCGGGCTAGCGGTGTTCCACCTTAGGAGTTCCCTTAAAGGGCACGTTCAGGCAGGTTTTTGGGCAAGAAAACAAAGATTTTTGCCGCGGCCCAGGGTCGAACCCGGGCTGCCCGTTCGGGGGGCGCGGGTGCATACCAGGCAGCCACAAGTGCAACCTGGTAGTGTTGGACAGCACCCCGAAGAGAGCACCCCGGGGTGCTTTTTTTCCCACCCCGGGGTGCTTTTATTTTCACCCCGGGGTGCTCTAAAAAAGCACCCCGGGGTGCTTTCAAAACCACCCCGGGGTGCCCCCAAAAAGCACCCCGGGGTGGAAATAAAAGCACCCCGGCCAAGAGAGGGGTGCTCTGGAAAGCACCCCGTCCCCCAGTGGGGTGCTCCAAAAGCACCCCGGGGTGCTTTCGGAAGCACCCCAGGGGTGCCTTTTGGGGTGCTCTGTGGGGTGCTCTGTGGGGTGCTGTCTGGGGTGCTTTTTGCCAATGACCGCAATATATCAACTAGGCTATTTTGATCGAATCAGGAGATGAACATCATTTTCGAGCAGTTCGCACAACTCGGCGCCAATTCGATTGCAACTCATTTGGAGGTCGTTTCGTAGTATTTCTTCGAGGTTGTTGAACACGGCGGACGATTTCGAGACGTTTTTTTCTAACCGCGCTAGCAGGCTGGGCAAAGCTGGTAAAGAGCTGAAACTCGTTGGGCAGATAGAACTTTTCGCGCTCTTTCGAATGGTGCCCTTCGCGATCCAGGATTCGCAGTGCAAATTGAGATATGATGGTTTTAGTGCGGAGACAACTTCGACAGGTACACCTTTCGGCACTAAAACGCTCCCCTCTCTGTCCCCCGACGATTTTGGAGAACGGCAAGTATACCGTTGGAAAGAGCGCTCAAAATGCAACCTTCTAAACCGCTTAAAGCAATTCTATCAAGCTTCTTTAGGCCGCTAGCGCGGTTAGAAAAAAACGTCTCGAAATCGTCCGCCGTGTTCAACAACCTCGAAGAAATACTACGAAACGACCTCCAAATGAGTTGCAATCGAATTGGCGCCGAGTTGTGCGAACTGCTCGAAAATGATGTTCATCTCCTGATTCGATCAAAATAGCCTAGTTGATATATTGCGGTCATTGGCAAAAAGCACCCCAGACAGCACCCCACAGAGCACCCCAAAAGGCACCCCTGGGGTGCTTCCGAAAGCACCCCGGGGTGCTTTTTGGAGCACCCCAAGGGGGGGCTGGGGTGCTTTTTGGAGCACCCCACTGGGGGACGGGGTGCTTTCCAGAGCACCCCTCTCTTGGCCGGGGTGCTTTTATTTCCACCCCGGGGTGCTTTTTGGGGGCACCCCGGGGTGGTTTTGAAAGCACCCCGGGGTGCTTTTTTAGAGCACCCCGGGGTGAAAATAAAAGCACCCCGGGGTGGGAAAAAAAAAGCACCCCGGGGTGCTCTCTTCGGGGTGCTGTCCAACACTACAACCTGGTGAGGGGTCGAGGGGTGCCCCACCCCGGGAAGGAGTGGAATCGCCTCCCACGGAACGGACAGGCCGGTCCCTGCGTCCATAGGGTGTACACGTTGGGAAGAGTACACGGCCCCTCCCTGAACGTGCGCTTTAACGTAACCGTTTGTTGGTGACCGTGGGATTTCGATACGTGAGATAGCACATCGGTGCCGAATTTCTCGCTGATTCCGAATCCGCTTTCACTAGTTGCGGAACCCCTCTGGATAAAAAGTTACCGCTGTTTTTAGCGGTAAAATATGTGGTCTTGGACCTGGACCGGAGGTCTTCATTATCAAAAGTAGCTGAAAAATTCTAACGTACAAAATCTCAGATGGCCGCAAATTTAGGATTCTGTTTTCAATTTGACCATCTGAAAGTCTAGGGCCATCACACTGGTGTGTTTATTCGAATGGCGTTAAAAGAATCGCAAATCGCAAATTGTTTGATGCAGAGATGGCTTGTTGGCGCTTATGCGCAAAAGTCCGGATGCTGTGCCTCGTCGCCCACCAATTTTTTTGTCCCGCTAGAGTCCTACCGGTAAATACTTGCTGTGCCGATTTTCGCTGTGCCGATTTACACTATGCCGAATTTCACTATGCCGAATTTTCGCTATGCCGAATTTCACTATGCCGAATTTTCACTATGCCGAATTTTCACTATGCCGAATTTTCACTATGCCGAATTTCGCTATACCGAATTTTCACTATACCGAATTTTCGCTATACCGAATTTCGCTATGCCGAATTTTTCTACTCTACCACTAGTAGTCTCTACTAATATTAATAACTAAGATCGACTGGGACTTAGCGGTGCAACAAAAAAATCTGCTGCGCCTACGGGACCTAAGATCTGCTCGAGTTTTTGGAAATTTCTAGGCTAACTCTACTTTCTAGGCCCATGATATTTGGAAAAAACAGTAAAAAAAATGGGGAACATACCGCTTATCAAAATTAGTATGGCGAAGATTCGGCATGGTGAAAATTCGGTATCGTGAAAATCGGCATGGTGAAAATTCGGTATACTAAAAATTCGGCATAGCGAAATTCGGCATAGTGAAAATTCGGCATAGTGAAAATTCGGCATAGTGAAAATTCGGCATAGTGAAATTCGGCACAGCGTCAATCGGCATAGCAAAATTCGGCATAGCGAATCGAACTCATGTACAGGAAAATTATTGTGGCTAAAGTGAGTGTTGGGGACATGATCGGAAATCACCTTTGGTGTGTGTCACCTTATAACGGAACATGGCAAAACCGTATTGCAGATTCGGAATCAGCGTTAAAACCTCGTTTCGACGTAGAGGTCTCCTTAATCGATCCGACTTTCGCTTTCGAACCCTTGTTATACGAAACGTCGTCGCGTTTTTTTACCCACAGCGGTGTTTACAGGCACTTACAATATATAGATGTGTGAAGGTGGTTACGATCGGCCGGCAGTTCGTTAAAATCTCGCTCAGATGAATTCTGTCGTCAATGTGCAGCCAAAATGTTGAGCAGAATTTGACGGACTTGACGTGGATCCATGGCTATATTAAATTATCGCTAATTGATTTTTGGCCGGCGTCCAAAACCCGCTTCGCGGGCCTTGGACGCTGGAATGCGGCCTTGGCATGAGAAATTTGACTTTCCAATAGCTCGGGTCTTTCGGACCACCCCTCTGCTCGCAAGACCAAACTCGCGCGTGCCACCGGCAACAACCTCAGGTACCCGCAAAAATGTCGCGCCGCAAGCGTTGCGGTACCACCCTTCGCGCCGTAACAACGGTACTGGTGTGCAGGGACGTAGCGTAAGGTCGGCCTTGGGCGCTATCTATTAAGCTTGTACTAAGCTTTTCAAGACTATGTTTAATGCTCTGCAACCTATTTTTTCCAAAATTTTAGCCTGCGCCGCTGTTTTTTTCGCTAATGTATCAATTTTGATACAAGAATTTTTTTGACCCCCCCTCCGAAATTTTTTTGCTGGCTATGCCCTTGTTGGTGTGTCGACGCACCTCAATCAGATTGAAGCGTCGATATCGGGAAAGCAGCTCATGTGGAGAGAGCAGCGCCACCGAAGCTCCAAGCCGCCAAATCGATCGCGTAACCCAATGGGAATCGTAGCCAAGCTGCAAACCATTTTATTAGGTGCATTGGAAAGTAATTAGACTGGGCGCCATATTGCCAATACGACCCTGTTATGCGCTACCAGAAGGTTTACAAAATATTTACATGGCGTTAACCCCCGCCGCGAGAAATGGGGATGCGCTACGGCCCTGCCCTCATCCCACCGCGTTGAGGCCTGAACTATTTTGAATGGGCTCTGACCGCTCTCTCCTATTGGTCTATGGCGCTTCCCCCAGGGCGAGTGTCTCGGGGTTCAATTTGGCCGGAACGTTAGGCCCCTGCCGTAACCGCATGCTAAAGTGTTGACCATTTCAAGACCTTGAAAACGAGAGCGGCATGTCCCTTTAAGCCGACCACAGCTCTTCAACAAAATTTTGGCATTTTCAAACGCAAATATTTTTTTTGGAAATTCGGTCCGATTCTACAAGTCATACAAAACGAAAAATTGCCTAAATACGCGGCGAAGCTGCTGGGGACAATTTTTGGATTGCCTACATATTTCTGTGGAGCGGTGCAGACGTACATAAAATCTCTAAAAACTGAGCCAGTA